TTTTTGTCATAGGGTGCTGTATGGCCTCCCATTGCTGCTGCCTCCACCGCCACACTGTGGCTCCACACTCTGGTTTTGGCCCCGTGACTGCCCAAATGAGTGAAGTGTGCGGTGATTCTAAGATCGACGGCACTCATCTGCATGTCATACTGACTGTCAGTATTATTTCTCTTCCCCAGCAGACTCCAAGGGCATTTAAATTAAAGGTACAGTGTTCTGCACTAATATAAAGGCTCTCTAAGCCTAGAAACACCCTTTTATAAGTTAAATTCGCAGCGAATATATTCAACTCGAATCGAAATTTTTCCACGAATTCGCCGAATCAGTCGAATCGAGTTTTTGAATACTTCGCTCATCTCTAATCTCAGCAGTTCTCCCACAAAAACTGGGGGATTCTTACCTTCTGTGCCTTCCGGGAGCCCCACGATCTGCAGGTTATTTTGTCTTCTCTGCGTCTTCTGCCCTATACTCCAGGCCTCTAATCTTTGTTTGCAGGGAGTGGAGGGAGGCTGGATGTTCCCCCACCGCATCCTCCATATGTCCAACCCACTGTTCAGCAGTGGTGAGCCAGGAAATGATCTTATCAAGGCCCTGGCGGAGCAACCCAACATCCAACTGAACCGTCTCGATCTTAGAATTCAGTGCCACTTGGGAGGTGGAAATTGCTGCCATCACCTCAGGAATGCCCGGCGGTGGAGTCAGACATAATGCAAGGAGTACACAGTCTTATGGCCAAAATTAAGGAACAATAGGTCACAAGGATGCAAGCAATGTCCCTTCAAGATTAAAATGCCCAATAGCGAGCTCTACTGCTGGTCCCTTCTAAGCAGAGGGGTAGTGTACAGGTGAAAAAGGATTATTGATCCATTGACCCTTGGAAAGGTACTAGGCTGTCAGTACTCACTAATATCTTGGCAGATAAGGCTGAAAAACAGAGTCTTGCAGAGAGGTTGTGTGTGACATGCAGCATGGAGTCTACAGTAAGAGAGACTTTATAGAGCCTGCCTACTTCCTGTGAAGTACCCAGCTTAATGAAAGATGCCAAAGAAGAAGCCAAAAGAGGGGCCCTGGAGTAAGGCACTATAATGTTGGGGGAAAATGGCTAAGGAGTGCCAGTGTAACTTAAAAGACCCAGTGCAACAGTACAGAAATGAAAACACTTACAGTAAGAATTTAATTTATTTTATAAAATATGGTTTGTTGAAGTTGATGAAAATGTACAGTATGTACTTGGATAGGAAAGTGGTTACATGAACGGGTACAGATGATAAAGTGGCCAGGTATAAATTTGTAAGTTGTGTACCAATGCTGTTTAATTTATTTACTATTGGTCTAGAGATGGTTTCCAGTCTTCCCAAAGGGTCCATTTACTGTTCTTCAGACTTTAGGGAGGCCGGACTTTGCCCACTGGGAGCAGAAAATGTCCAGTGTCAGTGAATGTAACCAATGCCCCATCATTGGTATTACTGGGAAGAATAGTGCCCCATTGTTGGTGTCAGTGGGAGGAATAGTGCCCCATCATTAGTATTAGTGAAAGGAACAGTACCCTATCATTGCTAATAGTCGAATAGTGCCCCATTATTGATATCAATGGGAAGAATAAGGCCCCGTCACTGGTGTCTGTGGGAAGAAGAATCCAAATTGCTGGTGTCAGTTTGAGGAATAGAGCTTTGTGTCAGTGGGAGCAGTGCCCCATCGGTATGAATGGAAGGAAGAATGCCCCATTGTTGTCAGTGGGAGAAAGACTGCTTCATCTTTGTATCGGTGGGAGGAATAGTGACTTGTATAAGTGGAAGAAATACTGCCCCAAAGGCCAGATAATGGCAAGCAAAGGGCCACATTGGCCCTTGGGCTGTGGTATGGAGACCACTGAAACTATTTTTGAAACTCTTTCCAGCAGAAAGTGGTGTGGTGCTAGCTGGGAGTGTTGACAACTTCATAAAATGTTTAAATTTCTTCCTAAGAAAGCAGACTATACAGGGCTATGGGAATTATTAAAGAACACACACACTCCCTGGATGGACCTGAGTCTTTATTCAACCTTATAAATGATGTAACTAAGAAAACACTTCCCAGGGACAAAACATTGCCATTATGTAAACAGCCACAAGCGATCAGTGACAGCCAGTAAGATTGATGTCCAGTCTTACACTGGGACGAGATAAATCTGATTTGGTGAATCTCCACATGTAGGGGTCCACCATACGAGCAGCAAGATCAAACAGTGTAGACCAGTGAACCCATTATGGCTGCTGCCGTAACTGTCATTCACTCGGAAGTGGCAGGGCAGTTGCAGTGAAATACCAAATTTGGTGGTTCTTGAAGACTAACTGTGCCCTTTGAAATTTGCATAATGTCCAAACCCACTAAATAAGGTGGCTATACCCACATTTTGAATAATAGACTTCTTTATCCTCTAATGAACACTGGAAGAAGGAAGCATTTAGTATCCAATGTAGTGAAATGTTTTGTAAATCATATTGGTCCTTTTGTACATTGGTTTTCATTTATATGTATAGATATAGGATTTTTGGAAAAAGCATTGGAGTGAAAAGAAAAAACTTATATAGAAAGGAGCGTATGGATGCAAAGACTATAAACATTGGTTTCAGCTGGATTAAGTGTTTTCTCTGATATCCATAGTGTATTGTAATGCCATGCTTTTAGGATACAGCATCACTGTATATTTATTGTATATATATATATATTCATTTTTTATAAAATTGATTTTACTTTTTTTTCTGTGCTACAATATGCTAGTAATACATTGGTTTTATGTATTGGTCATGTGACTAAGGGTTGCGTGAACTGTGTTATATCTTAGCCCTGACAAAGGGTTGTTACACATGAATCCAGTCAAAAAAGGTCAGCGGTGCCACCTGTTGCCTATGCATGTGCTGTTTCCAATAAAACCTTTAGGGGTTAATTTACTAGTGAAAAATCTGGTGCAGCTCTGCATAGAAACCAACTAGCTTCCAGGTTTTCTTGTCAAAGCTTAATTGAACAAGCTGAAGCTAGTAGCTGATTGGCTACCATGCACATCTGCACCAGATTTTGAACTCTTCAGTTTTACGGCTTGTTCATACTTGGCTGTTTTACCAACACTTGCCAAACGCCCCTATAGCGTTTGGCAAGCGTTGGTCCGGAGTTTGCGGAGCGTTTTTTAACGCTTGGCAAACGCTCCGAAAACGCCGCATGCGTGGTTTAGCGGCGGTTGCTAGGCATTTGCCGAGCGTTAAAAACACCTGAGAAACGCCTATAATGAAGTTTGAATGGTGTTACCACTCCGCAACCGCACCGCAAACGCCGGCCGGGCGTTTGCGGAGCGGCACCATAGACTAGAACAGGAGGCTTCAACGCCTCCTGACTCGACCAGAGGCGTCCGTTTTGCCGCGACGCAAACGCTCCCGTTAGAACAGCACCATGTGCTGCAATGTGCAGAATTTACAGAGGCGTTTGGAAAGCTGTAAAAAACGCTTCCCAAACGCCTCTCTGCTACCTGCACACAACGCTAGTGTGAATGTAGCCTTAGTAAATCAACCCCACACTGAATCAAGCAATTTTTTGACTCCATGATATTTGAGTGTTTGTGGTTCAAGTTGTAGGTGGTGGTTTCCTCTTGTTTTTCTGGCTAATCATTGATCAGACCCTGCAATACTTTGGGGCACTCATTTTGCTTATAACACACAGAGATGTGTGTTTTGTGATTTGCTTTCAGGCACCGGTACACAAACACATTCTTTAGTCTTAGTCAAACCGGTGCTCAAACATTTTTCTGGGAGGTATTTTCTGAACTTTCTGGTTCATGTGTCAGTACTCAATTACATAGTCCTGAATGTATCTGGGTAGCCTTAGGTGCAGTAGAAGATTGTATTGGTTGCTGATATAGTCTAGCATTCTACCCTGACAGTATGCTTTTTCAATGTATTTGTACTGTGCACAATTTTGACATTTGTAAACGTACTTTTCCCTTTATTTTAGTACGTTCACTCTGGATGTAATTTGTACCTTCTTTGTCAGCATTTCCATAAAAGCTATTTGTAAGTTGAACTGAGCTTACAGTTGCATCCTGGAGTGAACTTGGCTTGATGGCCTATACTGCCCACAGAAGTTCCAGCAGGCAGTGGGGTTTAGCACTGGAAGAATGGGCTTTATTTTGACTTGGGCAGACAACTATGCACAAAATGAATGAAAAGGAGTAGACAGACTCATAGTTACATAGTTAGTCTGGCTGAAAAAAGATAAAAGTCCATCCAGTTCAACCATATAAAGAAAAAAAGTTATAATCCTACACTCACAGTTGATTCAGAGGAAAGCAAAAAAACCAGCAAAGACTCATTCATCTCTGTAGGATGGCCACACTGTGCAGGGCTGTTGGAGTTCACCATAAGTATGGCCATCCTCGAAATCGAATAGGGCCATAGTGAGCATATACAGTGTGACGAGGAGACTGCTGTAGGTTTTCTTTGAGAAGGCTGTGCTTTACTGAGCTGCACAGTGAACATTACTAGATTGGGGCTGAAGGTAAGTATGTTACAGGATGGGCTTGACTCAGGTGAGTAGGGGGAATTCACCAAAGGACTACTTCAGCAAATGTGTCTGTTATGGCCAGCAAGGTTCATCTGTTACTCATCAACATGATGCCCCATGTCCCTTGGTTTATACATTTGTGTGTGCAGTATAGTTTGAGGAATCAAGAATACAAATTACGAAACATTAATTTATTTAAAAGTGAACAGAGACTTTTACAATTGTATTAATATGCCACACTATTCATCAGAGATTTATTTAACATATTTTAAATATACATGTATTATGTTTCCATACACTGGAAAAATCACTTGTTAAATACATGTTGGATCCACATTTTTCAGTGAAAGAAAAGACTGCATTTTGAAGTCAAAATCAACAGGTCTTCTCTGAGGTTCTTTATATTTGCGAGTCATCTTGTCTCCCAGATAAGTAATCAGATCACAACACTCCACAAATTTTTCCATCTTCTTCTTGTATTTCTTCCGTATATAATCTGAATTACTTGAATTGTATGCTACAAACACAAAGACTCTGTTGGTGTTTACATTTGGTGAAGACAAAACCATGTTTAACAAATCAACTTTTTGGTTGCCAGGGGCAACACAAACTGGTCTTTTTAAAAAGTTGATATGTGAGACTCCCAATAAGACTGCGATTGATTATCCAACAGCGAAGAATGAGCGAATTTCAATTTACTCTAGTCACAACGTTAGGCCACAATTTCTGATTAGCTGCTTGGGCTACTGTTGTATTGCTGGAAATTCTCGTGTGCAAAATAACTGCATCCTATTAGGGCAGGGGTGTTAAACTGGTGGCCCTCCAGCTGTTGCTAAACTACAAGTTCCATGAGGCATTGCAAGGCTGACAGTTACAAACATGGCTCCCAAAGGCAGAGGCATGATAGTTCCGCAACAGCTGGAAGGCCGCCAGTTTGACACCCCTGTATTAGAGGGTATCACTATATATATGGTATGCCTACTGAAAATGGGAACGTAGAATTGTTGCCTATCTTTAACCACTTCAATACCGGGCACTTATACCCCCTTCCTGCCCAGGCCAATTTTCACCTTTCAGTGCTGTCGCACTATGAATGACAATTGCATGGTCATGCAACACTGTACCTATATGAAATTTGTATCAATTTTTTCACACAAATAGAGCTTTCTTTTGGTGGTATTTAATCACCACTGAGTTTTTTATTTTTTGCTAAATAAAACAAAAAACACCTTAAACTTTTGAAAAAAAACACACTTTTTTTCGTTTCTGTTCTAAAATGTTGCAAATAAATAACATTTCTAAATACATTTAGGTGAAAATGTATTCTGCTACATTTCTTTGGTGAAAATAATAATAATAATTGAATAATTTAAGTTGTATTTTGTTTTCAAATATTTCTATTATTTTTTTTTATTTTTTTATTAAATTTTTTTCTTTTTTTTGACTATTTTATTTTTCAGCACACTTTGACCAAAGCAATACAATTTTACCATAGTAACACTGAACTACTCTGGGCAAGTGATCAGGATTTTTTTTTTTAACACATTATGATTGCTAATACCAATGTATTTCATTGATATTTGCAATCATTGTTACTGAATAAAACTGATTCATTCATTTGTTATGATTAGCTATGATTGGGTAAAGCTGATCACATAATACAGATGGGCTGTGATTGTCCCCGTCTGTATCATGTGACTGCCTTGACCAGTCACAGCTAACAACACAATTGTATACAATGAATGGCATTTATATTTTAAATGAATGGCATGACATGAAGCCATCCATTGTATACAATCGACATGTGATCTGCTTTGATTGGTCACAGCGGTCACATGACACTGGCAACACTGGACTCTACCTATATTGATATGCTGGGGCAGCCACAGATAGTCAGTTAGGGAGGGACTTACTGTTCTGTTTAAGCTGTTATGCTGAGTTTAATCAGTAAAGCTTTTGAACCGTTGTTCTGCCTGGTGTGAAGTTATTCGAAAGGGGTGTATGAAAGTAACTGGCACACTACAAAGCCCTATCAAATGTAAAATAAAAATAATCCACCCTCTCAGATTTTACTTACCTTTTAGGTGATAAGCGATATACAACAGAGCAGATCGTTTCACACTTAGAAATGGATACTTAGGCTTTAAACAGCCTACATCATTTAAAGCCTTTATTAAAGCAGTGGCTACTCCCTAGGAAAAAAATAAGAATTACATCAGAATAAAAAATGTTTTTTTTTTATATTCCTTCTGTGAAAAGACACCACACATAGCACATTCAAGTCAATGAGAAAGTGTCAGCAAAAGCAAAGAAAACTGGATGTATCTATACTTAATGTGGGAGATTGAGTTGAGACCCATCCATTGAAATGAATGTGGAATGCAGCAAACACAGGGCCCAGATGTCTTGAAGAAAAATCTGCGCAGGCCTACAGGTATTTTTCCATGGAGAAAACATTGTGGGGGAGTAGGGTCAAAAAAAACGAAAACTTCAGTAAAAGTAAAGTTGTAGTGATATTTGGTAAAACCAGTAAATAGTTACAGTGGGGATCGAAAGTTTGGGCACCCCAGCTAAAAATTTTTATTAATGTGCATAAAGAAGCCAAGGAAAGATGGAAAAATCTCCAAAAGGCATCAAATTACAGATTAGACATTCTTATAATATGTCAACAAAAGTTAGATTTTATTTCCATCATTTACACTTTCAAAATAACAGAAAACAAAAAAATGGCGTCTGCAAAAGTTTGGGCACCCTGCAGAGTTAATATCTTGTACTGCCCCCTTTGGCAAGTATCACAGCTTGTAAACGCTTTTTGTAGCCAGCCAAGAGTCTTTCAATTCTTGTTTGAGGTATCTTTGCCCATTCTTCCTTACAAAAGTCTTCCAGTTCTTTGAGATTTCTGGGCTGTCTGTCACGCACTGCTCTTTTAAGGTCTATCCATAGATTTTCAATTATGTTGAGGTCAGGAGATTGTGAAGGCCATGGCAAAACCTTCAGTTTATGCCTCTTGATGTAATCCCCCGTGGATTTCGAGGGGGGGTTTAGGATCATTATCCATTTGTAGAAGCCATCCTCTCTTTAACTTCAGCTTTTTCACAGATGGCATCAAGTTACCATCCAAAATTTGCTGACATTTTATTGAATCCATTTTTCCTTCTACTCGTGAGATGTTCCCTGTGCCACTGGCTGCAACACAACCCCAAAGCATGATTGATCCAACCCCATGCTTAACAGTTGGACAGAGGTTCTTTTCATTAAATTCTGTGCCCCTTCTTCTCCAAACGTACCTTTGCTCATTCTGGCCAAAAAGTTCAATTTTAACCTCATGGGTCCACAGAACTTGTTTCCAAAATGCATCAGGCTTGTCTATATGTTCATTTGCAAAGTTCAAACTATGATTTTTGTGGTGAGGACGTAGAAGAGGTTTTCTTCTGATGACTCTTCCATGAAGACCATATTTGTACAAGTATCTGTTTATAGTGGAATAGTGTACCACAACTCCAGTGTCTGCCAGATCTTTCTGGAGGGATCGTGCAGTCAAACGTGGGTTTTGAATTGTTTTTCTCACAATCCTGCGAGCTGTTCTGTCTGATATTTTTCTTGGTCTTCCAGATCTTGCTTTAACTTCCACTGTTCCTGATGACTGCCATTTCTTAATTACATTCCGAACAGAGGATATTGACATCTGAAAACGCTTTGCTATCTTCTTGTAGCCTTCTCCAGCTTTGTGAGCGTCAACTATTTTCAGTTTCAGTTTTCTAGACAACTGCTTAGAAGAACCCATGGTGCTGATTGTTGGGGCAAGGTCAGATGAGTCTGGGCATTTAAAACCTTTGAGATTGACATCACCTGGTCTTCCCAGACGATGATTGAGAACAATCCATGACACTGGCAGGTCTCAGCTTGGCAAAGGGGGCAGTGCATGCTGTAAATTCTGCAGGGGGCCCAAACTTTTGCAGACGCCATTTTTTTGTTTTCTGTTATTTTGAAAGTGTAAATGATGGAAATAAAATCTAACGTTTGTTGACATATTATAAGAATGTCTAATCTGTAATTTGATGCCTTTTGGAGATTTTTCCATCTTTCTTTGGCTTCTTTATGCAGATTAATACAAATTTTTAGCTGGGGTGCCCAAACTTTCGATCCCCACTTTATAGGCCTTGATGGCACCAGTTATGTTATTACCCATACACTAAATGGATTTTTTAATTTCTGTGCACTATGTGTATATTGCACCACAGAGGAAGACAAATTGATTAATTTTTTGCTCTCTGGTTGGTAACCAGGTTACCTCCTTGGCTGGTAACCACTAAATAAAATAAAATCAAATAAACCTAATGTGCTTCAGTTTATTTTTATAGTAAAAGCAACACTAGCACATTTTATTATTGAACAAGTACAAAAAATTGCAGAACACAGAAAACCTCCTGCTCTACCACTAAACCCCAAAAAAAATGAATCTATCCCCAAAACCAGGAATGGCTGCTAGCACCAAACTATATACCAGATAGTGAAAACCAGCACAACAAAGGTGGTGCTGCTCTAATCCTAAATAAAGTGAAGGCAAACTATATAGCACTAATCAACAAAACAGTATGAAATGAAAAAATGAAGCAGGATATGTCCACAGATCTGTGGTCATGAATAAAATAACAACATAAACGGTCCAAGTAAATGCACACTAACTCAAAAATAGTGAACAAACAACATGGTTATGTTATTTTTATGATCATGTTTTTGCTGCTATGTTCTCACTTCTATATGTTTTCAATATTTACTTGTGTATTTTCTCATATGTTTTAGATCTGTTCACCAATTTTACTGGGGTAGTGCAGCACCTGTTTCCTTTGTGTGTTCACTATTTTTGAGTTAGGGGTGCGTTTACTTGGATCGTTTATGTTATTATTTTATTCATGACCACAGATCTGTGGACATATCCTGCTTCATTTTTTCATTTCATACTGTTTTGTTGATTAGTGATATATAGTTTGTCTTCACTTTATTGAGGATTAGCGCAGCACCACCTTTGTTGTGCTACAAAAAAATTGCAACTGTAAGCTATCATGATATGATAACAGTTAAAGTGTGTGTACCTTTTTTAAAAATGTTGGATAAATTAGGGAAAAATTAAACGCCCTACCCATTGGGGATATTTTCTCTTCCTTTCCCATGGATGCAAGATGAAGAGGACATCTCTAGGAAGTGAAGGGAATTCACTTAGTTGTCACCAGAACACATGTCCCCACTGAAAAATTTGCTCTCACCTCCTGTTCTGGTGAAAACTGTAAAAAGCATGGATTTCTCATTACTGTCCCATTTCTGGCTCAGTGACACTGATTGCCAGGATAAACAGAGAGGGGAATTCCACCTATTTGGGACAGGCAACAGAAAGATCATGACAGGGTCCTAACCCATCCAAATTTAAATAGAAATAAAATGTTTTGACTATACATAATTTTTAAAGTTTAAGTTAATGATCCAGCTCTATCCTAGTGGATTTTGATTCTTCATTGGTGCCTTTGGGGCACTTTTTTGAGGCTAGGGGCACCTTTATTATCATAAGTATGGCCCTGTTAGGCCTTGATATGTTCTGTTTCTTACCTTGCACATGCTATATAACGGGTGCTCTTATTATTGTGATGTTTGACCTGCTCATAGGGAGCGCTTTATAGGAATAAGAATTGCTACTGATGACTACGTAATGTGCCCTTCTCTACTTATAGGAGATGTTCACCTATATGTTCCTTCTTATTTTTGTTACCACAACATTTTTGGAGCATTTACTTTGTAATGTTTGAAACATTTTAATAAACAGATTGAGATTTAAAGTTGAGGTTCAGCTTTAGAAAAAGCACACTATGCTGTACCACTTGGGTTTAGCAACATAATGTGCTAAATCTACCTACCAGCCAGAGCTCCCTTTCTGTTTAAACAATGAAGTCCACGACCACATTTAGAAGTGCCTTAAAGTTCCCTACAGCCAGCAATGCTGTGTCCCAAGTTATTGTAGGGCAGGGGCGGACTGACCATTTGGAAACTCGGGCACTGCCCGAGGGCCCGGGGTCAATAGGGGGCCCCATGAGATGCCCCTGGTACCTTTTTTATAGGCTTTTTTGAGTTTGGGCAAGGACACAGGGGCCCCATGATCCCCTATTGCCTGGGGGCCCCATGAGTTGTCAGTCCGCCCCTGTTGTAGGGACAGAGTAGTCGATGGGACCAGTGCCCTCAAGTCCTCCCTCATGGGAGGGAGTGTCGTCCAGTTGTTTTGGGCTACGCATGGGCAGTGTGTCCTTTCTCCTGTTGCAGCTGCTAAACTCATCATAGGCGACAGAAAAGAACACATGCAGAGCATCTACATCCTGAAAGAACAGGACAGAACTCCCTCCCATGGCACTAGAGCAGCAATGGGCAAACTACGGCCCGCGGGCCGTATACGGCCCGGCGGACCTTTTAATCCGGCCCGCGGAGCGTGATACTGTCAGGATGGCTGTCAGGATGTGTGTAGGCGGGGCAGCGTGATGAACGCGAGGGGAGCTAGGCTCCTCTCACAGTCCGCCCTGAAGACCGGTGTACCATGAAAATCTGTCTCCTATGAGGATTTGTCCCCCTCGACGTATCTGCGCATGTGCCGGAGATCGCCGATCGGCTGCTAATGCCTGAAACTGGCACATGCGCAGATACGTCGAGGGGGACAGATCCTCATAGGAGACAGATTTTCATGCTACACCGGAACGGCGAGGGAACACGGCGAGAGGAACGCGCGGAGCAAAGGTAAGTGAATTGACACAGGGGGGACTTGGGGACTTAATATGGGGGATGAATTAATATGGGGAATGAATTACTATATGGGGGATGAATTACTATATGGGGGATGAATTACTATACGGGGGATGAATTACTATGGGGGATGAATTACTATATGGGGGATGAATTACTATATGGGGGATGAATTACTATATGGGGGATGAATTACTATTGGGGGTGAATTACTATATGGGGGATGAATTACTATGGGGGATTAATTACTATATGGGGGATGAATTACTATGGGGGATGAATTACTATATGGGGGATTAATTACTATATGGGGGATGAATTACTATGGGGGATGAATTACTATATGGGGGATGAATTACTATATGGGGGATGAATTACTATGGGGGATGAATTACTATATGGGGGATGAATTACTATGGGGGATTAATTACTATGGGGGATGAATTACTATATGGGGGATGAATTACTATATGGGGGATGAATTACTATGAGGGATGAATTACTATATGGGGGATGAATTACTATGTGGGGGATGAATTACTATGGGGGATGAATTACTATATGGGGGATGAATTACTATATGGGGGATGAATTACTATGGGGGATGAATTACTATGGGGGATGAATTACTATGGGGGATGAATTACTATATGGGGGATGAATTACTATGGGGGATGAATTACTATATGGGGGATTAATTACTATGCTTACTATGGGGGAATATTACTATACTTACTATGGATGACACATACACATCATTCATCTACTCTTGGTCCGGCCTCCGGGTCCAATATATGAACCCATTGCGGCCCTCAAGTCAAAAAGTTTGCCCACCCCTGCACTAGAGGGTGCTGGTCCCAACAGCTGCTTCTTTTCATAAAAAACTCAAGATGGAGCTATAGCTGGCTGCAGAGGATTTTAAAAGATGCCTTCTAAATGCGGTTGTAAACTTCATTTTTTTTTTAACAGAGAGGGATCCCTGGCTTGTAGGTCAGTTTAGCACACTATGCTGCTATACCTATATGGGACAACATAGTGTACTTTTTGTGTAAAGCTGAACTTACACTTTAAAGCTGAACTTACACTTTAAACTCATACTGATGTATGATTAACCTACAGTAAATAGCAAGTTTTTGTTTGCAAACAATGTTCATGATTAATTCAGAATTAAAAAAACCAGAGTACAGATCTCAGTACTACACATTGTTATACTACATTAAAAATCATGTCTTAGATTGTTACCTGTTCTAGATATCCAGTTAAAGGAAGAGACGTTAGCACAATTGGCTCCATCTTTGGTGGCAGTTTAGATGGAAGTTTGTGGTCCCAATACTGTTCTGGAAATCTAGAAACAAAACAACAAGGATTATGTTTGGTGATTGCTAATCTCTTTATCGCACTGTTTAACTTTATAGCTTAGTTTTGTAACTGCCTCAGCTGCTAGAAGCAAGTGGTGAATAACTTCAAGGGTAGGATAAGCCAGCTTGGAACTTTTTAAACCTCTGGGCATTCTTTCAATGCTAACATGCTAATGGCCATTATATAAGCCACTTTGGAAGGTCAGTGGGAAAAACTACTCTTCATGTACCAAACCCCATAGGAATTTACCACCAATAGTGCAATAAATCTATCATGGACAAATTACAGTGAAAATGGATGATCATGTTGTACACGTGTACAGTATAACAGTGACCTGAAGCATAAATTATACAATACCTCATGAATTTTTGCAGCTTTTCTTCACATTCAAAAATGTAGATTTTATCTCTATATTCTGCAGCATATTCAATATTTCCAGGAACAAGAGCTTCATACCTTGTAAAAAATAGAAACCTAAATGAAAGTGCACATGTACTTATATATGAACACTGAACACCTAGCTTCCTACTTGTACTGTACAAGCTGTTGGTCAAAACTGCCAAACCAGCTGATATGTAATTACTGGGAAAGGGGTATCAACAGGCACATTGTCATCCTAACCTACTGAAATTGCAGGTAGAGAACAAACGTTATGTTATATCTACAGCTTCATTCACATGGCCAGTTAGGTACATTCTCCGGATTCCAACGGAATATTCTTGTGAGTGAAATGACCTGGGCATACAAAAAACAGCAGCCGCTCAACCTATACAGTCTAATGAGAGGCTGATAACTGCCACCATTGGTCACATGTAGCCGCACATCAAGCGGTTACCTGTGGATGTCTTTTAACTTTTATTTGGCCTGGTGGGCCCACAGCTCAAAATTTCACCCACAGCTTTAGGGCTCATTCACACCATTTGCGCTGGGATAGGTTTGTCAACACATCTTCAATGCATGGACATGAAAAAGAAACTGATTCCCAACAAGTACAGTTCACACTAGCAAATTAGGGGTGATTTAGTAAAACTGGAGAGTTCAAAATCTGGTGCGGCTCTGTCTAGAAATCTATCAGCTTCCAAGTTTTTTTCATCAAAGCTTCACTGAACAAGCTGAAGTTAGAAACTGAGTGGCTACTATGCACAGCTGCAGCAGATTCTGAGTGCACCAGTTTTAGTAAATCTCCCCCATTGCATTGCTTTTCTTTGCGCCTGCATTAACCCCAAAGCTTTGTGGTGTAAATAGGCCCTATTTACCATATTAGATATGTGAGAGATCTATTGCTGCATTTAAGTGCTACAAAATTCACAGAAGGCTAGTAAGGTAAAAACAACAGAGCTTAAAATATGCCACTGTCACACACACGTTGAGTGTATTTTTTTTAGCTTTTAAAAAAGCACCTTTATGTACACCTGCGTATCCAGGCACATATATATATTTACAGGGGTATTAGAAGAGAAGCATTTACAGGCAAAACAAACCCCACCAAAGGCATGTTCAGGAGAGGAGCTGAAGGGCAGAAAAAAGTGGAATGCACCAAAACGTGTTCAAGCACACATAAACTCTAGAAGCGTCCAGCATTTGAGCTTTAAATAAAAAAACATTCTGGCCAATAGAATGCTTAAACTTTTAAATGCTAGACACACCTAACTCTTGTGCAATATGCTTTTTTCTGCAGCTTTTTTCTGCCAAGAGTTCTGGTGTTCAGAGGAGCTTAAACAGATGCCCTGTGTACAAAAGCCTAAGGGCCCTTTCATACTAGAATGCAGTGTGAGAAAGCTGCATTCCCCTGTGACTTCCCACGCTGCATTTGTTTTGACCTTGCAATCTGCTGTAGGTGTCAGTGCAAAGCAGAGGCAGACTGACAACTCATGGGACCCCTGGGCAAAGAGGATCATGGGGCCCCTGTGTCCTTGCCCAAACTCAAAAAAGCCTATGAAAAAGGTACCAGGGGCATCTCATGGGGCCCCCTACTGACCCGAGTTTCCAAATGGTCAGTCCGCCTCTGGTGCAAAGTTAATGACACCCCAAACGCAGTGCGTTTGCCCGCACCGGATCACATGGTACAAAAGTACTGTGCAATCCAGTTGCCATGCGTTTCTTATAGTAATGCACATGCACTTCTTTTGGTGCGGTGTGGTGTGATTTCAGCTCATTCAAAATTAATGGGATTGAAATCGCACTGCACAGAACTGAATATGAATCACACAGCATTCTTGTGCAATTTACATGCAGTTCCTAGTGTGAAAAGGGTCCTTAGAAGGTCAGAAGCATTGGGTATTATGCACTTGCAAATGAAAAATAATTTTGTGATAATGTTAAATGCTATAGATTACAAACTATCAATCCCGAGTGATACATACAATTATTATTCATTGTATCATTAAATTATAGATGGAATATAGTATTTGTGTGCCAACCTTTTCTTCCCATCAACATAGGTAACTGGACAGTAGCCCTTCATCTCTGCATTTTTTGGGAATGTAGCCTTCACATCTGCCACTGTTAGCTTCTTTGGTAACATATCAGGAGGTGGAAGTGGATGTGGTGCTAGTGGTGGAACATATAATTCTGGCTCTTGTAAAAATGCCTGTTAGAAAACAGAAGCTATTAGTCATTTTGTTACCACATAAGCACTTTTATTTTTAATATTAAATCACACATTGCAAAAAGTCATCCAGTGATTAGATGACCATTACATTGCTTCAAAAGATACTGAGTTAAAATGAACCGGAACTGAAAAAGCAAAAAATTGCTTTGTTATAGAGAACATCCAGAATGTTAATTGTACCTAAGCAGTATCTTTTGTCAAAAATTCCTCCAGAAAAACAGTAGTGCACTTCTTTATTATTATACAGGATTTATAAAGCGCCAACAGTTTGCGCAGCACTTTACAAAATGAAGGTAGATATAGCAGTTACAATACAATTTGGTACAAGAGGAAACAGAGGGCCCTGCTCATCAGAGCTTACAATCTAGGAGTGAAGGGTTGAGTGATACAAAAGGTAATAGCTGTGGGGGGATGAGCTGATGGAGGGAATGAATGGCAGTTTACTAGTTAGAAGCAGGATAGGCTTCTTTAAAGAGAACAGTTTTCAGGGATTGTCTAAAGGTAGATAGATTAGGAGATAGTCAGACAGATTGGGGTAGGGAGTTAAATAGGATGGAAGAAACTTAACTTCTTAATATGTTAAGCTGGCCATACACAAGTCTGTTCCTTTCATTCAACATGCTGGCTGAATAAAAGAAAATTACTCCACTGGTTGTGGATGGGAAATTCTCCAGCTCAGTGTTTCTCAACCTTTTTTCAGTCAAGGCACCCTTTAAAATTATGGACAGTCCCGAGGTAACCTTTAAAATTATGGACAGTCCCGAGGTACCCTTTAAAATTATGGACAGTCCCAAGGTACCCTTTAAAATTATGGACAGTCCCGAGGTACCCTTTAAAATTATGGGCAGTCCTGAGGCACCCTTTACAATTATGGACAGTCTTAAGGCACCCCGTTCTAAAATGTGAAAAGCTATTCTAATCATTTTATATAACGCAGCAACATCTACACATGTAGGACACCCAACATTAGAGGTGATTTATTCTTCCAAAGCAAATATACTTTTGCACACTGGTACTGAGTAGTATTCCAGGGTTTCTCTTCTCCCTCAGTTTTTCTCCATCACTAAGTTAATGTGACCCCAGCACTGATGGAGAGGGGCAGGGCAGGGTCAAACTAGGAGGCTGTGCATGCAGCTGACATCCTTCTTCTCAACTGATGATGTCACTGGTTGTCAGGCCGCTGGCGGCTAGAAGGTCATAATGGTGTACAATGAAAACCTGTGACTTTGTGTAAGTCACAAGTTTTGGGAAACTTTTAGACATTTTGCCAAAGCACCCCTGAAGAAACCTCAAGGCACCCCAGGGTGCCTTGGCACCCTGGTTGAGAAAGACTGCTCCAGCTGACCTATTGTATTCTGACAGCAGGGAGATTTCCCAGCTGTCAGAATACACTCATCATCACCACCAGCTATAGCCAGCGGCACTGATTGTAAGACAGTTTTACCACCAGTATGCTCATACATGGATCTGGAGATTTGGCCAGTCCCTGCTCAACCAGCTGGATTTTGATTCATGTATGGCCAGCTTTAGGGTGCATAGGCACACCTGTGTCTACAGCAGTATAGCTGTATATCTGCAATACAAGCTCTCAGGCACGTCTGCCTTTGACTGCCGACCTCAGGAGATTTGGAGTGAGATTTGGTGATGTCATTATTGTGCTGCTCTGTGTTCTTGCTGGAGGCTGACATGGGGCCACTTCCACATAAAGACACTGTAAAACAAGGCATGGTTAGTCAGTACTGGGGAAAGGCTAGCTTCAGGGAGACCCCAGGTAATACTGGTGACCAGCTTTTTGTCCTCTTTTGTCTTTATGGGCACAGCTTCAAGATGTCAGGCCCTTCTTAACCTCCCTGGCGGTATGATTGTTTCAGATTTTTGGTGCTGAAAGCGGTACCATTATTTTGCATGGAAATTTGCCGTTTTATATTGTAGGCCTGTAATTCTTAGGAATAACTCACTGAAATCTGTCCGAACAAGAGTCTAGTAAACATCCCGGGTAGGATAAAACTTGAAACACAAAATCATAAATTATAATTTTAATAAATAATCATAAAAAATAATAATATAATAATAATAAATTTAATTCAATAATATAATCAAACCAAAAACACTGAAATTTGAAATATAGCGCCAAGTTCACACATCACTGAGCAAAGTCGCAAAATTGTTTTCAGTATCTGATGACGAATTTCCCCACGAATCATTATCACTCAATTCTGCAAGTAATTCTGATTTACTATTGCTGTTCTCTAGTTGGTCTGAAACCGCTTTTGACCTAAAGGGACGCTTTTTGGATACTATGGACGTTTCTCAGTTTCCAGTTTCATGTGGATGCTTCAATGTTAAACCACTGAATGGTTTCCTATGTCTTTTGGGTACCCCCTTGGCAAGAAGTGACCGAGTTTGCAAAGCCTCATACTTCTGAAAAGAGTACCAACTCTCCTTGTTGGCTTTTTTATTTTCCATATTTAAAGAATGTACTGAAGAAATGAGAACAGCACAAGGGACTCGGAAACCCCAAAATTCCAAGGTGGGTAGGAATAGAGCCAGCAACAATTGCACTGGAATATTCAGAGACAAGAAGCAAGCAAGTGACTCAATTTATCAACCTCTATATATATCACTTTCCACTTTGTTGAAATTCTGATCTCAAAATTAAAAATGTTGATTGGCATATAACTCTATGGCTGCCTGTAGGTGAACTGAAATTTAAGGATCATAATACCTATTGTGAGTTTACAACATTTGTTTTTGTGTGTTTTTGTTAAAAGACTCGGATATATTTTTGGGTATCTGTTTGTGACGACATCTATCATGTGGGAGATCACAATATGTGCAAGCATATCAGAAGCCCCATAGCTCTTAGTCATGCGATCAAAGAGGGCCAATTTTCCTGATCTGCCATATGTGACCTGATAGGACTAGCAGGAAAAAATTCACCACAGGTACATTGTCATGCAACTGCTTCTTAAAGCGGTAATAAGGTCTGCTCCATAGAGGGTGGGCTGTTTGCAAAACTGTGTGGCCTGAAATATATATATTCATAGATGAAGGTACAGTAAAAGTAGCCAAGAGGGGCACTCTCCAGAAATTTGGCTCTGACCCTTATCTGCAGTTTAAATCAGTTTCAAAAAAGCACAACAGCTGTGCTAACCCTTTTAAATGTTGAAGCACTTTTTTTTTTGGATTGATATATTTTTGTTTGTTTTAGGGGTTTTTAGCACTGTATTTAATAAGGGTTAACCTTATGCACATTAGTATTAGTACAGTTATGCACATTAGTATTAAGGGTCCTTTCACACGGGCTTCTGTTTTTTTCATCAGTTCAGTCACATTTTTTCCAAGAAAAAAACGGATCAGTTCACATCAGTTTTTCATCAGTTTACATTCGCTTTTCATCAGTTTACATCTGATTTTCATCAGTTTACATTAGTTTTTCATCAGTTTACATCCATTGTTTTACATCCTTTACCAATGCAAAAACGAACTGTATGTTTGTTTACATCTGTTACTTCCATTTTTGTCTGTTTTACATCTGTCTTTTGTCCGTTTATATCCATTTTTTTGTCCATTCCATTTTTTTTTATGGAAGAAAAATAGGGGTTTCTTCTATTCAAAAAAAACAAATGTTAACGGATGCGGACATTAACGGATGTAAACAGATGATCATCTGTTGGCATCCGCTAGTCCATAGAAATACATGGGTGTCCGTTTTTCATCCATAAGCGGACAGATGAAAAACAGACATACGGAATGACCTCATGAAAGGGGCCTAAGGGTTTTTATTACGGCTGCTTGTACTGATTGCTTATTGATTGTTTGGGTTTGTGATTTCACCATTAAGTGCAGAGAGGGGATAGATTTGATTATTGCTAGAGCCCTGTGTGCTTTTAAAAAACATAAAAAGAAACTATAAAGAAATATTGATTGTATAGATGTGAAAAACAGCCTGCAATAACTTTACTGAAAAATAATCATAGTGGTATGAAATAAGTTCAACTTACAGCCAGCTCCTGCTGTGAAGCCATCTTGTAGTAGTGTCCACGGAATTCAGCTGCAAACTGCAGGGATGATGTTACCGAACAATCGACAAGCTCTCCCCTTTGTGCCAGGCTTACAGGACAGTATTGTGCAAACTCTCCCAGGCGAGACAACAGCTCTTGGGGGGTGATGCAGAAATCAGCAATAGCAGCTGCTTTACCTGTTCAAGTTGCAACAAAACACACACTCCAAAAATGTATCTGGCCATAATGAATTTAAGCCCAAGTGATAAAGAAAAACAAATGTATACATTAACTTAAGACGTACAGAAAATCAGGTAGGAAGGGTGAGCTGATTTTCTTCAAGTACAGTAAAGGTGAAAATTGGTGCCATTGTTATTGACTTTACTGTTTACCTGATCTTTACTTTTGTATATGAACTATCTACCCACTGTCTCAACCAACCACCTGCCAGAAAGGCATATAATGAGTTGGACTAACCATTTGGAAACTCAGGCACTGCCCGAGGGCCCGGGGTCAGTAGGGGGCCCCATGAGATGCCCCTGGTACCTTTTTCATAGGCTTTTTTGAGTTTGGGCAAAGACACAGGGGCCCCATGATCTCCTATTGCCCGGTGGCCCCATGAGTTGTCAGTCCGCCTCTCTGAATGAGTGGCTAACATTCATGCTCAGTGTATGGTTATGTCTCATCTGTACATACTGTAGCTACCTTTGTGCATGTCTTATACACTGCTAGCACAAGTAGTCAAAAATAGTAAGAATTTCTGAGATACCTACATAAGTAGAAACAGATACAACACCTCCTGCGCTCAGAGACCCAGATCAGAAATCAGCGGGTGGAACAATATATGAAAGTTCATCCAATAGCCGATCAAGGTTGTGCAGCTCAAACACAAGGCTGGGGAAGCCCAATAAAAACTGTAATGAAGAACAAAAACAGAAGTGCATCAACCTTGCGCATTACCTCAGTAAGCAAAGGGTGAATTTATTGAATTGAGATATATACTCACAAAAGTAGCAATAATTAAGGCATATGAAATGCAACATCAAAGCACTGGAATAGGAGTCCCATCGAGAGGGGAGAGTTCTCAGGATAAAGCTGATGCGTTTCAAAAGGGGTTCCCTTCTTCCTCAGAGCTCTGGATTTATATGCCTTAATTACTGCTAATTTTGTGAGTATATATCTCAATTCAATAAATTCACCCTTTGCTTACTGAGGTAATACGCAAGGTTGGTGCGCTTCTGTTTTTGTTCTTCGTTACACCTACATAAGTAGGCCAGTGAACTGAATCTCTGTTGCAACCCAACTAAGTGAGGCCGAAATGTTGTTTGTTTCCTTACCATGTTTTTTTTTAAATATTGTATTTAACCATTAGCCGCCCGGCCAATGGCTGTTTGGCGGCTTCAGAAGTGCTGCGGCATTCCGGGTGCACACCATTTGGCGTGCACCCGCACATGCGCAGTTTGTGCTAATGCAGAGCCTCGCAGCGGCGCGATCTGTCACCGGCCGTGTATCTCGGACACGGCCGATGACAGATCTGAGTACCAGCCCCCGTTGCTGGTACCATGTGACCTGCTGTGACCAATCACAGCAGGTCACATGACAGTTGTATACAATGGATGGCTTCATTCATGCCATCCATTGCATACTACTGCCTAGCTGTGAATGGTCACAGCTAATCACATGCACATGTCATGTGATTAGCTGTGACCAAATCACAGCTAAGCACAAAAAAAAAAAAAAACCTTGAATGAATCGACTTCATTCAGGTAAATGCTTGCTTATAGTAAAGTAATTCTTTGCTATAAGCAAATTGTGTAAAAAAAAAAAAAAAAAAAAAATACTGATCACTTCCCCAAAGCAGTACAATGTTACTATGGTAACATTGTACTACGTGGGTCATAGTAAAATATGAAAAAAAAATCTTAAAAAAAAAAAAAAAAAAAAAAAAAAAATATATATATTTTTTTTCTCATACTGTCACCATGCCAGTTATATGATGACGCTGTACTGCACTGGTGACAGTATGTAAAAAAAAAAATAGTGAAAATAATTTTTTTAATTTTTTTATTTTCCGAAAAATTATGACAAAAAAAATACAACTTCAAAAAACTCGCCATTCCTCTTATGAAGTACGTCGGACTGTCTACTTTGCAAAAAGGGGTCATTTGGGGATATCTGTACTGTTCTGACATTCTTGGACCTCAAGAAATTAGATTGGCTGTCAGTACTTCAGGATTGATCAATATTCAGATCTATACCATAGTTTGTGAACTCTATAACTTTCCTACAAACTAAATAATACATCCTAATTTGGGTTATTCTCACCAAAGACATGTAGCAGAATACATCTCGGCCTAAATTTATGAAGAACAATTATTTATTTGTAAACTTTTATAACAGAAACAAAGAAAAACTTGGTTTTTTTCAAAATTTTTGGCCTTTTTTTGTTAATTTATCAAAAAATAAAAACCCCAGCGGTGATTAAATACCACCAAAAGAAAGCTCTAGTTGTGTGAAGAAAATGATAAAATTTTAGTTTGGGTACAATGTTGTATGACCGCGCAATTGTCATTCAAAGTGTGAGAGCGCTGAAACGTGAAAAATGGCCTGGGCAGGAAGGTGTAAAATTGCACGGTATTGAAACGGTTAAAAAGAACCAGAATTTTTTTGAGTGAGCTGTGTTCATATGTGTTTCCTTGCATCTACACTTCTATATATGTGCATTGCGTTGCAAAAACAAATGCAGCTTGCTCTACTTTTTTGAAAAGCACATAACCACAACACAATGATGTAAACTACACTCATTGAGAAACATTCATTTTTATTGCTATTATGTTTAGAATATGTTTCTAACACATCAAAACACACCCGGTGTGAACAAGACCTAATAAAGCTCTTTATAGCCATAAATCTACATCAATCTGAATCAGACCATACATAATGGAAGGCATATAGGGTGTCAAGTGTGAAGTGTGCTATTGAGATGCAGTCTCTACCATCTCTCTATAACCAACCAGCTTCTTCATTTCTATTGCTATTGCAGGTTACAACATGTAAACGAGAACTTAGGCCTAAATTAATATTACAATTGCCCAAAATATCAGTTTTGTTACTGTAATCACACACACACATACACACTTACTTGTATCAATGTAAAGTGCTTTTTGACTCACAATTCCATTTGTAATGTCATAGGATAATGACATTTGCTGATGAGCTTTGTCAAGGAGAATGTGTTTAATACCTGATATTACACAGACAGAATGTGTACATACCTTCCCTTATTCTTTCTATGTAGTTTTGCACTTGATTGATGCTTGTTCGGACTTCTTCAAGGATTTTATTGGACACCCACCATTTGCTCCGTGTGGCATCTACTTCACACCAGTTTTGATGTTGCATCATATAATATTCTTTAATATGCTGGATACCCTGCTTGTAATTGGAGTTTTTCACAGTTAATATCTGTGCACTGTCATGTACAGGGTATGGCCTATCAAAGAAAAATCAAAACAGCAAAAAAAATGTAGTAAATGATCACAAATGAGAATTGGAATGCACTGTACATGGCCAAGTTTGAAGTAAACCTGTATTGAGAGAAATAAAGTCTATCTTTTTTGACTTCCTGAAAATGCTTGTTACTTGACTAACCTGTAAATGTATCAGTAGTAAATATTAGCAAGTGCTTCTTTATGTCATGCTTAAATGTTAGTAAATAAATGAAATGGTATGGTATATAATAACATGGTCAGGAGTGTACCTGTAGCATGGCATCCTGGGATATAGTTACAGTATCTGCAAAGACACCATAGCTTATAAGGGACAAGGGTCTATCTACAAGCAAGTTATCTGTAGATTATGAGGCCCTTGTGTATCATTACTCATAGCCACAGTCTTTAGAAGCCCTCCACAGGACCAAGAGGTAAAAGGCTCTTTTATTTACAGCTTTAATACCCGTTGTAGAACTACCTAAGTCAGCAAACAATACAGTTATATGTTAATTATTACAAGTACAGAGTTACATAGTTAGTCTGGCTGAAAAAAGACAAAACGTCCATCCAGTTCAACCATTAAAAAAAAAAGTTAAAATCCTATACCCACAGTTGATCCAGAGGAAGGTAAAAAAAAACCCAGTAAAGCATGATCCAATTTGCTCCTGTAGGGAAAAATAATTCCTTCCTGATCCCCCGAGAGGCAATCGGATATTCCCTGGATCAACTTTACCTATAAATGTTAGTATCTAGTTATATTCTGTGTATCTAAGAAAGAATCCAGGCCTTTTTTAAAGCAATCCACTGAACTGGCCAGAACCAACTCTTGAGGGAGGCTATTCCACATTTTCACAGCTCTCACTGTGAAGAAACCTTTCCGTTTTTGGATATTACATTTCTTTTCCTCCAGACGTAAAGAGTGCCCCCTTGTCCTCTGTGATGACCTCAGGGTGAATAACTCTACACCGAGTTCACTATATGAACCACTGATGTATTTATACATGTTGATCATATCCCCCCTTAATCTCCTCTTCTCAAGAGAGAATAAATTCACTACTGCCAAACCAAACCCATGGAGGATGCTTGTGGATAGAAGAGGATCCCGCACTGATATCTGCTGGTACCCAGCCACCAGGGGCACCCCATGAATCATTAGGAAAGTCAATCCAATACTGATCTTTCAGAAAACAAGTAATAATTTTTTTTCTCTTGTATTTCAATGGTTTTTATTAACTTTTGTAAACAATTTAACAAGAAGGAGTAGAGCAAAAGCCATGCCCAAGCAGGGGCTATCAATGGTACATAAAAAAATAAAGAGATCAGTATTGTAACTCTAACAATGCAAGAGGCGTGCCCACATAGGGGCTATCAATGGCACATAAAATACAAAAACAGTGATATAACACCAACAAAAATTTCCAGCCAAAGGCAAATATCTTCACCTCACGTAATCAAACAAAAAAAAAAAGAAAGAGGAAAAAAGAGTAAAGAAGGAAGAAAACAAGACCAGAAGCAGGGATCCAGGAACACATTTACCATACAGCGTCATAAACCCAGACTAGCCGGGGGGAGCAGGGGAAAAGTATATGTTAACCACGGCTCCCATATTTTCAAAAATTTTCATTGGGAGTAATTACACATACTCAACATTTGTTCACTGAGCATCAAAGTGGTCATACGGTCAAGCACCCCCTGAAGAGGAACAGACAGCATTTCCATGCCTGGGCAATTGTTCTAGTGGCCGACAGATAGGAAGCCAACTTCTGCTGATGAGCCAGCAGGCCTGGTATGGGACAATGAAGCAAAGCATACGAGCCTCTCAGCATATGGAGAGATGGAACAAGGTGTAAAGAAGGCCAAAGACACAAGACCAAAAACGAAGCAGTCTCGGACATGACCATCATATATGCAACACATCTCCACGATGGCTGCAACCCCGAAAGCAGCGATCACTATAGGCAGGGTTCGCCTGGGCTATATGAGCCGGGACCCAATACCAATGAAACAGCACTTTGTATACAGTCTCCAGCATGGCCGTATTAAATGAACATTTAGCTACAAACGACCAGGCCTTATTCCAGTCCTCCAGATCCACGACCATCCCCAAGTCATGCTCCCACTGGACAACATATGATAGAGAATTACGAATTGGGTGCCTATTCAAGGAATAATTATTTTTTATACCATATATTTCAAAGATCTGGATGACTTTCCCCAAACTTTCTGTTTCTGGGTAATAGATGCAATGCCTGCATTTTGCATTTCAATGGTTTTCATTAATTAATAACAGCACAGGAGCAACAAATCACGCCCACGCAGGGGCTATCAATTGCATATAAAAGAAGTAGAAAATTAAAGAAATCAGTGCTTTAACACCAACAGGGCAAAAGATTGCCCACGCAGGGGCTATCAATGGCACTTAAATAACAAAACATAAATATAACACTGATAATAACTCAGACTAAAGGCAGCTATCCACTGCCACACCAAAAGCAATCAGAAAAAAAAAAAAAGGGGGGGGGGGGGAGGAAGGAGAAATACAAAAGAAAAAAGATAACCAAACCAAGAGCAGGGATCCAAGAACGCCAAAGCCGAACAACATCACATCCCCAGACTAGCCGGGGGGAGCATGGGAAAGGTATATTGCAACCACGGCTATCATATTTTCAAGAATTTACATTGGGAGTCGTTGCAGATAATCGACATCTGTTCATTGAGCATCACAGTGGTCATACAGTCCCGCACCCCCTGAAGAGGGACAAACAGGCTCTTCCAGGCCTGAGCAATTTTTCTAGAGGCCGACAAAAACAAATAGGAAACCAACTTTTGATGAGCCAAGAGGCCTGGTATGGGACAATGAAGCAAAGCATACCGAGCATCCCGTCGTAGAGAGAGATGGAACAAGGTGAAAAGGAGGCCAAACACACAAGACCAAAAACGAAGCAGCCTCGGGCATGACCACCAGATATGCAATACATCACCACGATGGCCACAACCCCGAAAACATCGATCAGTGCAGGCAGGATTCCCCTGTGCCAAACGAGTCGGAACCCAATACCAACGAAACAATACCTTGTAAGCCGCCTCCAGCGTGGTCGTATTAAATGAGCATTTAGCTATGAGTGACCAGGCCTTATTCCAGTCCCCCGGATCCACAGCCACTCCCAGGTCGCGCTCCCACTGAACGACATATGAAAGAGAAGTATGCGACGAGCGTCTATTCAAAGCTGCATAAGGAAGGGAAATAAGGTCTGGGGCGCCCGGCCGCTGTTGGCAAAGCAGTTCAAAGGCAGATTTCTGGTACGGGAAGACAGAAGTGCCCCGCAATGAGAGCAGCCAATTGAAGGTAACGAAAAAATTCCACCGGAGGGACATCCCGTGACTCCCGAAGAGAATTCCAGGTAGGGAAGAACCGAGAGGACAAAAAGTGTCGTACCTGTAAAAAACCATTGATCACCCACCATGAAAACGCCCTTGGTTGATCTAAACCTGGTGGGAAGAGGGGGTTGTTAGTGATTGGGAGCAAAGGCAAAAAAGGTGACATTAGGCCACTGGAGTAACGTACCAAGTCCCACACTTGTAAGCCATGGAGCAAAATCGGACTCAGTGCCGTGGGGCGCAGAGCAGGGGGAAGCCATAGAAGTGTCGATATCGCAATAGGGGCACAATTAGATAATTCCAGGAGGACCCAGAGAGGTATGTCTGAGGAAGCATGCAACATAGATAGCGGGGCGATCTGGCTCGCCTGATAATATTTAGTAACATTGGGAACCCCAAGGCCACCCTGGAGTCTATGGACAAAAAGCGTAGTTCTGGAAACTCTGAGGCGTTTATCGGCCCAGATAAAACGCATAATCTTTACCTGAAGCAACCGTACCTCGCCAAATAGGAAAGGAGCAATGCCTGCATTTTAATCTGAATCCACAAGCACCATCAAAAAGAACACATCAACTGAATTAATTAACATAAAGATGGTACCTTTTTGATTCCTTTTTATCCAGTTGTCCTCTGTTTAAAATCTCTTTCATTGGTATTTCTAATTCGAAGATCTTTATAGGAATTATGCTGCAGGCTTGCAGAAGGACAGCTTGTTGTTCAGTTGCTGGATATCCATCCAGAACCACCCTAGGAGAAGATTGAGAGTTTCATTGGTACTTGTTAATAGTCAGTACTAATGAGGATTGTTAAAACAATTGTAAACATAAAGTCACACAAATAATATGAGGGGAGCGATTATTAGGAGGTCTTCATTTACTTTTGAATGTAGGCACATTTCATAGGACAATACTTCTGCTTTTTTGCAAAACTACTCATTATCAGAAACTATTTGAAAAGCACAATACATTCCCCAAGGTTCGCAAGTACATAGGAGTGTTTTTAAAATGTGTAGAGCTATTCGTCTTGCGAAACTGCATGTACATTCGTTCTGTGTAAATGGGAGCATCATTTTTATAAGTACACCCCGCAGTTTTCAAAAAATCGTTTGCAGATATCTATATAAATATTTTGGCTCACCCAGCCTAATAGTGACATTTTAAAAAAAAGATCACAAAACATGCATTTGCAGACACCGAGAAAAAAAGAAACTCTTTTAGCCTACGACACACTGATAGGGCTCTATGATTAGGCCCTAATACAGTGTGAAATGGGAATATTTGTTTGCATGGCTAAATCAGGGTTCCTATTGAGTAGAAATATAGGGGGACTAATAATGAAGGTTCTTATAAACATATATACTGTCATTTCTCCTAAAAGAGCATTTAATGCACTTGCCCTTTCTTTCACCTAGGAAATGTGGTTTGAAGTTTGTGCCTGTGACGTAAGCATCTACAAGGTGAACCAGCCAGCTATCTTCCTGTTTCAAGTTTAAGAAAAGAATTTTGTGGTCAAACCAGTTTGAACCAGCAACTGTCATGGCGGATGACCACAAGTCTCTATTTTGGACAAATCACATGATGTTAACACCCATTTAACTCTGAGCTTGCTGTTAAGCATATGAGGATTTGATTGGACTAAAACTATACGATCACTCCTGGACTTTTTATGACACGCCTGGATTTTATGATTATATATGTATCAGTTTAAAGTTTAAGAGATAGATATATTGATCACTTTGGTCCACCTCACATGAGGTGAACGTCTGTATGCTATATTATCTCCACTGCAGTGTAATAAATGCACCTTTCTTTATCGATTTGGACTCACTATCTCATCTGAAAGGTCTCGTTTGTGAACCCCCAAACCTGACTCGACACTATATTGAGTCAGGCACCTCAAACAGCAAAGCACAATTTTTTATTGTAAAGTAAACTTACCCTGTAGTATTACATGGAAGATCCATCAGTGCCACTTCTAGACATCTGATTGCAAGCTCATCAGGCACAGCTAGCCCCTTTACAAGAAGACCTTTTATGTCTAATGCAAGCTCTGTGTCTGGCTGATTTTCTAACACAGACCGAATGGCATCCCCCATTGACAGACGCTTTAGGCCATATATGCTAGCAAACATGTTGGCGACTGAAACATATAAAGGAACAGATGTTACCAAACTGGAAAAGATGCAAACACATTTTGCAGTTTAATAATTTTGAAAGTTAATTATTTTATATTTATGAAACACATCTAACACAGATTTGATATGAATCCCTCTTGAACTATTAATACTTTAACGTACAGTACAGCCTGCTCTGTTAATGTGAAGTTCACTAGCTCTTCTTTCCAATGATCACCACAGCACAGCCCTGCCCAGAGCCACACAGCCTTTCTAGTGAAAATATCTTTGCCAACCCATCTTTAAAATGGAAGCCCTGGCCCCATTCATTCCTGTTGGTGAGCCATATTCCACTGACAGCTGGTAAATGAGTCACCCATGGAAATGAACAGGGCGACGGTGTGCACTATGAAGGAGGACCTGTGGGAACATAATCAACATTTCACAGGCTGTGTAGTGCTGGGCCGGCCACACACTGAACATTGCTGGAAGGAGAAGCAAGGTAAGTGACACAGTAGGCTCTACTAAGAAAGGTTGACCATTACATACAGAACAGTTTCAATGTTTTCACGTATAGTTGAGTCACTCAGCCTTGTTTCTATGCATGAAAACATAGGAACTGGGGTGGAAAAAAATGGCAGCAGGTGCTATGGACTGATGAGTCAAAATCTGAAATATTTGGTTGTATCAGGAGACTGTTTGTGAAGGGCTGGAGATCGGTACAATAATGTGTGTCTGCAGGAAACAGTGAAGCAGGGTGGAGATTCCTTGCAAGTTTGGGGCTGCATTTCTAGAAATGGAGTTGGAGATTTGGTCAGGGTCAATAGTGTACTCAATGCTGAGAGATACAGGCAGATACTTATCCATTATGCCAAACCATCAGGGAGACATGTAATTGGCCACAAATGTATTCTGCAGCAGCACAACAGCCTCAAACATGCAGCCAATGTCACTGAGAACTTAAAAACAAGGAGTCCTGGAAATGATGGTTTTGCCCCCACAGAGCCCTGATCTCAACATGATCGAGTCTGTATGGGATTACATGAAGAGACAAAAGGATCGGAGGCAGCCTACATTCACAGAAGATCTGTAGTTAGTTCTCCAAGATGTTTGGAACAATCTACCTGCCAAGTTCCTTCAAAAACTGTGTGCAAGTGTACCTAGAAGAATTGAAGAATTTATGCTATTTTAAAGACAAAGGGAGGTCACATCAAATATTGATTTGATTTGATTTGATTTGGACTTCTCTTCTGTTCATTTACTTTCCATTTTAATTGATAAAAATAAACCTTAAAAACCTCTATTTCTGAAAGCATTCTTAATTTACAGCATTTTTTCACACCTGCCTAAAACTTTTGCACAGTACTGTACATGGTACAGCAGGCAAATATCAGGAATATGAAATGTTGGGTTTAGATATTATTTAAACCCATAAGCAAACATTTATTTTTTGCAGCTTATAATTAGATGTGATAGCTGCATTCATTTTTCTTTCTTTTATTTTAATCTGGTGATCTAGTTAGTAAGTCTGTTGTTTTTCAACAGAACAAGCTGTCCTGCAGATGTAGCAGTTAGCAGGCAGAGACAAAACATTTAACACTGGCATGGTGCTTAAAATGATCAGGTTTTATTTATTTATGTAAACCTTTCTCCCAAAAGGGAAAAAAACTGGTACTGTAACTGCTTAAAATGAATTAGCTGGACTTTCACTTCAATTTGTTACTGTATCTAAATCTGTAGTACTAGCCAGATCACTGGGTGAAAACAAAGTGAAAACAGCCTATAAAAAGACAACCACCACATCTAATGACTGGAAAGGTGAAATATATTACATTTTTGGTTTTGCGTTTACTGCTTCATACAGGTTTTATTACAATATGTACAGTGTTTCCCAAACAGTTAAAATGTGTTCTTTGAAGAAAAATATAATTATATCCTCTCTCCCTGTTGGAAGCATTTAGTAGTTTGAAAACGTAAATAATATGAATTTTCCAAAATACTGAATAATCTGCATTTAAAATTGTCAAAATACATTTATCCTCACTATAGAGGTCCTACAGAGATGTCATTTGACTAAGATAACCATACTCATAGGACTCACAGGATGCCTAGAGAATTCAAAGTCCTCTAACATAAAATCAGCCACAGGTTCTGCATGCAGCCACCCATGCAAGTGAGTGGTTGTACTTGTGTACACGCCAATAGTGCTGGGGATTTTACAATGGAGGACTATGAAACCTCTAGACGTCAATGTGTATGAAGCCATATAGAACAGTGGTGTTTTTAGTAGCCAAATCTACTAGGCTTTTTTTAAATTAATTGCTGTACAAGCAATAGTCTTACTTGTGGTTTTTCCAGATTTGGGAGGTCCAACAACTGCAATTCTAACAGGCACTGAGGGTTTAGGCTTTGGCTGATGGATAAATTTAATAGGGTTCTTCATAAATGCGATTCTGTTTTCTTTTGTTGAAAAAAAGTAAATATATTGTCGGTAAATCAGAGGGAAAGTAGGATTTTCTTGATTTTGCAAAGGCTTTATAACTTCTCCTTGGCTGAGCTATAGTAGAAAAAAGTTTGGTTAGACAGTTTAGACTACAAAACCAAGGATTCAGTTTTCCAAAAATTAAAGCCTTATTAAAAAATAAATAAAAACTTAAATCAACCTACTATCTAGCTCAGAGATGACATGAAAAATCATAAAAAGTGAATAGTCAAAGCTAGCTAATTTAGACCCACTAACACAATCCCCATAACAGTTTTTATTCATTCCACCTACTTTTCTAGCGTTTTATCCTTTCAGTTTTGCTGCAGAAAGATCCCTATCTAAAGCTGACCATTTGGACAGTCTGACACACAAGCTCAATTCAAATGTTTAATGATGGCCTAAACAAGAGCACTTGGGTGGTACCAGCTTTCCATTTTAGCTTACTGAAGATGGCGGGGATCAGATGTGGCTTCTCCGGGAGCAGTGCCAATACCAACTTATCTTGGGGGAATAAATAATGACAGTGCTCTTAAACCCACTTAATTACCATCTCCTATGTTGAGGAACTGAGCATGTGCAGGAGCCATTTTGATGGCTATCTCTATATACAGAGGTGAAACAAACGATGGATGCCATTTTGCCACCATGTGCAGCTGAGCACAACTTCCAGCCACTATGTGATCTATTTTATTCTTTATACAAAGCTCTGTTTTTTGGAGCGAAACATGTAGAGTTTCCTTTTCTTTGGGTCTTTCTTTGGGAGTACTTTTTTGATGCACATGGTATTCACTCCCCCCCCCCCCTTTTTTTTTGGAGAGGTCTGTACTGCATTTTACAGGGCATCATTTGCATTCTTCAAGACAGTGAGGTATTTTTGTCTGGATACGGTGATGTATGGGGCTTATCCATGAGAGGCTGACATTTCAGCCTGTGGATGAGTGTACCCATATTGCATATCTGTAGCAAGATAGATTATACTATCTAATTAGTTTTGTCCATGGGATAACTCCATTTCCTTAACAGAGATTATATATTCAAGCTGCTAGGCTTATGATCAAACCACAGTGCCTCTTTGTATGCCATCACTTCATCTAAAACAGTATGGTATTTGATTTGGTCTGATGTTATTAACCATTTGGATGTAAGGTAAATAATTGAAATGGTATCCAGTCATATTGATGTGCGCAGTACATTCCACTCCAATAGGCATTAATTACAGTTGAGCATACATTTTCTATATATTTAAATAAAGGTTATATATTTTACATTCATCAATTGGCCAGATGGTGCGCAGAGAAACGCACCCTCGTCCAGTATAGATCAGCTTTCCATTTTAGCCTACCAAAGATGGTAGGGAGATGTGGCTTCACCGGGAGCAGTGAGTGCCATTACCAACTTATCTCGGGGGAATAAATAATGACAGTGCTCTTAAACCCACTTGCAAATCTCCTTGCAAAACAATTGCATGAGACTGTCTGAGGCTGCTCTGTAGACATTAGATTATCTGAATCAGGAGCCTCTTACCATGAAAGTTTAAGTTCCATAGATAATATGGCAATGCTAAGCAGGAACTGATTCATTAGCATAATAGACAGTTACTTTACCTCTCTTCTCTAATCTATAATTTATCAATAGGCCTCAGTGTTTGAAAGAAAGTTAAAAGTAGTGCTAAAAGACAACAGAGCTATTGTACCCAGCATCCAATTAGATTTCAGTGTAATTTCCTAATGCAGGTTTTAAAATTAATTGTGGTGTGCAAATTAACCAGCTTTTTTAAAAAAATTATTTCCATCTTACTGGTGTAGAAAAATCTGTATTGGGAAATTATGAAGTCTACCATTGTTGACCTATGACCTATTATTCTAATTACACACATTTGGGGCGCTGACATTTTTGATCTACAGATATACAGCCAACTAACATTTTCAAGATACAGTCAGCAATGAAAGCCTGCATTATTTTGTCTACAGGTTTCCTTTAATGTGCAATGCTAGTAAGAGCTAAGCCACAGCAGACAGGCAATGAAGGTATTCAGTGGAAGACTCTGAAGGCAGCAAGCGGTGGCAGGCAAAAAATAACTTTACCATATTACCTTCTAGTGAGGAATAAGCATGTGACACTGTATCCACAATAGCAAACTGTAATTTACGTACTCTACACTATTTAACAATACCTTGACAGGGTCCCATCGTCTAAAGATACTGGGATGCTTATATGACATATGAAGCATCTTGCTTGCAAGGAACAGGCTAATAGGAAAACATTTTTCAAAGAGACTTTCTCGATTTTCCACTAGGTTTTTTAGTTTTTCATATAGCTGGAAATGCACAATGTGCAATTTACGGCTTGTATTGACTGTAACACATGGTATCATTAGGCTTTGAAATTCATCCTGTCATTTGAAAAAAAAACAAGAATATGATACAAATATTATTACATTACAAATAATATATATGTAATTATTTAACAATTATATTGTACAACAATTAGTATATTACTTTTAAAGCCCAATTCCATTTTTTTTAATAATCATCATGTGTAATATATAACTAATTATTTTTTTTTAGTTCATCTGCAATTCCCACCTTCTCCCCAGTAATTTCCCCCACAATCTGATCCCTGGTCCAGCACTGGCTCTCTTTACTTACAGTAAACTTTAATGTTTTAGCCCTGGTTCACACTGATGCGGTGCGGAATTCGCAACATTTTAAGTGCGAATTCCGCACCGCATCAGAATCGCACCCCATTCATACGAACCGCCGCGGGTGTGTATGTTAACAACACCCCAAAAGTGGTCCACAAAGCACAGTGCAATGTGCAGAATCGGATCACATAGGTGTGAATACCTATGCGATCCGATTCTAGTGCAGACCCAAAAAAGGGTCCTGCACGTTTTTGGTGTGGGTGCAGTGTGAATAGAGCCATACAAAATGTATGGCTCCAATCGCACCGCACACAAATCTCATGTGATTTGCACAGGAATGTGGTACAGTTCATGTGCGAATCACATGTGATATACCGCACTGCACATATGTGAATCCAGGCTAACTGTGAAGTCTAAGAGCAGATTTCATGATATAATACTATTGTTAACCAGAAAATGATCTTATTAGCACCAGTTTTCCTTTGTTATTCAAACATGAAGTTTCTTACTTCAGGGATAACACTGTTCAAACACTTACAGCCCGATTGTAAAATCTCCTTTAAATTTATCAACACTATGTAGTGAGAGGCCTAACATGACTGGATACAAATTGAGCAGATCATTTGGGTCACTCTTTGCACACACAGTTCAGTGCTAGGACAACGTACTGTAATTCCTGTGGGTATATGAGGGAGAACAATGATCAATGGCCTCCCTGTTGGCAAGTGCAGTTAGCTTGCCTGCCACGAGATGGCTCTATGGCCAATGTGGTATGGAAAGGGGAAAATTATAAGCAGGTGACAGCTCCCCATTTACGGAAAGCCCTCCTCTAGCGATGTAGTAGATGGAGTTAGTGCCTATATAAATGCCAGTGTGGGTGTGACCTGGTGAGATGGGATATGGAAACAGAACACCCCAAAGCTGCAAATATGTAATCCTGTATTGAGCTGATCTAAAAAGCCCTATGCAGGGCTGAATTCCCGGGAGAAGTGGCACAGGTCGATTGAGGAAAGCTGTAGTCACCTTGTCTACCCTTGGCTTTCTTTTGCAGGTCCTGTAGCATAGTGCATGACCTGAGAGACCTGAACAGAGTCTTTTAAACGTGAGGGAAAGTGAAACTTGGGAATAGAGGTCATCAGAGAACTTGCCTGGCTGGTCAAAGCTATAGATGGGACATTTGGGAGAGAGTGGCAGTATACTAATGGAAGGGCCTTGCCCCCCTGACCCTCAGATGCAGGTCCTATGGCTATGGAAGTCTATTGTTGAGAGACTTAGTATACATGAGGAGGTGGTCCCAATCCTGTGGTGCTCCCATGAAGAGGAATGGAGGGGAGGGAAGGTGACTTTGACTAAAAGTAGTATACTTGTGCTCTGTACTGAAATGACTACTACAGAATGTTTAACTTTGCACATGGTGTTCCGTGCTGAAGATTCTGATAACATGTCAAGTGTTAAATGTTATGGGAAGTAATGTGAAGATGTGACTTTGCAGTAAAGCGCTGGAAATGCATTCATGTGTGGACTTTCCTTTTTTTGACTATTAACACCTTCGGCCAGGAATGTTGTGAGCAGGCCTCTGGCCAGGAGACATGTGTCCAATATGGTGTTTACAACGCCAGGGGTGTAGGTGCTCTATCCATGTGGGACGGAACTGATACATTTTGGTGCCAACATCTGGCCAATCAAAAATCCTCCATGTAACTCAATGGTGGAAGAAAGTAGATGCTGGTCTGGAAGAAGCAGCAAAGAACATAGTAACAGTGATAACGGTGGTACACAAACCTTGGATCACTGGAGGACTGCAAACTGAGAGGTACATTTGCCATAATATATAAGTGTATTGTGCAAACTTGCACATTATGGCATGTGTTCCTGGGGACCTGTGGCAGCTCAGTTCCACTTTAATGGGTACAGAAATGGAGAAAGCAACTTACACATACCTTTGGAAACCAAGAATTGAGTGAGCAGTGGCTGATGTGAATAATTATTTTGATTACGTTATGGTCACAGAGATGTTGTGTCCCGTTTAGTGTGAGAGTACTAGGAAGTGGAGGTAAAGTTAATATGCTGGAGTTTAAAAAATATTACAAGTACAGAAAAGAAAGTCAACCTTATTTATAAAAAATATACAAACTATAAAAGCAGAGGAGTATTTTTCTTACCTTTACTGTCTGAAGTGATTCACCATCGGCTTCACATTTTTCTCCAATCTCAGATTTCATTCTCTCTATGGCATCCTCCTCTTGTTCTTCTTCCTCCTGCTCCTCTTCCTCTTCTTCTGGAAATTCTTCAGAAATAATTTGCTCAATAGGGTCTATCTCTTCCTCTTCTTCTTCCTCCTCATCTTCCTCATCACTGGCCTCAGGATCTTTTTTCGTCTGATAAATTAAACAAATCTTATCATGTATAAATTCACTGCTAAAATCTCTATTACAAATTATAATATTAAGATTCCTTTTAAGTGAATGTCTATCTATATATGCTTAAAAATACAATGACAAACTGTCATCTACACAGTAGGCCTCTACAAACAGCATGTGTGGGCTTTCTGAATTGTTAATTGATAACGCATTCAAATTTATACAGACTTCAAGGATTTGGTTGGCTTCATATCTATCCATTGTGTTAACAGGCATACTACTACGCAAGCTTTACTGCAATGCACATGAACCTAATGAACGCCTATTGCTGACCTTCACATCACTACTGCCCCCTGTAATGATGCCAATTCAGAGATCGGCAGGACTCAGAAGATTTACGCTCCCAACATGTTTCAGTTTCCAGTGGGCTTCTTGGGATCATAGCTCATAAACAGAGTGGAGTTCACTTGCAAGTTAAAGTGGTTGTAAATTACAGATATGAAATACGAACAAAACATCACTCTATTGCATGTACTTCTCAATTCAGTCTCAATCCAGAGCACTAAGTGTCATTTATCTCTGCTGCCTTGTTCCTCTGCTATCTGTATGAGTCACTTCTGCTAAGATTTTCCTGACACCAAGAGAAAAATTATTACAGGGGAGGGATCTCCAGCACACAGCCTGTGATTGACAACCTCAACTCTGTACCTGTGTACTGTGTGAAGGGAGGTGTGTCCCTTCCCTCCAATCAGCTCTCAAAGCTCTCCTCACTGAGCTCCACAGTGTTTAATTTCAGCTATCCGCCCCCCATTTTCTGGAATCTCAGACAAGCTTTATAAATTTAGCACTTTGAACAGATGTAGAAAAGAGAAGACTGCAGATAAACTGGTACAACATATGTAGGAGGATTTGTTTCATCTCTGTGTATGACCTGAGGCCAGTCACTTCACTGAGTTTATGTAAGGGTTTACAACCACTTTAGGTGTTCCCTCCTCTCTTTATCAGTACGTTCTTGCTTTATATATTTTTCTTACATAACAAGGTCCTTTTAAATGGCTAATATCTCACATGGTCCTTGAGTGTGTGTCACTGTAGTATAATGTCCAATTGTGAGAATAATATGAATGTTTGTATGTGCTTTGTAATATGTTTGTACTATGAGATACAGTAAAATGGAATCTTTGTTATTTGTAAGATAATGTAATCTGTTGTTAAGTGGAATAGACAAGTTTCACACAGGGGTAAGTGAAATGGAACTTCTCTCACCTCTTTTTCTGCATTTATCATTTGTTCAGCTAAAAGTTCAGCTCTTCTCTTGGCAATCTGTTCATCCTATAACAAATCATTTAGAACAGATCTGTTAATCAATGTGAAATTATGAGCATCATCTCAGATGCAAAAAAAAAAGAAAAGGACACAAACACCAATACATATTAACTCCTAAATATGTACTTTCACATCCCAAATATGTATTAAGATACCAAGAAAGAAAGAAGATGTTAAGAAAGCAGATGTTAAGAAAGCAGATGTTTCTAAAAAGGATGTTTTACTTGAACAAATGAATGATTGCAGACCATTTACCACATTTCCCCTGTATTAAGGAAATTAATTGACATAATATGATTCACTGATAAAGTATCAAATACTGCTCCTCTCTCTTGACTTTCACTGGCATTTCTAAAATTAGTTAGGAAATTGTAACAACAAGAGCCTATTTAATAGCGTTACTAGTTAAACCTATATAGAAACAAATTCACTTCCCAGCACTACATACACTATATTGCCAAAAGTATTGGGAGACCTGCCTTTACACGCACATGAACATTAATGGTATCCCAGTCTCTGTGCAGGCCAGTCCAGTTCCTCCACCCCAAACTCACTCATCCATGTCTTTATGGACCTTGCTTTGTGCACTGGTGCGCAGTCATGTTGGAACAGGAAGGAGCCATCCCCAAACTTTTCCTACAAAGTTGGGAGTATGAAATTGTCCAGAATGTCTTGATATGCTGACACCTTAAGATTTCCCTTCACTGGAACTAAGGGGCCAAGGCCAACCCCTGAAAAACAACCCCACACCATAATCCCCTTCTACCAAACTTTACACTTGGCGCAATGCAGTCAGGCAAGTACCATTCTCTTGGCAACCGCCAAACCCAGACACGTCCATCGGATTGCCAGACAGAGATGCATGATTCTTCACTCCAGAGAACACGTTTCAACTGCTCTAGAGTCCAGTGGCAGCATGCTTCATGCCACTGCATCCGACGCTTTGCATTGCACTTGGTGATGACAAGGCTTGGATGCCGCTGCTTGTCCATAGAAACCCATTCCATGAAGCTCTCTACACACTGTTGTTGTGCTAATCAGAAGGCCACACAAAGTTCTGAGGTATTTAGCTATTGACTCTGCAGACAGTTGGTGACTTCTGCGCACTGAGCGCTTCAGCATGCTCTGACCCCGCGCTTTCATTTTTTGTGGCCTACCGCTTCGTGGCTGAGTTGCTGTTTTTCCCAGTTGCTTCCACTTTGGTATAATACCACTAACAGTTGACCGTGGAATATTTAATTAGTAGTAAGGAAATTTCACGGATGGCAACCTATCACGGCACCACACTTGATTTCACTGAGCTCCTGAGAGTGACCCATTCTTTCACAAATGTTTGTAGAATGTTGTGACTGGAACACCTAAATCCAATAATTTGGAGGGGTGTCCCAAATTTTTGGCAATATAATGTATGCTGTTCTAAATGGAGACATTCTTAAAGAAAACCTCTCAATTTTTAAATAATTTTACATGGGTTTTGGCAGGGCTTGATCTGCTACTATGCTATTACTGCTGTCATTAGCCTTGGTTTGGGGATTTTTTTCTCCCCAGTGCTAACAGTGGTATAAACACACAAAGTGTACACTATATGTTAAAATGTTTGTGAATACCTGGCCATTACACTTAAACAAGGAGTTAATGAATAGTTTTGAGTTCAGGTTACTGTTAATTCTACAGCACACAAAGACATTTTAGACCAATGTTTCTTAACCAGGATTCCTTAAGAGCCCTGGGGTTCCTCCAGAGGTTTCTAGGTGTTTCTTAGGCATTTTCTTCCTCTTAGATAAGTTCCCACTGATTGATCTTTTTAGCTATCTGTAAGGGGGTAATAATTCCCAAGGGTAAGGGCATTCTTCCCATTAACCATCATACTAATGAATTATGAACTGTAGATATATCAGGGGTTCCCTGATAGTGGAAACTTATTTCAAAGGTTCCTCTGTGGTGCAAAGGTTGAGAAAGGCTGTTTTAGACAGTTGTGTGCTTCCATCCTTATGGCAGTAGTTTGGAGAATGCCCTTTTCTGTTCCAGCATGACTGTGCCCATGTGCATGAAGTCAGGTCCATAAAGAACAGGTTTGATGAATTTGTTGCTGAGGAACTTGAGTGGCATTGCACAGAATGTTGATCTCTGGGATATGTTGGAATGCCAAATGCATTGGCATGCCCAAAGTAGAAGTTCCATTTGTTTGCACCTCCTCCCCCTTCACTGCCACATTTGGCTGAAGGGGGGAGTGAGTACCCATTTTTTACAGGTACCCGCTCCCACTTCCGTCCAGATTTGCCGTGATGATCTGAGCTGAAAGTTCAGACCCTCTTCCTTCCACCACAGCCTTCTGGGTCACTTCACATGTCCCAGGAGACTGCGGTACCATCCACAAAGAGCAGCATGCTTTGTGCATGCGCAGTAGGAAACAGGCTGTGAAGTCTCAAGGTTTCACTGCTGGTTTCCCTTACTTAAGATAACGGCACGTGCACCCAAAGTTGACTGGCTAGGGGGAGTACATCATTGGATCCCTGGACAGGTAAGTGTCCTTATTTTGAAAATATCAGCAGCTACAGGATTTGTAGCTGCTGACTTTTAATTTTTATGGGGGGGAGCCTGGAGCTCCACTTTAAGGCCTCTCATCCAACATACATTTTTGACCCAACAAACACTTTTTTGGCTAACTAAGCAACAATTTCCACAGAAGAATTACAAAATCTTGTGGAAAGGTTTGCCAAAGGAGTGGAGCCTGTTATAGCCAACTCTGTAATAATGTCCATGGTTTGGGGTATCCAAGCTCATATATGGGTAATGATAAAGTGCCCACACATTTTGGCAATATAGTGTATTCTAGCAATTGACATCATATTGGTCTTTACAGTTATATTCACTAAAATAGTCGATGCAACCCATAACATTTAAGGCTGGATAATATAGCAAAAAAAAAAAAAACGCGTACCTTTGTACAAGGAACTGGAAACATATCAAAACTATTATAGTTGGTTTCAATAATTTACATGCATTCTTATTTTATGTGAAGGGAACGCGTACAAATTTTCTATGTTATTTTTTATGTACAGGACTGAAAACACATACAAAAAAAATATATTTTAGTTAACTATATTTAGTTTAGGTAAATATAGGTGTTGTAGAAAAAAATATTTCATATCCACTCACTGCCAGCAGATGGTGCACATGAGACAGTTACAATATTTACACATCTGTAAATTCACATTTTACTGCTATGCTGTTAAGTTGTAAAAAGATCTCCTGCAGTGTAGATGTATTCACAAGATACACACAACAGAATGAGTCAGAGAAAGGACAAAGCCCCCTCTCCGCCTCTGCCTGCTCACTTTTTGATTGTCTGAAAATCCATAGAGGCCACTAGCTTTTGACTTCTCCAAAGCTAATTGTGAGCCAGAAGTGGGGGCCATATGACTGACATAGTAGGGTTTTTTGCAAAAGAGCACCTGGATGTTTACAAGCACTTATTAGAATGACACAAGCTCAGGTTGTTTGCACTGCAAATAAAGTATAAAAAAAAAAGTACCCCACTGTGATGTATGTACTGAATGTGTCATTTGGGAAAATAATTCCAGAGTTTATAAAGACATTTTGATGAAAATGTATGACCATATAAAAATCCGCAGAGGATATGCAACAGGACAATGACCCAATGTATAAACTTTTAAAAAACATTGGCTGCAAAAAAATACGCCTTTTTGTGGCCCAGTCAGAGCCTGACCTCAACCCGATTGAAATGCTGTGGCATGACCTTAAAGCGATTCACACCAGACATCCCAAGAATATTGCTACACTGAAACAGTTTTGTGAAGAGGAGTGGTCCAAAATTCCCTTGATCATTGTGCAGGTCTGATCTGCAACTACAGGAAACGTTTGGTTGAGGTTATTGCTGCCAAAGGAGGGTCAACCAGTTATTAAGTCAAAAGGTCACATTACTTTTTCCTCCCTGCACTGTGAATGTTTACATTTATGTGCAATTAAACAGGCAAAATCTAATGTTTGTGTAGTATTATGTTCAGTGTGTTCTTCTATTGTTGTGACTTAGATGACGTTCAGAGCACATTTTATGCCCAATTCATGCAAAACTCCACGGAAACCCAAGGGGTAACATACTTTTTCTTGCAACTGTTTGTTAAATATAGATAGTAAATAACTTTTAAATAGTGTACATTTTTCTTTAAAACTCCACATGGAAAGTACCCTTATTTTCTTCTTCATCTCTCTCAATTTCCGTTGGCGGTCTTCTTTTCTTCTTCGTCGCTCTTGCCACTTAGCTAGCCGAGGGGGTAACAGTCGGTCACAGATGTCACTCTCGTCTGCTTCCAGAAATACAGCAATGTCTGGGAAGAAGCCCCGTTCTCCTATGTACTGCACCTCTTCTACATTGCTAGGGAATCCATCCAGAATAAATCCAGTGGAGCTAAAGGGACAGGGAAATACCAAAACTAGCTCCAACCAACTCCAAAACCAACTATCTGTGGCATGTAAATGTTAGCATAACATGACACAAATCAGAATTTAACATATACCTATAGACAAGATATGGAAATTCAAGTATCTGCATATTCCTAACATTGCTAAGAACATGATCAGTCTAGAAAATGAGCCTTAAAACAAGCTCCCACTGACCTAAGTAGGTCTAGCCACTGTGAAGCAATTCATCCTCAGTTTACAGTGGAAGCACCAAAGTCCAGCACTTGACTGTTTACATTAAAATGATTCTAAAGGCTTTTTTTTTTAATAGTAATAGTCTATACTTACCTGCTGTTTGCAGTGGTTTTACACACAGCAGCCCAGATCCTCCTCTTCTCGGGTCCCCCACCGGCGCTCCTGTCCCTTCTCTCTTGTTGGGTGCCCCCACAGCAAGCAGCTTGCTATGGTGCACCCCCTGCTTCATGTGTCCATTCACACATGGAGCTGTGGCTAGGCCCCACCCTCTCTCGCTTCTCATTGGCTCACTTGCTGTGGTTGACAGTAGTGGGAACTGATGGCTCCCTGCTTCTGTCTCAGTCAATGAGGAAAGAGAGTCCCAGAATAGCCGAGACTCTACTGCACATCGCTGGATTGAGAGGGGGCTTAAGTGAGTATTAGGGGGGCTGGGGGGTATGCTGCACAGAGAAGGTTTTGTACCTTCATGCATAGAATGCATGAGGGTAAAAAACCTTGAGCCTTTAGAACCACTTTGAAGAAGGCTGGAAGGCTGCATAGTCACTGCTGGTGGGGGATGGGACGAGGCAGAGTGAGTTGAGATAGCTAAGTTAATTTAGTGATTCTGCTCTGAAATTTGATTGATTGATCGATCCACAGTGTTTGCAACTACAGAGGTCTGTAAGGTTTTTTTTAAAGCTAATTTATTGTATGTAAATACTTGAATGCCTATAGCCTGTCCACAACTTCACTTTGCCATAATGTAGATGAAAATTCACAACAAGTCCAAACCTGAATTTTGGAATGGTTAGTGGAATAGAAAGGAAACCACAGCACTCCAAACTCCAAAACTCTCCCCAGCCCCTCAGCTGCAGATGAACCAGAGTGCTGGCCAGGTGAGCCTGCCCCGCTACTTTGTGTATCAATGTAAGAAACGAAGGGACACATACTGATGTCATCATTTAAAGTAGATAACTTTATTGACTCAAAAGGTACGCTGTGATTCCCCACCATAGAATTACCCTGCTCTGACACATTTTCACCATTACAGGCTTTTGTTCAATAAAGATTTTTACTTTGAATAAAACCATCAGTGTGTAGCCCTTCATTTCTTGATTTTTGGAAAGCTTGCTTAATATAACAGCTCCTGCTGAAAAGAAAAATAAAAGACACCTATCAAATACAAGCATTATATTAGGAGAGTATCTTATTACTATTTTCATATTGACTTAATGGTAGCATCTATCACCATTGTTTTTCTCAAGTCATGTTTTTTCAGGTTTCATTAAAATGTGTGTAAACCTTCACAATTTAATCAGTATTAAACCCCAAAGCAAACATTTATTATACTGCTGCTTACCAATTTTTAGATGTCATGGTTGCAGTATTTTTTTTAGGCTTTATTTCTTTTATTTTCACCTGGTGATCCGGCCAGTCTGTCTATTGTTTTTCAACAGATCAAGCAGCTCTGCAGATGTAGCAGTTAGGGGGTTGAGACAAACCATTTACCATTGACAAGGGTGCTTACAATTATCAGCTTTTATTTACAGTATTTAAGTAAAACCTTTCTCCTAAAAGAAAAAACTGATGCTATAACTGTTTAAAACATGTGGGCTGGGGTTTGGCTTCAATGTACTAATGTATTTAAATTTGCAAGTACCTCTAACCCCCCTCCCCCATCCCCAAAGGTGTCTCTGGTGCTCCTTCATCCAGAGTGGGGGCACTCTGAGGCAGGAAAAGTGTTACTGGCCAGATCAACAGGTGAAAACAGTGGGAAAATAGCCTAAAAAAGAAAACTAATGCAACCACCACATCTAAGGATTGGTAAGTGGCAATATGTAACATTGTTGGTTTTGTGTTTAATACTGCTTTAACTTATTTTATTTTCTACTTTTTAATTGTTGTATCTTTTTGAGGAGTGAAAAAAGGATTGAACTTGTCAGAAATGCAGAGCTGTCCTGTGTGCACGTCCCCTGTTATCTTAGACAGTCCTCCTAGCTCTCATCTTGAATTACAGAATGCTTAACCTTTATGTGGTGGAGATGGAAGAGTGGGAGTAGAATCATTTAGCAAAACACAACTGGGAGGGCTGACAACACTCAGCTACAAAAAAGCTGTGTGTTTTCAGCCAACAACAGGACTTGGAGCTGAGTGCACATCAACATATTTTCTGTATTTGGATAAATGGAAATAACATGGGGTAATGTATTATAGATATACTGTACACTGCATATGTTTTTTTATTTTGCCTTTACATATGGTATAATATTTAAATTTGATCCCATTCTCAAAGTGTTACTAAACCCAGGACCCTGCATTCACTATATCTGGTCTCCCACAGTACACACAACATGGAAGTGCAATTATTTTAGTAAATAGAAACTGCTAAATACCTTTTCTCATCAGCAGTTAGAGCAGTCTTGTGACTTCAGCAGAGCACTGGTTACAGCTTGCAGGAGGAGTTTTCTTTGTGCTCTAGAAGAATGTGAAACCCCTGACCTCTGTCTGGACAGTGCTGATTGGCCCTGTGCTGATCACATGCACTCTCCCAAGAAAAAAAAAAAACTCTCTAGCAATACACACCAAACCGAGCATGTGCATGTGACTACGGATTCAGTCTGTATCAGGTGGTCATTTCAACAAGAGGAGGGAAGAGAAGAAAACATCAAACAGCCCTTTTACACAATGCAGAGGATTAACCCCTTAGGTCCTACAGTGAACATAACAAGCATTCTTTACTGCATATACAGACTGATTTTACTGTTGTGGGTTTAGTAACACTTTAAGGTTAATAAGTCTCTCACTGCCCATTGATGGCTGACATGAATTAGTTACAAAGTCAGCAGGCAGTATATCCATGTACAGTATATTCATAAAGTACTGCTCATTTGGCCTTGTGTCTTTAGGCTCCTTCCACACAGGCGCTCAGTCTGTCCATTTTGAAAATCAGACAGCACTACATTCCTATGGGCAAACAGAAGTAAATGGACGTCATTTACATCTTCCACTTCTGTTCGAGTCCGTTTTTTTCAATGGAACAAGTCTGCATTTTTGTTCTATTTAAAGGATAAGTTCATCTTTCGAAACATGTTACACCCATATTCAGGGTGGAACATGCAACATGTTACAAATGAACCCCCCTGAGCCCTCGTTGTGACTGCTAATGGGGGATCATCTCCTCCCGCTGGCTGTCACAATTTAAAAAAATGTGGCCGAGCAGGGGTTCGCCGCGTCACTCATTCGCAGTGTTCTGTGAATGAGAAAACTACAAGCCCCAGCAGCCTTTGCAGCTAACGGCCTGTAGTTCTCAACGACCTACCATGCCGCTGTGAGCACTGTGGCAGTTTGTTAAATCTTCCTGTCAGTAAGTATCGGCTTCCCCGTACGAGGTACGAGGAAGCAGATACAGTGACAGGTCTGCAGGAGACCTGCATTGCATATGCTTTACAGGCTCCCAAAACAAAAAATAATAAATGCACATTTTTTTTACCTGCAAAAAATGTGTATTTATTATTTTTTGCTGAAAGGTTAATTTATCCTTTAACCTCCTTAGCGGTGTTCCCGAGTGTAGCTCGGGGTAAAATTTCCATACCAAAAGCGGTAACCCCCAGCTACACTCGGGCTTACCATGCGGCGCTGCTCTGGGGGTCCCTGCAGCACTTACCTTGTCCTTCGCTCCCGCGATGTGTCCCCTCCAGCGTCCCTGGCCATCTCCTCCGGTCGATGCTGGCATCCGGCTTCTGTGTTCCGGTCCCGTGACGTCGGGACGTACGGGCGCCGACACCGGCGGGAAATTAGAATTTTTTAAAAAATGTCATTTTTGCTGTCATTGCTGTTTCAATGCATTTCACATACATTTTGTCCCTACTGCTGTGTCCTGTGCCCTGCCTGCATTTTTACTGTTCTTTCTGCCTGGAAACTGAGAAAAGTCCATGGCGTCCAAAAAGCATCCCTTTATGTCAAAAGCAGTTTTAAAACAGCGATAGTAAATCAGAACCACTTGCAGAATTGAGTGATAATGATTCGTGGAGAAATTCGTCATCAGACACTGAAAACGATTTTGCGACTTTGCTCAGTGATGTGCGAATTTGCCTCTGTATTTCAAATTTCAGTGTTTTTGGTTTGATTATATTATTGAATTACATTTATTATTATTATATTATTATTTTTTATGATTATTTATTAAATTATAATTTATGATTTCGTGTTTCAAATTTTATCATATCCGGAATGTTTACTAGACTCTTGTTCGGACAGATTTCAGTGAGTTATTCCTAAAAATTACAGCCTACAATAAAAAACTACATATTTCCATGCAAAAAAATGGTACCGCTTTCAGCACAAAAAATCAGAAAGAATCATACCGCCAAGGAGGTTAAAAAACAAAAGCAGACAAAAAACAGCTGTAAACAGATGAAAACTAATGTAAACAGAGCGGAACTAAATGGAAGATGGATGTTAACTGATGTAAACGGAATCCATTTTTCTTTGCACAAACATGGCTTAATGAATAACACTCATGTGAAAGGGGTCTTGGTCTCTAATTATACAGAATGGGTAATGGGTAACACAATTATGTAAAATGGGTAATCTGTCTTATCATTGATTGCCTGTTATAAATACATATAAGGGGAATTGTTATTCCACATTTTATGTGATTTTAATCATTGTATATTGTTGTTGTCTTTTCCTGTGGTATATTCATAAAAGATGTTATGGTTTACAGTTACCTTGTAGTTAGTGACCCATTATAGGAAATTTTTCTGGTCATTTAGGAATTTAGATTTTTTTTTCTTCCTTGGACAATCCTTGTATAGCCAATAGTTTCTTGCATGTGTAATGAATAAAAATGACTATATATCCATAGCAAGAAATGATTACTTATCTGTTTTAATTCTTTTTATTGCAATAGTTGTGCTAGTGAGTTTTTTTGTATATACTGTAATATACTTGCATTTAATTATACAGATGCATTCCACATTTGGCAAAGGAATTAGTGTGTAACATTAAATTACCGAAAAGGTTCCTTGGTCCACCATTCTGTTACAATCTCATCCAGCACTTCAATTGGTAGGGGTTCATTGTCAGTTAAATAAGACTTTATGGCCTCCTCCTCTACTGTGAGAACAACCTCTTCCTTTATTAAAAAAAAAATACATTCAATTATGTTACTATCGTTCTACATCACAAACTCAAGCTCTATGCTCTAGAAGACTCTTTCTCACAACTGTTGTGCTAATACTAGATAACTGAATGAATATATGTCTCTCTGCCAAATATGAAAATGTCTTAAATAATCAGTCTGTAGAGGGTTCCAAAAGGTAAGAAGGCAGTGTTGGGCTTTCTTTGTAGAAAGTCCAGCAGACTTTGCAAACTCATTAATGCACACTGTAAATGTCTATCTGTTAAGTAATGATTTATTAGAAATACCTAAAACACTATGGGGTTGATTTACTAAAACTGGAGAGTGCAAAATCTGGTGTAGGTCAGCGTACAAGCCAGTTAGCTTCCAGGTTTTCTTTTTCAAAGCTTTATTGAACAAGCTGAAGTTAGAAGTCAACTGGTCACCATGCACAGATGCATTGGATTTTGCACTGTTCAGTTTTAGTAAATGAACCCCCGATATTACAATTTTTTAGACTGTATGTTCTTGATATCCTTCATCTGTTTGACCCCCGCCCCCATCCTAACTTTTGTATCCAAATAAAAGTGGAAATTAAGCTCCAAACTTTCTCCTGAAGATTGAATAGAGACAATGGTCTACCATATTCAAATGTTATATCAATGCAACTGTTGTTGAACCTAACTGCTATAAGCTTTTAATGACTTAGTAGTGTCCCAGCCCATATCTCCAAAATGGTCCCTTGTTATTTTCAAAACTGTTTTCGTGCCTGGAACATGGCAAACCCTTTTATATTTCAATATTTTTATTGAAAATCTGTAGAAACAGTATACAGAAATATAGAATACATAACCCACCCGCATGATGAGTTGTAGCAAAACAATTAAAGTCATGGAATATTTAGTCACAGAATAATACATCGACCAATAATGTAGTAAACAATAAACTGGGAACCCCAATAGGGTTTAGTCATGTTTAAGCAATTATTCCAGCAATCAGAAAGGTGTGGGTATTATCATATAACCAATTAACAAAGGTAGAGAAACCAAAATTGAAAAATGATTGAAAAAGAGGGTAAATAATAGATTTGAAAAGAGAAAAAAAGAAAGAAGAAAGAAAGAAAGAGGGCCAGCCAAAAGTCCATTAAGTAACAGAGATATATCTAATCCATGGATCCCATGTGTGCTCAAATTTAGAGGTATTATTGTTAATTATACTAGTAAGTTTATCATTAATCATAATCCAATTAAGTTTCTGTTTGACCAAGTCCAGCGGAATTGTTGACTATCTCCAACGTCGAGCTACAGTAATTCTTGCCGCCAACAAAAGATAAAGAATTAATTTAACCAACTTCTTAGGAATATCAGTGGGCAAGATATGAAATAAAGCTACTTCAGGTGATCTGTGTATATTAATTCCCATTACTGAATAAATGAAATTAAATAAACGGATCCAAAATCTAATCACCACAGGACTATTTGAGTACCTTCCTGCAGATTCTGACAACTCTTTCTTTTGTATCTTGGAGACCTAACCCCCATTCTTTAACCCTGAATTACAAGTGAGTGGAGACTCCTGATTCCCTCTACCCCCCCCCCTCCCCAATTTTCCTGGACCCACCAATTTTTTATTCCCCACTCCTTTTGCTACTCTTATCATCCACTTTTCTTTCCTTTTTCCATGAAGGAAACCACACCACTCCAAATCTCGCTTCAGCTGCAGGGCAACCAGCATGACAGCCAGGGAAACCTGCCCTGCTTCGTGTATCAATCCAAGAAACGAAAGGCCGCATGCTGATGATGTCATTCAAAGTAGAAAATGTTATTAAATCAAATAGATATGCTGTGATTTCCCACCTGAGAACTGCCCATGTGACACATTTCATGATTACAGGCTTAGGATGGCCATACATGGATCGAAACTGATTAAAAACTGCTGAACCGGCCTAGATTCGATCAATGTATGGGCAGGCTAATTGGAGTCAATCCATTAATCAACTTGAGTACAACCAGCCTGTCAGATCTTTCACATTTGATTACTGCCAGAGGCTATAGCCACTAGCAGTAATTATTGTGCTCTGCCAGCCAGGAGAATCTCTTTTGTTCAATAAAATGTTCCACTTTAAAAGGATATCACCAGTGTGCAGCCCTTTGTTTTTCTTTCAGCTCTTGTTCGAGAAAAATAAAAGACACCTAGCAAAGGCATTATAATATTAGGAGAGTATATTAATACTATCCTTCTTAGTATAACTAAAGGCAAAGTGTTGTTTTTGTTTTGGACAGAGTGGAGAGGAATTAGAACACTTGTCAGGTTTTTATTGCCCTCTGTGCCCCATTAGGGAGATTCACTGACTCTACTTATCCAGTTTACTATTATCACTGAGAGTCAAATTGAAAAAAAAAAACATATTTTGAGTTGTCCTCAGAAAAGCAATTGAGGGGAAATCTTCCAATGGGGACACCAATTCTGGTGACCTGGGGTGCTCCAATGGATTCCCTTAATTTGCAGGAATTTTCTCTCACTTCCTCTTTTAGGACTGTTATAGGACAAGAAGTGAAGGTAAAACTCACAATGAAGAACAGTAAAAAAAAAAAAAAGAGGAAGAAAACCGATGGGTTATAATCTTCCCTTACTCTATCCAAACGTTTTGCCTATAGTTCTGTTTTAACTTAATGGTAGCATATTTTACCATTCATTTTCTTGTGTCATGATTGATCATGTTTCATGTATGAAACTGTAAGTGTATGCAGGGCCGTAGATAATTTTTTTTCCTGGAGGGGTTCAGCCTTGGGTACCCAGAGGAGAATTTTTAGACATCGTGCTTACCACTCTGTGACAAATTGTGGATGTGGCAAATGTCCGTTAACAGTGGGAGGGGCTTTCAACTTGACCCTAATTACTGTGTACATGATAATTTATTTCACAGCCCTTGTACTCCAAAAATATGCCTTAATGACTGTGCTACAAGCAAGTGTCTAACAGATATATACAAAACCTCAGCACATTGTTTTGTAAAATATGAAACTCTACCATACATATGTTTTTCTGCACATGGCCTACCATGAAAATGAATATCATTAACACTGACTCCTGAGCAACCAGCATCTGTTGTACAATATAGCATAAATAGTGCAGGGGTCAGGAGCATGTCATATACAACCTAGCATAATCAGCCTGCTTTAGGCAAAACCCTACTGGCCACAGCAAAGCCCTGTGTCATCAAACAAGTATGAAACGAAAAACATACTCACATACTCTGTGCTAATCAAGTGAAAGGTAGCCAGCAATGCTCTGGGCCTCCCTCTCACTCCTGGCATTAATGTGGCCATCTGTCTTAGTAGTCCAAAGTGCAGAGGTCAAGACTGTGTAAACCACAGAATGCAGAGATCAAGAATGTACATAATGTACAGAAGGCAGGGGTAAGGAGTGCACAGAGCACAAAATGCATGTCTATCTAATGGTATTTAAAGGGTCAGGGCTTGCAAACAGATAATTTTGCCCTCTCTAAGGCCCTTTTCACATGGACGACCCAGGGGTCAGTAAAAACAGGCAACTGAGCCCCAGTTTTACTGCCGGCTGAACTCCCACCTAAACTCTAAAAATGAGCTCTTGGAGGCTGCTCACATGCTGTGGCATTACAGCCGTGGAAAATGTAACACAGCATGCTGTGTTGACTATCAAACTTGCCCATTCAACTGAATGGGGTTGCGCCACAACTGCGAGCCAAACACCTGGCCTGTGGTTGTGGTGCATTAGCACCATTATAAACTGCCATTTTGCAAAAAAAAAAGAAGCAGGCATTCAGGGGGTGACAGCAGCTGTTAAGCCGCACTCTGAAAAGTGATCCACCGCAGTTCACTTTCAGAGCTTTGGCTAGTGTGAACCTAATAAGACATAAGAACCTGGCCTAGTAACAAAAAGATGAATACTATTCCAGATCAGTCCACACCTATCTGCTGCTTACGTTTGCTGGGTGCCGACTTGGTTCTTAACTGTGCAGTACAGCAAAATAGAAACTCTGGACAACTGCAGTCCAGTAGCCACAAAAAGTCCTTAAAAACAAAGCAATCACAGTGAAAGTAGGGGAAAAAACATGTGTTTCATGCTAAACTAGCATTTACTCATAGCACATCAAAAACACGTTGTGCTATGAGTTGCTGTGTTTTTAAAGTATGGGGTTTAAAAAAAAAAAATGATACTCTCCTGGGTGGATGAAACATTGATCCAATTCTACATCTGTCCCCCGCTGGCTCTGCAATGAGAACTGAGTGATCGAATACCGCTGATCGCTCAGTTCTCCCCCTCTCCGTTCTAAGCAGAGAGCGGTGACTGTCAGTTACCTGCTCTCTGCCCTGACCCCCGGGGCTCACTAGAGCGTGGGCTGTGGAGGGGGCGGGAGCGGCTGTCTCAGGCTCTTGGTGGATTGCTGAGAGGCTGAGCCAGGTGCCAGTCAAGGCATCTGTGTAGATCCTGACTGATCCAGCGCCTGGAGCAGCTGAGGGACGTAAGCAGACAGCAGACTTTAGCCCGCTGTTGGCTGAAACTGGAATCCATCAGCCCTTAGCTCAGGCATGCAGGCAGGAGGATGTATTTAGCTTTGAAAACCCCTCCTCTGGTCCTGAAGACTCCTGGGATGTATGACATCATTTGCCTAGGCCTGGAAACCAGGAAGTAACTGAGGAAAAGTAAATATAATAATCCTTCCTATATATTTCTTAATACTATCAGCATAAGGATTTCAAATAGTCAATGTTGAGAGTAAAGTTCTAATTTAGGTATTATAACTGAATTTTCTGAAGCTGTATTTGTTTCACCATTTTAAATATGATGACAGCGTCTCTTTAAAGTGTATGTAAAGATAAAACGTTATTTCTAAATGTAGATAGAATAAGGAAAGATTGAGGTCCCTATCAATTTTATATATTTGCTGTGTCCCCTTAGAGAGATTTCCTATTATTGTTTCTGAAATGAAGCAGGAAGTAAGAGGTAAAATCTTCAGATTGAGGTGCTATTCCTCCTAGACAGCCACTACCAGAACAGTTGTTACCACCACATTCTGCATTGAGATATTGATCACCAGGACCAATAGTGAGCTCAATGTCCTGAGCAGGGACACAGGGGTCAATAAAAAATAGGTAAAGGGTTCTAAACCTTCCAAAATCCATTAACTCCCCTGGAGGTATTCCCAAGTGTAGCTCGGGGTTAACTTTCAGTACCAAAAGCGGTAACCCCGAGCTACACTCCAGATTGCCGTGCAGCATTGCTCAGGGATTTCCTCTTGCACTTACCTTGTCCTTCGCTCCTGAGATGTCCCCCCTGCCGCGTCCCCAGCCATTTCCTCCAGCCGATGCTGGCATCATTTTCTGGGTTCCATTCCCTGCGAGCGTCGGGACGTATGGGGATGGAACCGGCGGGAAATTCAAACATTTTAAAAGTGACATTCACTCAATACACTAAAATCACATAGTAAAACATTACTGTATCAGACCATTTCACATACATTCTGTCCCTAGTGCTTTGTCCTGTGCCCTGCCTACATTTTTACTGTTCTTTCTGCCTGGAAACTGAGAAATGTCCATGGTGTCCAAAAAGCGTCCCTTTAGGGCAGAAGCGGTTTTAGACCAGCTAGAGAACAGCGATAGTAAATTAGAACCACTTGCAGAATTGAGTGATAATGATTCGTGGGGAAATTCGTCATCAGACACTGAAAACGATTCTGCGACTGAGCTCAGTGATGTGCGAACTTGGCGCTATATTTCAAATTTCAGTGTTATTGGTTTGATTATATTATTGAATTAAATTTATTATTATTATATTATAATTTTTTATGGTTATTTATTAAATTATAATTTATGATTTCGCGTTTCAAATTTTATCATACCCGGGATGTTTACTAGACTCTTGTTCAGACAGATTTCAGTGAGTTATTCCTAAAAATTACAGGCCTACAATAAAAAAAAACAACATATTTCCTTGCAAAAAATGTGTACCACTTTGAGCACAGAAATACTGACATAATCAGACTGCTAGGGAGGTTAAAAAAGGTTTAAAAATAAGCTTTTTATGTAAAAACTAAAAAAAAGTTTTTGGTTTTACATACACTTGAAGAAATAATAACTAGGCAGTGCTCACAATCCAGACGTCATTGCCTGTCTGTGTTAACAGATGCAGATGCAAATACCTTTGAATCCTTTGATTCCTCATTTTTACTTTCCTCTGAGTTTCCATTTTCTAACAAAAGCAACATGGCTTCATCAGTTATGTCTTCTTCGACTGATTCTTCTTCGTTGTGAGGTCCGACTTTTTTCTCCAGCTTAGACAGCATGATCTCTTGCAGGCGTTCTTGAAACTGGATGTGGAACATTCCCAACTTGTTGGCTAACCATCTTGCATTAGCTGTTTTCCCAGTACCACCTGTTCCAATCAAGAGGACTCTCAATGGTGGAGCCTGAAAGAGCAGGATGTGAGAGGCTACTACAGTGCCAAGATAAAGTAAAAAAAAAATTATTACAAGTTCAAATGTATTCATAAGTACTATTAGAGTCTGAGCTTGATATGAAAAACATTACTTGTAATGGTTCTTTATGGACAACATAGTTATCAGGATTCTCTAGAAATGTATTTCTTGTTTCAGGGCTTGAGCAGTAGTAGGTCTTCTCTCTGTATAAAGCAGCATTATCCTGGAGTCCTGGCTGGAGTATAAAGTTGTCCTTTATTGCCACTGGGCAGAAGTGTTTGGTATCCCCATAGTGTTTCTTCTTTTCACGGATAACGTCTTCATCCTGTGTGAAAGTATTGTTTTGCATGAAATGACATATTATTGTCTAGGTAGTAAATATAGGGAAAAAAAAAGTGGTAATTAATCTCATTGGATGTAACCACTGTAACTATTTTTTATGGGAAAATTTATATAAAGAGCTGACATACTGTACATGTCCAAAACATCTATTTCCATAATTACAACAGACATGTTTAACTGGTTATTGGTTTTAAATGAAACATTTTACAAATTAGAATTTTTTTCTTTCCCTATAACTCTGGGAGTCATGCCAATTCAATAACAAGTCCAAGGGAAACCTTGGAAACTGAGAAATAGTCCAAAATCTCAGCAAATATGCGATAGCTGAAACAGACCGGCATGTAAAAGGATTAAGAGGTTCCTACATCTGACAAGTTCTGATTTATTTCTGCTTTAAAATTTATGTGGATGCTTAAAGCCATGAGAAAATTATTGGGGGCCTGCCACTGGTGGCCTTCTCATATGCTAAATTCGTGGCAGTGTCTGGCTTTTGAACCACATCGCAAAAATAAGTCTGCAATTTCATCTTCCATATATTTCTCCTAATAGGTGTCATTAAGGGTCCATTGCCTGATCTGTAATGTCATTCTCAGCAGCAAATTTCGGTCAGCAGGTCCAATGATTTATGGCCAGGATCTGCTGATCAGCTTAGCGAATGACAGTACAAAGCACTGAGTTTACTAAGGACACATGGCTTTGCACACGAGCAGCATGCAAAGTAGGGAGAAAAAACAAACACATGTAATAGTAAAAGCAGAACAAATTCAATATTGTTAGGCACACAGTTATCCCTTTGACTGCCCCTAGATGTTAACCCCCTCCCAGCCAGTGTCATTAGTACAGTGACAGCGTATAGTATTATCACTGATCACTGTATTAGTGTCACTGGTGATGTCAGTGTCAGTTACTACATAGTGTCAGATTGCTTGCCACACTATCAAAGTCCCACTATAAGTTACTGATCACCGCTATTACCAATATAAAATAAATTAATAAATAAATAAAAATTCCAGTATATATACAATCATTTGTTGATGCTATAACTTTCACATAAACCAATCAATATTCACTTAGTGGGATTTTTTTTTTTTTAACCAAAGACCTGTAGCAGAATATGTTTTAGTCTAAATTTATGAAGACATTTGATTGTTTTATAGCAGAAAGTAAAAAAAAATATATTTTTTTTTCAAATTGTCAGTATTTTTTGCTTATATAATAAAAAATAAAAAAAAAACTAGTGGTGATCAAGTACCACCAAAAGATAGCTCTATTTCTGTGAAAAAAATTATATCAATTTTGTTTGTGTACAGTGTTGTAGGACCGCGCAATTGCCAGTTAAAGAAGCGCAATTGCGGCTAGCAAAAAATGCCCTAGTCATGAAGGAGGTAAAATCTTCCAGAGCTTAAGTGGTTATGTTTTTTAATTATTGTTATTAAAGTTGTATGATCAATATCTTACGATATATAGGTGAAGCATAATCACATAATTTGAACCACCATTCATGTTAATAAACACTACTGGGGCTTAGTCAGTAATGTACAGAACAAAGTAAATTACACAATAAACCACAGCAACAAAACGGGTGATCATATACTTTGAAAATTGTGGTTTGAAATGTAATTGGTTACTCTGGGGTATTGAAATCACCCTTGCTCTTTGCTTTATGGCACTGAACAAATCTATATGACTTTTGTATTGAGCTTGCACTTACTTCTTCTGCATCTTCATTCCCTTCTTCTTCTTCTCTTCCTCCCTTTCTTGATCCTCAGCATCCAGCTCTGCCTCCATGTCTTCTGCTTCCTCATCTATGTCCTGAGAGGTAACTTCCCTTCCTTGATAATGAAATGGTTCTGAGGAAACAGTAAGAAGGATAGTTACAGCAAACCCCGTGTGGATATTTTTCAGTACATACAGTAAGCAAATCTGGACATGTACAAGTAACATTGCGTTATCTTCTCTCCTGTCTTTCTTTTTATTAGTTTTTCTTATACCCCAACCTCTGCACTGTTATATATAGTTTATTTCTGCAGGAAGATTTTTGCAATTTGTGGTGGACATTAAGAAATCTGTAGGATGAAGTCAAAGTATTTTTGTCAAACATTTGTGTTTTTTTTTTTTTAAAATGCCAACAATTTTTTAATACAAAATTGCACAGCTTTTACTCTTTTGTTAAATACAGTATCTCACAGTACACCCCTCACATTTTTGTAAATATTTTATTATATCTTTTCATGTGACAACACTGAAGAAATTATACTTTGCTAAAATGTAAAGTAGTGAGTGTACAGCTTGAAAAACAGTGTGAATTAGCTGTCCCCTCAATATATCTCAACACACAGCCATTAATGTCTAAACCGCTGGCAACAAAAGTGAGTACATTCCTAAGTGAAAATGTCCAAATTGAGCCCAAACTGTCAATATTTTGTGTGGCCACCATTATTTTCCAGCACTGCCTTAACCCTCTTGGGCATGGAGTTCACCAGAGCTTCACAGGTTGCCACTGGAGTCCTCTTCCACTCCTCCATGACGACATCACGGAGCTGGTGGATGTTAGAGACCTTCTGCTCCTCCACCTTCCGTTTGAGGATGCCCCACAGATGCTCAATAGGGTTTAGGTCTGGAGACATGCTTGACCAAACCATCACCTTTACCCTCAGCTTCTTTAGCAAGGCAGTGGTCATTTTGGAGCTGTGTTTGGGGTCATTATCATGTTGTAATACTGCCCTGCGGCCCAGTCTCCGAAGGGAGGGGATCATGCTCTGCTTCAGTATGTCACAGTACATGTTGGCATTCATGGTTCCCTCAATCAACTGTAGCTCCCCAGTGCCGGCAGCACTCATGCAGCCCCAGACCATGACACTCCCACCACCATGCTTGACTGTAGGCAAGACAAACTTGTCTTTGTACTCCTTACCTGGTGCAGCCACACACGCTTGACACCATCTGAACCAAATAAGTTTATCTTGGTCTCATCAGAACACAGGACATGGTTCCAGTAATCTATGTCTTTAGTCTGCTTGTCTTCACCAAACTGCTTCATCTTTAGAAGAGGCTTCCTTCTGGGATGACAGCCATGCAGACCATTTTGATGCAGTGTGTGGCGTATGGTCTGAGCACTGACAGGCTGACCCCCCACCCGTTCAACATCTGCAGCAATGCTGGCAGCACTCATACGTCTATTTCCCAAAGACAACCTCTGGATATGACGCTGAGCATGTGCACTCAACTGCTTTGGTCAACCATGGCGATGCCTGTTAAACCGCTGTATGGTCTTGATCACCATGCTGCAGCTCAATTTCAGGGTCTTGGCAATCTTCTTATAGCCTAGGCTATCTTTATGTAGAGCAACAATTCTTTTTTTTCAGATCTTCAGAGAGTTCTTTGCCATGAGGTGCCATGTTGAACTTCCAGTGACCAGTATGAGAGAGTGAGAGCGATAACACCAAATTTAACACACCTGCTCCCCATTCACACCTGAGACCTTGTAACACTAACGAGTCACATGACACTAGAGAGGGAAAATGGCTATATGGGCCCAATTTGGACATTTTCGCTTAGGGGTGTACTCACTTTTGTTGCCAGCAGTTTAGAAATTAATGATTGTGTGTTGAGTTATTTTGAGGGGACAGCAAATGTACACTGTTATACAAGCTGTGCACTAACTACTTTACATTGTAGCAAAGTGTCATTTCTTCAGTGTTGTCATATGAAAAGGAGTGTACTCACTGTACATGTAAGCAGTGTACTCACTTCTGTGAGATACTGTATATTATTAGAAAAGTTGTTAAGTTAAGAGTTTTAATAAAGTACTGAAATAACTATTGTCATAAAATTATTTTTTTCAAGAGAAAAAAAAAGGTGTATCATTATCAGTAGGGGCACCCAACATTAGTACAAACTCACTTTCCATAGCAGTCACTGCCTCCTGTAGAAGAGCTTCTGGTGATTTATTGGCCATTTCCAGGTGAGTAACATTTAGAAGAGATGTGTCACTGAACACAGGCTCCAGCAGATGCCAGTCCTCATTAAATGTGTTTATGAGTGCCTTCAGAGGCCCCATCTCTGGCACATCTGGAAATCCTCCATCAGGAACTTCAGGTAAAGCAATTTCTGTTAGGAATTAAAATCTCAGATTGTTATTGTGCTTCTTAAAGTTAATTTTAAGGAAACGTATCAGAATTTTAAGTGCATCCGATGAGCGATGAGAAACGTTTTTTATAAAGGGAGAATTGCAGTTGCTCATAACACCCAGTTAGATTCCAATTGTTATTTTTTTTTCTAGAGCAGGTTAGAAAATGAAAGCAATGAAAATAATCTTAGAAAAGATGTAGCTGCAAGCAGGACCCATGGTGTGCAGTTTCATAGGGATTCCCAATGTGATTACATGGTTATTAACATTGTGTAAGTGTGGCCAGTACCAGAATGTCACCACCTAAATGCCATTTTTCTCTGGGTTTGTTCCTCTTGGTCACAGAACTCCATTTCCTCCTCTATCCTTTCTCTAGTCAAGCTGTTAGTTTAGGCAAGAGGTGGAGATTGTAGGTGCTGAGCAAACATCAGAGAACCCATAGGCTAGCCATACATCTTACAAAAAGTTTCTACGATGTCTAACTGTAATCAGTGGGTCCATGTATACAGTCTATTACATGATTATCCAATCATGCAAGCCTTTGCACTATTTAGTTCAATATAAAGTGTAACAGCGAGAGGCCCTATCACTGAGAGAATATAGGAAAAAAACATTGCAAAGAGCAGGTAAGTATAACATGTTTGTTTGATTTTTTTTTTTTAAATACAAGAGTTTAGTGTCACTTTAAGGGTTAATGCGACATTCTATACTATGGTTTCTGAGCAGAGAAAGCTGTGTTTTTGGCTTTCTCTGAATTCTGTAGTCCTGTATCGGCACTTTCAATCCTGTGTCCGGATACAGCAGGTCTTGTTCCAGGAGTCAGGTTGGCTCCTATCGGGGTGTCAGGTGAACCCCAATTCATAAGCCTGAGGTAGGCCATGCAGCAGGGTGCTAAGACTGAAGGCTAGAGAGCCAAGTATCCAGGAGAGCTGGAAAACACAGTCAGGAGGAACTGGTTAGAAGAGCAGCGGTGCTACATACAAGTGAGCCAGATGGCTAGGTATTTTTGTTATTGCATTTCTGTGGAAGAAACCCCTGCGTGGGCAACTGATGTGCAAGTGAACTTTTTATTTATTGAATAAAAGTGGGCTGCCATGTCCTAAAATACAGTTTTGGACTGGTGCAACTCATTGTAAACGCACATATCTCTTCAGTTTAATCATCCCAATCTCACAAAAGCTAAAGAGAATTGTGAAATCACAGTGCAATATGCATGATTCACTTTAGTTTGGGGCTGCAGAATGTTCTCCTCCTGGGATTATATTGTGTACAAGGAACGAATTGTAGGATTCCTCATTACACTGTTAAGACACTGATCTAGCATGTGAAATTCCGAAGAATACATTAAAATACATATTGCCATCATGAAAAAAAGTGACATATTAGTTGACCTTGTTTTGGTTCCACCTGTTGATCTGACTGTTGTGGTGGCTCAGTGTCTACTAAACTGGGCTGTGATGCATCTTTTGGAGAAGCCAGGTTTGTATGTTCTATATCAGACAAAGGCTGGTCACTGGAGTCTGCCAAAGAAAAAAAACTGTAATCATACTATATCTGACTACTATGATGTAAAAATCAAAATTGCTATTCTTACTACTTTTTTATTCATTAGTATAACAAACTGCATTGGAACTAAGTATTGTTCTGCAGTTAGAGGTCTCCTTCTATAATCATATATAATTAAAAAAAGCCATAATGCATCCTTATTATAATATATCATTAGGTATGCATGTGTTCCATAACTTAAGATCACAAATGATGGTACCCCATGGTGACTTTATTATCTTATTATCATTAAGAGGATACATTATGATATTATATATTAAACATACATTATATGGGTAAAGTTTGGTTGTATGAGATGGTTATCACACTCAGATATACAGTAATTAATCTTTACCAACAATAGCACCCAATCTTTCCAATATGAGTTGTGTATCATACCCATGTGCATTATTTTTAAAATGTAGACACTTTTGCTCCTGAACATTTCATTATATCGCCAATTACTATGTAGAGATGAAGGCTGGCCCACTAAGACCCACCTATATTTGTTGCACAGTCAATTAATGCATTACAAGAAACTGCATATAAATCATGCTTCTCGCCCAGAGAAGTGACATTTCATACTTGTGATAGAAAAGGGTTTTTTTTCATTTAAAGACACTTGCATAAATTTGTCAACATCTGTTAATAACATGAGGTTAATTGGCACAGACAGCAAAAGCAACTTTATTTTCGCCATTTTTGTACATGATTCATTATGTTTTGTGAAGAAAGCCCCTATAGACTATACAGTATATCCCCACAGTAAAGTCCAGTACTTACCTTGTGGCTTATCTTCAATATGTTCTAAGGGACCTTGCAACTCTTCCTGCTGTTTCTTCTGTTCTTGCTGCAACTTCATAATCTCCTCCTGCTCTTTTCTTAAAATAAACAATTAGGAATTATAAATATACAAATATTATAGTTTTATTTATTTTGTTATTATACTCTGATTTAAATTAAACAAATACAGTCATCCTTGCCCCCCAACCATCATACTGTATACTCATCTCTCCACTGCTCCCCTGCTGCTCCTTCTGCAAAATACTCAGAGCTTTTGGGTATGGGGGAGCAAGTGACCTACTCCCATGATGTAGTACTCGAGCCTTGTGTCAATTTTTTAGACCTAAGCACTGTCACAGAATGGAAAGGTAAATGTTACTGCTGGCACTATCTGAGCAAAGGTGTGTATAAATTGGTTGGAAGGTAGGCTTTACACAGATGCTGTCACTTTACCCTGAATGGACAAAGTGACATAGTCTGTAAAGAAATATTTACAGAACAATGTACAGTATATATATATATATATATATATATATATATATACATATATATATACAGTGGGGCAAAAAAGTATTTAGTCTGCCACCAATTGTGCAAGTTCTCCCACTTGAAAAGATGAGAGAGAGGCCTGTAATTGGCTTCATAGGTAGACCTCAACTATGAGAGACAAAATGAGAAAAAAATCCAGACAATCACATTGGCTGATTTGGAAAGAATTTATTTGAAAATTATGGTGGAAAATAAGTATTTGGTCACCTACAAACAAGCAAGATTTCTGGCTCTCACAGACCTGTACCTTCTTCTTTAAGAGGCTCTTCTGTCCTGCACTCATTACCTGTATCAATGGCACCTGTTTGAACTTGTTATCAGTATAAAAGACACCTGTCCACAACCTCAAACAGTCACACTCCAAACTCCACTATGGTGAAGACCAAAGAGCTGTCGAAGGACACCAGAAACAAAATTGTAGACCTGACCAGGCTGCGAAGACTGAATCTGCAATAGGCAAGCAGCGGTGTGAACAAATCAACTGTGGGAGCAATAATTAGAAAATGGAAGACATACAAGACCACTGATAATCTCCCTCGATCTGGGGCTCCACGCAAGATCTCACCCCGTGGGGTCAAAATGATCCCAAGAACGGTGAGCAAAAATCCCAGGACCACACGGGGGGACCTAGTGAATGACCTGCAGAGAGCTGGGACCAACGTAACAAAGGCTACCATCAGTAACACACTACGCCGCCAGGGACTCAGATCCTGCAGTTGCAGACGTGTCCCCCTGCTTAAGCCAGTACATGTCCGGGCCCGTCTGAAGTTTGCTAGAGAGCATTTGGATGATCCAGAAGAGGATTGGGAGAATGTCATATGGTCAGATGAAACCAAAATAGAACTGTTTGGTAGAAACACAACTCGTCGTGTTTTGAGGAGAGATAATGCTGAGTTGCATCCAAAGAACACCATACCTACTGTGAAGCATGGGGGTGGCAACATCATGCTTTGGGGCTGTTTCTCCGCAAAGGGACCAGGACGACTGATCCATGTACAGGACAGAATGAATGGGGCCATGTATCGTGAGATTTTGAGTGCAAACCTCCTTCCATCAGCAAGGGCATTGAAGATGAAAACATGGCTGAGTCTTCCAACATGACAATGATCCCAAACATACCACCAGGGCAACAAAGGAGTGGCTTCGTAAGAAGCATTTCAAAGTCCTGGAGTGGCCTAGCCAGTCTCCAGATCTCAACCCCATAGAAAACCTTTGGAGGGAGTTGAAAGTCCGTGTTGCCCAGCGACAGCCCCAAAGCATCACTGCTCTAGAGGAGATCTGCATGGAGGAATGGGCCAACATACCAGCAACAGTGTGTGCCAACCTTGTGAAGACTTACAGGAAACATTTGACCTCTGTCATTGCCAACAAAGGATATATAACAAAGTATTGAGATGAACTTTTGATATTAACCAAATACTTATTTTCCACCATAATTTTCAAATAAATTCTTTCCAAATCAGCCAATGTGATTGTCTGGATTTTTTTTCTCATTTTGTCTCTCATAGTTGAGGTCTACCTATGATGCCAATTACAGGCCTCTCTCATCTTTTTAAGTGGGAGAACTTGCACAATTGGTGGCTGACTAAATACTTTTTTGCCCCACTGTATATACACACACATACATATAGACAGTGCACAGCATAAATGAGTACACCCCAACAAATTTGTCAGAAAACCTTTACTTTCCTTTCAGAATCAACATTTTCTATGGGACACTATACAAATGTGGGCCATTGATTGCGAACAAGATTTGTTAATTTGCACACACAAAGCAGTATTTTTCCTAACAAATGAATTCAAGACCATGTTGCAAAAATGAATACACCCCAATGAACGTCTTAGGAGCAAAGCTAAATTTTAGACAAAAGAATCCTAATTAACAAGAATTTAACTATAGGTGAGCCTAATCATTTCATTAAAGAAAACCCCTTCCCATTTAATGCTGTCAGCAATGGCACCACATGGAAGAGAAATATCATGAGGCCTGAGAAAGAAAATAATTTCTTTACACAAGAAAGGTGAAGGCTACAAGAAGGTCAGCAAAGCTTTACTTATCAGTCAGAATACTGCAGCAAAGTGATAACAAAATTTAACAAAGATGGAACTGCAGCTATCTCACAGAGACATCCAGGTTGTCCTGTCAAAGTTAACACCTTGACAGGAGCGTCTTCTGATGAGAAGGGTTGAAGAAAATCGCCATGCAAGTTCAATGCAGTAAGCTAAAGAAGTCCTGTGACACAATACGGTGTACACTGCACAGGAATGGCATGCATGGTTATCTTCGAGGAAGGAAACCTCTCCTAAAGCCCATGCACAAAAAAGCCTGCATAGAATTTCCCAGGGCCCATGCTGAAAAAGAAGAAGATAACTGGGACTCTGTATTCTGGATTGATGAGACCAAGATAAATGTTTTCGGAACTGATAGCTTCAAAACTGTATGGTGTCGCAAAGGTGAGGAGTACAAAGAAAAATGCATGGTGCCTACAGTGAAACATGGTGGTGGCAGTGTCCTTCTGTGGGGCTGCATGAGTGCTGCTGGTGTTGGGGAGCTGCATTGCATTGATGGTATCATGAATTCACAGATGTACTGCTCTATATTGAAAGAGAGAAGATGCTACCATCACTCTGTGCCCTTGGTCAACATGCAACTCAACATGACAATGATCCAAAACACACATCTAAGGCCACTGTTGCACTTCTGAAAAAGAACAGGATGAAAGTGATTCAGTGGCCAAGTTTCCTGATCTGAACCCAATCGAACACCTATGGGGAATTTTAAAGAGAAAAGTTTAAACATCACTCTCCATCCAGCATCCAGGCTGTAAAAGAGGTAATTTTTTGAAGAATGGAAAAAAGATCAATGTTGTAATATGTCACCAACTTCTTCATTCCCATGTCTAGAAAACTTGGTGCTGTCCTTACAAATCATGGATGTCATACAAAATACTAGATGTAGTAGTTTTTGTTGTGTGGTGTATTCATTTTTGCATTAGCTAATTTGAGTAAAACTGAAGATTTTGTAATATACAGTATTTTCTGGCGTATAAGACTACTTTTTATACTTAAAAATATACCCCAAAAAATGGGGGTCGTCTTATACGCGGGGTATAAAAATGTGAACCTTGAGTTTGTTTGGGTCAAGCTGGCTGGATGTGTGGTAATACTGTACATACAGTATACCGTGCTGAGCCAAGCTGGCTCAAAACAAATGTCCCTATGACAGATTAATCTGTCAGCCCGCTGGATGTGCGGTATATATACAGTATACTGCGCTGAGCCAAGCGGTTTCAAAACGTACCAGTACGTCCCTACTGTAATCAGCCCACTGGATGCGTGTATGTACGGTAGCTGCGGCTACATACAGTATACACTAGGCCAATCACGGCGAGTGATGTATTCTACTAATGAATACAAAGCCTGCTCGGATTGGCTGAGTCAGAGAGGTGAGCTGATGATGTCACAACCTCAGCCAATCCGAGCAGGCTTTGTATTCATTAGTAGAATACATCGCTTGCCGTGATTGGCCCAGCGTATACCGTACTGGTACGTTTTGAAACAGCTTGGCTCAGTATACTGTATATACCGCACATTCAGTGGGCTGACAGATTAATCTGTCATAGGGACATTTGTTTTGAGCCAGCTTGGCTCAGCACGGTATACTGTATGTACATTACTGCACATCCAGCGGGCTGTATATCCATATGATGACTGTCTTACAAATGTATCACAAGATGTCATTCATGAACTTATGATGTCAGAGGATGAACATGAGGATTTTGAATGATTTTAAGTACTGGTAAGTCATAACCATTTCAGTTAAAAAATCTGATGTTTTTAAATGGTGTTGCCTCGGAAGGGGGGTAGTCTTATACGGCGAGTATAGCCCAAAACCTATGTTTTAACTGGAAAATTAGGGGGTCGTCTTATACACCCAGACGCCTTATACGCCGGAAAATACGGTAAGTTATATTATTAACCTCACTTTCATGTAATGAGCTAAACAAATGTTCTATAAAACTCAGTTTTGTCAACATTTTGGAAATTGTTCTTGTGTTCATTGAGATATTGATTAAAATCTTACTTTTTAAAAGGGGTGTACTCATTTATGCTGAGCACTGTACATTCTATTAAATACTATGTTTTAAAATGCATACTTTGTAATCTGGTTAAAGTAAGCAAATATGAGCTGGTAGGACATAGCTGTCAGTACATGTCTGAGAAATATTCAGTACTGCTTCTTGTGCAGGACAAGGTGAGTATACAGAATAACCATAGGCTCACACTACTGCGGATCGTGCAGCTCGAGTTTACTCAGGCATGGCAGCCCAATCATTTGAATAGGCTGCTGTGCCCACATATCCCGCAGAAAAAAAATGTACTTGCACCTTTTAAAAAATGTGGCTGCAGGGAAACCAAATGATCCTTTTGACCATTCAGTTTCCCTGTGGTGCCCCCAACCCACAAACATGCTGCGGGCTAAGATGAATAGGGGTGCCATTCAGGATTACATCTCCTAAGAGCAGCTCGATTTGGCTGCGGGTTGTTCTTGCAGGTGCAGGAACAGATGCGATTTCTGCAACCAGCTCGCAGACTGAGGGCAAGGGTGAATCTCGCCTAAGAGGTTGGTGTAAAGTGGGGGTCAGCAACGAGTAGATCGTGACCAGGTGTGACTGGTAGATCGTGGTCTGGGCTGACCCGCCATCCCAGAGCATCAATGCAGAGGGACTACTTGTAAAGTTGGAGCTATAGTAGGGAGCAAGAGCTGCATAAGCCAAAGCCTCCCCCATATTATTATTATTATTATACAGGATTTATATAGCGCCGACAGTTTGCTCAGCGCTTCACATTATGGTGGGAGACAGTACAGTCACATTACAATTCAATACAAGAGGAATTTGAGGGCCCTGCTCCTTGGCGCTTACAATCCAGGAGGGAGGGGATAGTGATACAGAAGGTAGTGCTGGCTCCTGTCCCATGAGGAGTAATACCAACTGCACTCCACCTCTTATCCCAGTTAGCAGTCTCCAGAGTGGTGCCAGCAGCAGGACAGAAGAGATCTTCAGGTCAGTGTAAAGCAATGCACTGGACATAATAGTATAGGGCTGCTTTCACGCTTTTCTGTGGGTTTGCTTAGCCATGGATGTCTATTATATCCTGCGGGTTTTGTTCGGATTTGGTGCATTTGAGAGTACACCAAAACTCCTGAGTGCAAGCGATCCCAGTGTGTTTGACAGGTGGAGGTGGTGAGGCAATATGTTGCCTCTTCACCTTTTGATTTCAACACATGATTAAGCGATCTAAGCGATCCCCTACTAAAAATACTACAACTCAGGATACATTAGTGAGATGGTGAGTGGGAATGCTCCTTACACTTGTGGTCATTGGGAAGAATTACCCCCTTACAGATAGCTAACAAAAAGCAACAGTGTCAGTGGGAACGTATCTGAGAGGCAGGAATTGCTCATTGCTTAAAGAACCCTTGCATTCTCTGGAGGAACCCTGGCTGAGAAATTCTGGTCTAGGGTTACATTTTTTTGTTTGCAGGAGAAAATTAATATACTCAGAGGAAATCCAAGAACATATGGGGAAAACACATAAACTCCATGAAGACAGAATTACTAGTGGAGATGAACCCAGGATCCCAAGATACAGGGTGACATTGCTTAGCACCAAGCCTATGTTTTTAATAGAAGCTATTTAAAATTTTATGTGGTGACACCACATTTATTTTTAAAATTTTCATTTGGATTGTTTTTTCTGTAGAAATGGTGACTGTAACGTCTAGGAAAATGAAAGGTATAATTTAAACAATGCATACAATAATATATGCCATATTGTGGTTGTACGTTAATAAAACAGATAATGATACCTTGCTTCTTCTTCTTCCTGTAGCTTTCTTGCCCTTTCCTTCTCAACTCTTTGCAATATTTTATTATTTATTTCCTGTTTATTCAACAAGTACAGTCTATTTAACAGACACTTTCCTGAAATACAAGAATACAGCAGTGAACACATAGGCACCTTTACAAATAATAACAGTACAATTTAAAAGTGATATTGAATCAAAAAATAAACATTTAATATATTGCAGGTTACAATCCATAAATGCGGTGGCTGCATAAGTTTTCCTTTTTTTTAGACTTTTTCATTTTTCACCTAGTGATTCGGCCACTTCCTGTCATAGGATGTCTCCACTCTGGATGGTGGATCAGTGGAGACACCTCTGGACAGCAGCATTGTCAATCTGGAGAGAGGGTACTGTTAGATATACTAGCAGTTTTAGATGGACTTGACAAAAAAAATTAAAGCCAAACTCCAGCAAACACTTTATAAGCAGTTACACAAACAGTTTATTTTCCTTTTGGGATAAAGGTTATACATAAATGAATAAAAGCTGTAAGCACCCATCAGTAGTAAATTGTTTGTTTCTACCCTTTAACTGCAACCTTTGCTTGACAGCTTGCTCTTTTAAATTTAAATTGAAAAATAAAAAAACTTATTAGCTGGATTAACGGGGGAAATAATCGTAAAAAGAAGCCTAAAAAAGGAAACCAACGCAGCCACCACATCTAAGAACTAATTTCTAAAAGAAAGAGGTGAAAATAACATGACACAATGAGGTGCAGTTATTAAAACTTCAGCAAAGAAAACTGGACCAAAACTAAAGCTGTTGTCATTAGCAAATAACAAACCACCTTGTTGGACATCTTGCATGGTTGCCAACACAAACATCTCCACATTTGTACCAATTTTCATAAATGATGGAATTTAGTTCATCCTATAAACTATACAGTTGTTTTTTTTCTGTTTCAATCGTTTTTATTAGAATTTTTCTTTTCAAAGAGAAAGAACAAAGCATAACAAGTGCACAGGTGTTCAAATAGTCAGAACTCTGGTCACAAAATAAGAGCTATTCCAAATATCATAAAAAATCAGCGACTTAGGTATGGTCACTGTGAAATAACATTAGGAAGAACAGATCAAGTGACCAGGCCAATCCCTCCGGTCCCGATCAAGCCACCAGCCCACCTGGGACGCAGTGGGACAAATCAAACTGTTGAAAACTGTTGAACCCCCCGCCACCCGGGAAGCCATGGAGGCCGTAGCACCATCAATGTTGATCATTAGAAAAAACATTGTAACGCAATGCTGTAGTTGGAAGGTAATGGTAAGTATCAAAGGCACATTGCCAGTAAACATCTGTAATCATCTATCAGAATAATTAACTCCCTGAATCAATCAAGACAGTTCTGTTTTTTTTTCACTAAGCATTTATAGAGTGTATCACACTTACCATTATCTGCTGAATTCTTAAAACAAATGACAATATCAGGAAGAAGACCCTTCTCACTAAGAGGTATCCAATAATTCGGTGAATTCGGGAAATTGTCTAATACCCATCCTCCAACAGGTGGGGCACCAAGAAACCGTTCTTTATTTTCGACATTGAACTATATAAGGTATACACAAAAAAAATGAAGATTTAAAAAAAACAAACAAACATATGAACCTTTGCATTTACTATATCCGGTCTGCCACAATACACAGAACATAGAAATGTAATTATTTTAGTAAATATAAACTGCTAAATACCTTTTCTCTTCAGCAGTTAGAGCAGTCTTGTGACTTCTATCGGTGTCCAGCACAGCACATGTTAAAGTTTGTAAAAGGAGTTTTCATTCTGCTCTGATTGTCCTATGAGACTGCATGACCCCCGACCTTCTGTCTGGACAGCTCTGATTGGCCCTGTGCTGATCACATGCACTCTCCCAAAAAAATAAAAAACCTCTCTAGCAATACACACCAAACTGAGCATGTGCAGAGTGATTCTACACGTCTTATCAGGAGATAAGAGGGGGACACTGGAAGAAGAGGAGGATAAGAGAAGACAGGACCAAACAATCTTACACAGGTTCCACAGTGAGTAAAACAGGCATGCCTTAATGCATATACAGACTGATTTTACTGTTGTGGGTTTAGTAACACTTAGTCAAGGAATGCCAAAACAAAGTATTTAAAAAATGATTGTCCAGTGAAACATATTTTTATTAAATGTTGATTGATCTTGTCAAAGCAGCAGTAAAGCAGACCATACAATGAATGAAATTTGTCTGGTTCACCATGCACCATCTGAATATCGATATGTGTCTGTCCCTGCTCAACAGATGTCAGTCCAAGCAAGGGAGATTTTTCCATCCACCTTGGTTGTGTGGATAGAGGAATCTGCTGGCTGAACAAAACTAACCATCTATAGCCAGCTTAAAGCAGTATTAAACCCAAAAGCCAACACTGTTTTTTATCGTAGCTTACTAATTCTTACAAGTAGAGGATGAAGACAAACTATTTAACACTGACAGGGGTGCTTACAATGGTCAACTCTTATTTTTTTAAATATAAAACCTTTATCCCAGTTATATTTTAGAAGCTGGAATTTGGCTTAAATTTGTTCTCGTATTTAAATCTGCTAGTACAGCAAACACTACCCTCCCCCCAGACTGACCATGCTGCTATCTATCCAAAGGTGTCTCCTTCATACAGAGTGTAGGCACCCTAACTTAGAAGGGGTGTTACTTGTCAGATCATTAAATAAAGACAAAAATGCATAAAAAGAAAAAACCTAATGCAGCCGTCACATTTAATGATTGGTAAGCTGCAACATATTACATTTTTGTTTTTGAGTTTAATACTGCTTTACATCTAACAGGCTGATATAGGTCTAGGATGAGTGTGTGACTATACTAAAGAGAACAGTACATAAATATAGACTTTTATATTTAGCAGAGGAAATTCACCTAGTCATTTCGATGACAAGAGCACTACATAAAAAGGAATTACCTTGTTTAAAAGTGCTAAAATCTAATGCATCTGTAAAAGGTCACAATATGTGACAAAGTACCAATTAAATATTACAACAGCTGTAGAAACAAGGAATATGAAACACATTAACAGGCACTAGTTTTGGGGTATAAATAGTGAGAAAACTCAAACACTTTTGGTTTAACTTTTCTTGTTTTATTACCTATTCATGTATTAAATAAATGTATTTTTGTTAATTACGTGTTCTTGCATCGCAAGACCACTTACTGTTATCTCACATATATATTCTTATTATTATAGCCAAATTTACCACCATAACTCCTCCCACATATTTCACACTACATAGACAGTAATATACTGAAACGTGCGGATTGTTCCCGATTGGTGCGCTATTACTTTGTGGAACGTTTCGCCAAATGGTTCACAAAATATCAGCGTTTTTGTGGTAAAACTGGTCCCATAGGAATGCCTGGCAAAATGTTCAAAACTAGAATGGGAGCTGACAAAAGCTAGAGTGGGAGCTGAGAAATCAGGACATGATTTCTAAACTGCCATCGCTCCCTCATTTTCAAGCCCACCTACACAAATCTTATATCAAAACGTTCAGCTATCCCTGCTGCCACTAAAAATGTCCACGGCTAAGCCATAGTCCTGATAGTTTTCATAATATGACCATTTGTTTGCAACTCACGCCGCCCATTGACATTTATTGAAACTCCACTCTAGCCACCTCAAATTTGAAGGGCAATTTCTAAACTGCGACTGTGCCTTCATTTTTAATATTTCAGAGACATACTATACATCAAAATGTAGGTCTGGGTTTTGTGATTCTCACAATATAAAGCTCTTTGGTGTAGTATTTATAATTTTTAAACTACCACCGTTTGAAAATGGCAACCGCCAGTGAAGTGAGCAAGTTGGAGCAGTTTGTTTTTAACCGCTCTTCTCTGCCCTTGCTGTAGAGTGAGTTGCCATAGGAACCCAGGTGTGTGAGCAGCCAGCAGAGTGACAAGCCACTCCACCCAGTTACTCCGCCCACTCCAGTTGTAGACTACTAGTGGAGGCAAGAACACTTCACACAATTTCCCCAGAAATTGTAGCTTTTCTAGTTTTCAACATACATTGAAAAAGGACACCTGTGGTTGATTTACTAAAGGCACACAGGCTGTTTAATCTGGAAGAAAATTTTTCCCAGAGCTTAGTGAATGTGGTGAAATTTCACTTTGCAAAGATTACCCAATCACATACAAGGAAAAAAAAACAGAATTTTTGCTTGCACATGATTGGATGATGGAGGTCAGCAGAGCTTTGCCTCATTCACTAAGTTCTGGGGGGAATTTCGTTTCAGCCCTGGTTCACACTGATGTGGTGTGGAATTTGCAGCGTTTTCAGTGTGAGTTTCGCACTGCATCAGAATTGCACCCCGTTCATGCAAACAGCTGCAGGTGTGTATGTTAACAACACCCCAAAAGCGATCCGAAAAACATGGTGCGATGTGCAGAATCGGATTGCATAGGTGTGAATACCCATGCAATTCGATTCTAGAGTGGACCCAAAATAGGGTCCTGCATGCTTTTGGTGCACGTGCAATGTGAATAGAGCCATACAAAATGTATGGCTCCAATCACACCGCACACAAATCGCATGTGATTTGCACAGGAATGTGGTGCAGTTCCTGTGCGAACCACATGTGATATACCGCACCGCACATATGTGAACCCAACCTCAATGTCAAACCTTCCTTGCATAGTGAACAGTCTGTTTTCCTTTAGTAAATTGCCTACTGATGTTTAATAGACAGATATTAATCAAAATACGTAAACACTATAAGATATATTAAACTGATTATTCAAACATGTGACAATATAACAATATTCAAACATGTAACAGACTGAAATACAACTAATATTATTACTTGTTGAAATAGTAGCACCATCTAATCTAATTTCTTAGAGGAAATGTTTATAGAGCTATTACTCAACTCATACCTCTGTGATAGCTGTCTCCAGGGTACTGACATAAACATCTGGACTTAATGTTACTGGAGCCTCCTGTGCAATTCTCATAGCCTCCTCAACCATTTGCTGCACTTCTGGATGATCAGCAGTCACCTCTTCTACTTTGTCTGTAATATAAACATATAATACAACACATATATATATATATATATATATATATATATATACAGTCAGGTCCATAAATATTGGGACATCGACACAATTCTAACATTTTTGGCTCTATACACCACCCCAATGGATTTGAAATGAAACAAATAAGATGTGCTTTAACTGCAGACTGTCAGCTTTAATTTGAGGGTATTTACATCCAAATCAGGTGAACGGTGTAGGAATTACAACAGTTTGCATATGTGCCTCCCACTTGTTAAGGAACCAAAAGTAATGGGACAATTGGCTTCTCAGCTGTTCCATGGCCGGGTGTGTGTTTATTCCCTCATTTTCCCAATTACAATGAGCAGATAAAAGGTCCAGAGTTCATTCAAGTGTGCTATTTGCATTTGGAATCTGTTGCTGTTAACTCTCAAGATGAGATCCAAAGAGCTGTCACTATCAGTGAAGCAAGCCATCATTAGGCTGAAAAAACAAAACAAACCCATCAGAGAGATAGCAAAAACATTAGGAGTGGCCAAAACAACTGTTTGGAACATTCTTAAAAAGAAGGAATGCACCGGTGAGCTCAGCAACACCAAAAGACTCGGAAGACCACGGAAAACAACTGTGGTGGATGACCAAAGAATTCTTTCCCTGGTGAAGAAAGCACCCTTCACAACAGTTGGCCAGATCAAGAACACTCTCCAGGAGGTAGGTGTATGTGTTCAAAGTCAACAATCAAGAGAAGACTTCACCAGAGTGAATACAAAGGGTTCACCACAAGATGTAAACCATTGGTGAGCCTCAAAAACAGGAAGGCCAGATTAGAGTTTGCCAAACGACATCTAAAAAAGCCTTCACAGTTCTGGAACAACATCCTATGGACAGATGAGACCAAGATCAACTTTTACCAAAGTGATGGGAAGAGAAGAGTATGGAGAAGGAAAGGAACTGCTCATGATCCTAAGCATACCACCTCATCAGTGAAGCATGGTGGTGGTAGTGTCATGGCGTGGGCATGTATGGCTGCCAATGGAACTGGTTCTCTTGTATTTATTGATGATGTGACTGCTGACAAAAGCAGCAGGATGAATTCTGAAGTGTTTCGGGCAATATTATCTGCTCATATTCAGCCAAATGCTTCACAACTCATTGGACGCCGCTTCACAGTGCAGATGGACAATGACCCAAAGCATACTGCAAAAGCAACCAAAGAGTTTTTTAAGGGAAAGAAGTGGAATGTTATGCAATGGCCAAGTCAATCACCTGACCTGAATCCGATTGAGCATGCATTTCACTTGCTGAAGACAAAACTGAAGGGAAAATGCCCCTAGAACAAGCAGGAACTGAAGACAGTTACAGTAGAGGCCTGGCAGAGCATCACCAGGAATGAAACCCAGCGTTGGGTGATGTCTATGCGTTCCAGACTTCAGGCTGTAATTGACTGCAAAGGATTTGCAACCAAGTATTAAAAAGTGAAAGTTTGTTTTATGATTATTATTCTGTCCCATTACTTTTGGTCCCTTAACAAGTGGGAGGCACATATACAAACTGTTGTAATTCTTACACCGTTCCCTGATTTGGATGTAAATACCCTCAAATTAAAGCTGACAGTCTGCAGTTAAAGCACATCTTGTTCGTTTCATTTCAAATCCATTGTGGTGCTGTGTAGAGCCAAAAATGTTAGAATTGTGTCGATGTCCCAATATTTATGGACCTGACTGTATATATATACACAATATATATATCAAAGTCTCCCTTTGATTAGCAAAAGTGTTCACAGTGGTGAAGAAGATGTTTGGTCACTTGATATGAATAATCTTGAGCGAACAAGAACTTCAAAATGAAAACCGGGCTTACTAACCCATACTAGGAATAAGAAGGTTCCTCAACAACATCTCAGTTCCTAATTAAATAGGCAATTGCACACTAAATCACGCAGTATTATTTAATAATTAGTCATCTTTAATTGTAACTGAAATTACTAAATTACCATCTTGTTGAATGATACTTTGCTCCTCCACATTCTCTATTATTTCCTGCTTTTGGGCTGAGTCATCTTCCGTTGTACCAGATTCCTCCAAGTTTTCTGTTTAAAAGGCATAGCATATATACAGTTGTGGCCAAAATTATTCAAGCCCCAATGCTGTAAAGGGGTTTAGGGACTATAGTGCCACATTTGGAATTGTTTTAGAATCAAATCCTACAAGTGTCACTGTAACCCAGGACCCCCCTGCAACTTCACTTTATATGGTTTATGTAATACAGTAAAATAAGATCAATTGGTTTCTAGTAAATATAAACTGCTAAATACCTTTTCTCATCAGCAGTCTTGTGAATTCTATCAGTGTCCAGCTGAGCACTTGTTAAAGCTTGTAGGAGGAGTTTTTGAAGAACATTTTCATCAGGTTTGACTATCCTATGAGGCACCAATTAGGCAGCTTTAAAATAACCCCTGACCCTCTATCTGGACAGCGCTGATTGGTTACAAACATGTGCTGATCACAAGCAGAATTCCAAAGAAAAGAAAATTTCTCTAGCAATAAGGGCAATGGCTAAACTGAAGCATGTAAAGATGTTACATACAAAACACTCTTAGTAAGCTATCATTCGCAGATTCAAGGCAAAGGGGACCGTTGAAACGCTACCTGGTCGTGGCAGAAAGAAAAGACAGGACTCATACAGCTTTTTACACAAGCGTGCAGAGGAGAGAACCCCTTGGTTCCACAGTGAGTATAAAAAGCATGCTTTATTGCATATACAGACTGATTTTACTGTTGTGGGTTTAGTAACAATTCCAATGTCATTTACACATGTATACAGTATGAAGATTGGCTACCATAGAAGGCAGCAGTGAAAAACGTAATATGGACAAAAGAACTAGTCTATGTTAGACAAACAGATGAACATGAGATAATATGTGCACATGTGTGTTTTTCATCTTCTAAAGAGCAAACCAACAAGTGAAGACATTTAGGGAACTACTGAAGGCTATCCAGTACATACACAGGCTACCTTTAAGCAACCCTTTGCATGAATCTCCTTTTAATAAGAAGAGTCGACAGCAGTCATGTCAAAAAATGTGGAATAGTTATATTTCCATTTGTGGGATAGTGTTTGTGGACTGATGAAACAAAATCTCCACTGTACATTCCCATGGTTTCAACCTGCTGACTGTTCCGGAGGACTGAAGAACAAGGCCTATGATGAAAAGAACATGGAGGCCTACTGATTTAAAGGCAATTAGGGAGGGTCAATCATGCTTGGGGGCAAGTTTTGAAGTTGAACTTTCTAAGGGAATTTTTCACAGCTTGCAGCTAATGAATTCTCTTCCATCCAGGAGATAATGGACAACGTTTGCAGTCCGCAAACCTTAGGCTTTTTTTATTGGACCTTTCATGGTTACAGGACTTTGGAAAGTGCATACCTCCAATTTACTTAGCTCTAGGGCTGATTGACAGAGGAATTACCTTGAAAAGTGAAGATCCAATTTGCCTTTAGTAAATTAACCCCAGCATGTGTTGCAAAGGCTGGAACATTTTTTGTGTCTGGTGGAAGGAGAACTACAGGCATCGCAAAACCTCAGAATGTGTTGGACTAGCAGCAGTGCATGTAACTGGGCAACAACCCGTAGAATTTGACTTACTGAATGACACTTGTGTCAAGCTATGCTTCACGTTTAAAAGCTTCTTTTAAAAGGTTCTTCTGTACTAAGTACTAAGATTGAATGTCACTTGGGGGTTGAATAAAACTGATAATGCTGTGTCAGCACAGAAAAGACATTTGTGGTTATTTCATTATAACATGTTATGGCTATACACAGCTGACCTACAAGTGCCTCTTTAATGTAAATGTAAGCAAGATGACTGAATGATCAAAAGCAATGTCAAAATTTGGGGTAAACATCTCAATTTCAGTGGGGGTTGAATAATTACAACAACTGTTTGTATATTGATAATGCCTACATTTTAAGGGACAAAAGTAATGGTACATAAACCCAATCAAAAGGACAGCCAGTGCAAACTTTCACTTTTTAATACTTGGTTGCAAATCCTTTGCAGTCAATTACAGCCTGAAGTTTGGGTATAGGACAGCCAGGTGCCAAACTTGACGCATAGCATTCATCACCCAACAGTACACAGCTGATGCAATTATTTTAGTTTAAACTGCTAAATTCCTTTTGATGCAGTGCCAGGCCTCTATGTAACTGTCTTCAGTTCCTGCACTTGTTAAAGCTTGTAGGAGGAGTTTTCCCTTCAGTTTTGTCTTCAGAGGCTAAATAAATGACCCTCTAATGGACAGCGCTGATTGGCCCTGTGCATTGATCACATTCCAGCTTCCCAAAGAAAAAAAACTCTTTAGCAATATGCACTAAACTGAGCATGTATGAGAGTGACTCACAAAACTCTGTACTATCAGCAGATGGATTGGGGACCGTAGAATGAGTTGTGAGGAACAGAAAAGACTGATCATACAGCCTTTATTGCCCGAAACACTGCAGAGGAATTCATCCTGCTGCTTTTGTCCACAGTGAGTATCAATAAATACAAGAGAACCAGTTTATTGGCATATACATGCCCACGCCATGACACTACCACCACCATGCTTCTGATGAGGTGGTATGCTTAGGATCATGAGCAGTTCCTTTCCTTCTCCATACTCTTCTCTTCCCATCACTTTGGTAAAAGTTGATCTTGGTCTCATCAGTCCATAGGATGTTGTTCCAGAACTGTGAAGGCTTTTTTAGATGTCGTTTTTAGCAAACTCTAATCTGGCCTTCCTGTATACAGTATGAAGATTGGCTACCAAGAACATCAGTGGTGAAAAACGTTGTATGGACAAAAGAAGTCTAGTCTATGTTGACTTTGACAGACATGACATAATATGTGCACATGTGTGTTTTGATCTGAGCCCAACAAGTGAAGGGTGCATTTAGGGAACTACTAATTCTATCCAGTACATCCACAGGCTACCTTTGCAACCCTGTTGCATGAATAAAACCTTTTAGGCAGAACAGTCATGTCAAAGGAAATTGCTGAATAGTTGCATTTCCATTTCTGGGTTTGTCAGATATCAAATTCTCCACTACAGTTCTATGGTTTCACCTGCTGACTGCTCCGTCACTACTGTGTCCTATAGATACATGTTTTGATTTAATAAAGGCAATTAGGCTTGTTCACTTGGCAAGAGAAGTTGAACTTTCTAAGGGAATCTCATCTTGAGGTTAACAGCAACAGATTCCAAATGCAAATAGCACACTTGAAATGAACTCTGGACCTTTTATCTGCTCATTGTAATTGGGAAAATGAGGGAATCACACATCCATGGAACAGCTGAGAAGCCAAAATCCCATTATTTTTTTCTATTCCTTATGGTTATTCAAAGTGGGACCTCACCACATTTACTTAGCTCTAGGGCTGATTGACAAGTCCAAATTACCTTGAAAAGTGAAGATCCAATTTGCCTTTAGTAAATTAACCCCAGCAGTGTCTGGTGGAAGGAACTACAAGGCATCCAAAACACTCAGAAGTGTTGGATAGCAGCAGTGCATGTAACTCTTCAACAAAGAAAGAATTTGACTTACTGAATGCTGGAAAACTATGTATTCAACAATTCTTTTACAGTGTTCCCTGCCTGTAATATTCTATCCATGCAACGGGGTTGCTTTATCCTGAAATCTATGTAATACCTGCATACCTCACTGGACCCCACAAGGCTAAACAACTTTGGACCCATCTCCTTGCTTCTTTTTCCTCTAACCTTCTATAGCATGCTTGGTTTGCCACTGTCTGAACTGCTACCTCACTGGCAACAACCTTCTTAACCCCTTCCACTTTGGCTTTCATTCCCAGCACTGCACAGAATCTGCCCTACTAAAACTCAGTGATGGTTTACCAACTGCTAAAACCAAGGCCATTACTCCATACTCTACTAGCAGCTCCCTCTGCTGTCTTTGTTAATAATGACCTCCAGCTCCTCCTCAAAAACCTCCACTCCCTTGACCTTCAATTCTTTGCTCTTTCCTGGTTCCCCTTCTATCACAGCATTCAGTGTTGCCTACAACTGTGTCTTCTATTCTCCACTTTCTCTTTCTGTAGGGGTCCCCCAAGGCTCTATCATGGGACCCTTTCTCTTCTCTATCTACACACCTTCTCCCTGGTTACTCAATAACCTCCCATGACTTCCAATATCATCTCTACGCTGATAATATCCATATCTCTCTACTCCTCACCTCACCCCTTCGGTGTTCAGTTACTAACTGACATATCAGTATGGATGTCACACCACTTCCTCACACTAAAGCCAGCCAAACACGGGTCAAATTCTGAAAGAATTTTCTTTCGAAAATCGTAATTAAGAATTTTCATTAGAATTTCTCACTAATAGAGCCCTGCAGTAACAGTCAATTTTCATGCAGCCATCTAATTTGAGTGCAAGTTGGAAATGTTTTTAAAAAAAAACGAATTTCTAATCAATGATGGGAGAATCATGCAAGAAATATAATCAAAAAATAAATGCACATGAGCTGTGAATTAGAAAAGAATATTCCCAGCCACAAATTCTTTTTTTGTTTTTCTGTAACAACATGAGGTGAAATTGAAGGCTTCATTGGTTGAAAATCATGGTGGCACCATCAGATTGCAAAATGCACAAAATTTCCAATTTGTGAAAGAAAATTCTTTAAAAATTTAACCTGTGTATGGCCAGCTTTAAACGTTCTAAAACTGAACTCATAACACAACCCCCCCCCTCCCCAGCCTATGCCCTCCTCCCTGACTTTTCCATCAAGATCAATAATGCAATAGTCCACCCCCTCATGCCAGAGTGCTAGGTGTAATCCTGCCATCTGACCTGTTATTTCAGCCCTAATTACAAACAATGTCATAACATTTCCAAAATGTACCCCTTCTTAACCAATTAAACCACCAAGCTACTCATTCACTCCCTTGTTATCTCACATTGATTATTGTAAATCCCTCCTTAAAGGCCTATCTCTACACAGGCCATCCCCTCTTCAGTCTATTGTGAATGCTACTGCCAGACTCATCTAACTTATTAACTGCTCAGTGCCAGCCACCCCTCTCTGCCAATCCCCCCACTGGATTCTGATTGACCAACAAATAAAATTCAAAATACTAACAACAACATACAAAGCCATCCACAACTCTGCTCCACCTTACACCACCTAACCTGTCTTATTATTTCACCCAAACCATCTTCTCTGCTCCTACCAAGACCTTCTGTTATCTAGCTCCCTTGTCTCATCCTCCCATGCTCACCTCCAGAATTTCTCCAAAGCTTCTCACATCTTCTGGAACTCCATACCCAAATCTGTTTGGTTATCTTCTACTCTGTTCACCTGAAAATTCATCTCTTCAGGGAAGCCTTTCCCACCACCACTTAAAAATTGAACTTTTAATTTTTTCTATCAGCTCATCCCTCTCACACTTATTGCCTTTTGTATCAGTTGCCCATCCCTATTAGATTGGAAGTTCTCACAAGCCAGGCCGTCCTAGCCCTCCTGTATTGAATTGTATCGTCACTGTACTGTCTCCCTTTATATAATAAGGTGCTGTGCATAAATCATGTATTACTGCAATACTAATCACCACATACATCTCCATACAGGATCAGTGGGAGGGCAGTAGGAATCTACTTCTTGATGGCTGTGTTGTGTAACTTTCTCTCTATTATTTTCGTCCTGTAAACCCAATGACATTCATACTTCCAATGCAAATGGAATTCTGATTGGTGGCTGTGAGAAACTTCTTAGTACTGCTATTTTTTTACATCAGGCTTTCTGTGTATGGGAGTTAGTAATGAGTGTTCCAGCATCACAAACAACTGCAAGATCACAAGATTACAGACAAACGCAATGGAGTAGACAGATGCAGTTCAGCAATGCCTGGATGAAAAACTAAATGATCCTGTAGGTCAGGGGTCTCCAAACTTTCTAAACAAAGGGCCAGGTTGTGGTCTTTCAGATTTTAGGGGGACCGGACTGTGGGAAGTCAGAGCAGAAAATGTTCTGGCTTCACTGGGGGGTAAAAAAACGCCTGATCTTTTAAATTAGGGGAGGTACCCCATCTTTGGTGTCAGTGGAAGGAATAGTTTCTCATCACTGGTATCAGTAGGAGGAAATGTGGTTCATTGTTGGTGCCAGTGGGAGGAATAGTGCCCCATCACTGGTGTCAGTGGGAGGAATTGTGCCCCATCACTGGTGTCAGTGGGTGGAATAATTACTTGTCATTGGTGTCAGTGGGAAGAACAGTGCCCCACCATTGGTGTTAATTGGAGGAATGGTGCCCCATGGTTGGTGTCATTGGAAGGAATTGGATCTCAGCACTGGTGTCAGTGAGAGGAATTGTTCTCTACTGTAGGTGTCAGTGGAATGAATAGTGCCCAACCGCTGGTATCAGAGGAAGGAGGTGTGCTCTATTGCTTGAGTGTTTAGAAGAAATTGTGCCCCATTGTAGGTGTCAGTGAGAGAAATAGTGCTACATCATTGATGTCATTGGGAGAAATAGTATCCCATTGTTGGTGATATTGGGTGGAATTGTATACTATCATCAGTGTAAATGGGAGGATTTGTGCCCCATTGTTGGTGTCAGTGGCAGGAATGATGTCCCAATGTTGGAGTCAGTAGATGGAATAGTGCCCCAAGGGCTAGATAAAACCAAGCAAAGGGCCACATCCGGCCACAGTTTGGAGACCACTGCTGTAGGTAGTCTGTGTTCCATGTCTAAATCTCAAGACTTAAGCCGCATTCGCATGGGTGATTAGCCATGGTGCAAATCCCAGCAGCATGAATCTACTGATTCCTGCGGCTGAAATCGACAGCTGTGTCCAAAGTGTTGCAGCTGATTACTTGCAGTATTCGGAGCTGGATGTGTGTGTCCAGCCGCGACCACCACAGGTAATCACTGGCTGTGCAAACAAACATAGATAGCTGCAGCCACCAACAGCCTGTCATTGCACTGTACAGGCTTGGTAACACCACTCTCTTTTCCAGCCACAGGAATCAGTAGATTGTTGACGCTCGGATTCACATTGTGCGAATTGTTCAGTTTTTCGTGGAATGTATCTTTATTGACAAAAATGTCAAAAAAATCTTGTTTATGTTTACACAGATGACTTACCTTTTACACTGTGCTCTTCATCTGTCCGAGCTGAAGAAATATCATCTGCTCCTACGTCTACGTCTATGTCTTTGTGGGCCTCTGCCATTGCTATGATACGAGTCAATAAATATCAAGTGTTATTTTATTAGTAACAGCAGAATGTTGTACCATGTTAGCCACTGGCTATTTCAATAGATTTACCAGACTAATGTATTCATAGTGTTTTATAGCATTTGGAAGGCCTGGTTTGTAAATTGTATTACGCAAGCCAAATTATGGTTATTGTACACCTTAGGTAAAGATTCTGGAGAAAGTTGTCTATATTAAATTAGTGATTGTAAAGAAAGAACATTTACATATATTGGCTGTAGTCTAGACTTTCTTTATTAATATTAGCTGGAGGAAATACATTACAACAAGGACTATATTTTATTGCCATCTAAAGTGTGTCTGTAGCACACAAAATATTAACAACCTTTTTTTTTTTGCAGTAAACTAATATTCATCACCGAACAATTCCACCAGCATTAGCTAGAATGTGTGCTATTAATTTTCTCTCTCCAAGAAATCTTGTAATGTGCTGCATTTAAAGATTTTCTTTCAAGCTGTATGGCTACATACTCATATACTGTACTTTTGTAGGGTTCTTAAAAATAGCCATAAAACAATCTCTTGCTGTTTTCAGCGGGTGGATTAATAAAGAAAGTATGATTGCTGAGTCACCCTGTACAACACAATAGTCAGTGAATATAAGCATAAGAGTTACTGAACTTAGAAATCTAGACTCTTCAATATATCAGTATTTTAGAATATTTACCATCAATTAGTAATTGCTTTGTTTTAATGACAAGAGGTTTGATTTTAAATCTTTTTTTTTTGTAATAAATCTTTAGTAACATTTTCTAGTGATAAAAAGTAGGCAATATTGTTGGCAAATCCATACCAGTCAGTCAAGAAAACAGCAATAAAATGTATAACAACATAGGCAAACGAACTTCTTGACCTAAATCATACATAGTTTGAATATCAATGGTAATTAGTGACTCCAATATTTCAAACAAAAAGAAAAAAGAAAAAGAACAAAAGAAAAAAGGGAAGAAGAGAAAGGAAAAAAAAACAAAAAAACAACATCCAGTAAACCAAGTCTGTAGCAGTAGTATTACACAAACAATAACACATATTACTCAGGTGTACATAGCGACACGGTCGGAGAGCACTAAAAGTCCAATCTACCCAAAATAACTCGTGCAGCTGGTATCTCAGAGGAGTAGTACATCCACCCTTGCCAGATATCTTGAAATTACTCCCCTTGAACTCTAACCAGGTGTACCCAGCGCTCCGCTTCCATGATCTTATCTACCTCCCATTTCCAATCAGAAAGCGTGGGACACAAAGATTGTTTACAAAACCTAGGGATCAAAGATCTAGCTGCGTTAAAAAGGTGGGGAGTAACACTACGCTTAAAAGCCTTCATAGAGGTTGAAGTCACATGAAATAGGAGACAAAGGGGAGACTACTCCAATTGACTCAACATCAATTTCAGAATCCATGGGATAATTGTATCCCAAAAGGGCACAATTTTGGGGCAAGTCCACCAGAGATGAAGAAAGGTACCACGGTGACCACATCCTCTCCAGCAACGAGCATTGGCAGTAGGATGATTTTGATTCATTTAATTTAAAGGACCACTATCACAAAAAGTATACTGAAATTGTGTGTGCTAAATACAGGTACATATAATGATGGTATTATAGTGACACTAAACAATATTCTTATTCTTATAAATAATGTCCTTTTTCATGAAATTGCCTCACTGTGTTTTTCTCCCTTCGTATACTGTCCTCCATGACCTCCAAAATCTCTCCTTTTCATCCTCAGTTCCATTAGTTTGGAATGCCCAGTGAATGTTAGTTGCAGTCATGTGTATTGCTCTTTGCACACTGCAAATCTCATATTCCATAATCCCTAGTCTATCTCGGGAGCTACATTCATTCTTCATGGCCCCAATGTATGTAGGAAAGTAGTCACCCTCTAACAGGAAGTTGGATCACAGCACCAAAAAAGAAAGGCATTTGGAGGAGACTGAGAGTAACAGAAGATACATTTGTGAGATAAGAATACAAACTTCAACAGAATTTTTTTAAACCAGACTTTAGTGTCACTTTAAGTGTATTTTTTGTTTATTTCACCTGACTTTTTTTTTTAATTTTTTTTTACATACACTTACATGCAGATCAAGCTGTTAAGACAAATTATAATACTGCTAGGTATGTTTTAGCAGATGAACAGTTTTTGTATAAAAACAAGATTTAAATCATGGGAATAAAAGGTGACCATAGTAAGCATCCCTCTCAGTGTTCCTCTTTGTTCCAAACTGCGCTGTCACTGGCAATTTGTTGGATAGCTTTTTCTACAAGTCAATGTGGAATTAGATATAAATAAAGGTAAATGAAATAAAAAAGAAATAAATTCACATAATGAATACCGTCATTACATGCAGTACATGAACTACATAAAGTTGAGTCAATTCATAATTTTTTATAAAAGTGGTTCTTTAAGGATCAAAGACAACGATAGTGAATGTTCTGTAAAGACCTTGTGTGAATATGTGTATAGACATGTAAAGGTGCGTAAGTGTATAGACAAGTAAAAATTCTTCTTCATTGCCAGTATTGTAATATGCTCATTTATACTCACGTAAACGGCATAAACACCTGTATGTGCGTATGTCTTTGCACTCAAATGTAAAATATTATATTTTTGTTTTACAGCTCTGTACTCATCGCTGTATTACTGTTCTTTACTCAGCTGTGTGCATTGTTCCATAGTCAACAATGCATCTAATTTCAAATCAGTAAAAAACATGGCGTGTTTAATCCAGTGTACAAGAGGCCTTAAGCATCCTAGATTCTTGTTGTCTATAGATGGTTCTGCTACACGCTGTAAAATATACAGAACACCTCCAGTATCCTCCATATAAATAAAGTGGCAATTCCAGGGAAGAATAAATGTAAACCCCTTTCAGAAGTACAGTGATATCCTATGGATCACATGAGTAATTCCAATGCACATACCTTGTTCTTTCAACAGTTTCTCTTGTTGCAGCTTTAATTTCACAGCTTCTATAGCTTTCTCAGTGGCTTCTTCATACGCTTTTGCATAAGCACCTTGTTTTGCTTCCTCGAGATGTGGTAAAATAAGCACAGACATGTCAAAGACCTAGAAGATGTATGTTTGGGTTAATAAAAATAAATATAATGAAGTCACTGCATATGCAGGTGACTTACTCTTCTACGTGGTTAACTATTCCAAATCTCCTAAAGGAAATCAGAGACTTTGGCCAACTATCAAACTACAAAATCAGCGACTCTTAAAGTTTTTGCTCAAAGACACTGATGAATATGATGAAACCCTATTCCTATTTAAATGAGCTCCTAAAGTCATTACATATTTGGGAAATCATATCTTAGCAGACCTTACACATCTAATGGAATTACATTTTCTCCCATTACTTAAATCAGTCTGGAAAGATTTACAATGCTGGGAACAACCAACATTCACATGGTTTGGTAGATGTAATATACACTGCTCAAAAGAATTAAAGGAACACTTGGAAAACACATCAGATCTCAATGGGGAAAATGATCATGCTGGATATCTATACTGATATAGACTGGGTAATGTGTTAGGAATGTAAGGATGCACCATCGTTTGATGGAAATGAAAATTATCAACCTACAGAGGACTGAATTCAAAGACATCCTGAAAATCAAAGTGAAAAAACGATGCAGCAGGCTAGTCCATTTTGTTGACATTTCATTGCAGCAATTGAAAATGTAGTTTGTATGGCCCCCACATGCTTGTATGCATGCCTGACAAAATCGGGGCATGCTCCTAATGAGATGACGGACGGTGTCCTGGAGTACTTCCTTCCAGATCTGGACCAGGGCATCACTGAGCTCCTGGACAGTCTGAGGTGCAACCTGGCAGCGTCGGTTTGACTGAAACATGATATCCCAGAGGTGTTCTATTGGATTTAGGTCAGGCGAGCATGAGGGCCATTCAGTGGTATCAATTCCTTCATCCTCCAGGAACTGCCTGCATACACTCGCCACTTGAGGTCGGGCTTGTTGTGCACCAGGAGGAACCCAGGACCCACTGCACCAGCGTAGGGTCTGACAATGGCTCCAAGGATTTAATTCTGATACCTAATGGCAGTCAGGGTGCCATTGTCTAGCCTGTAGAGGTCTGTGCATCCCTCCATGGATATGCCTCCCCAGATCATCACTGACCCACCACCAAAATGATCATGCTGAACAATGTTACAGGCAGCATAACGTTCTCCACAGCTTCTTCGGACCCTTTCATGTCTGTCACATGTGCTCAGGGTGAACCTGCTCTCATCTGTGAAAAGCACACGGCGCCAGTGGCGGACCTGCCAATTCTGGTGTTCAATGGCAAGTGCCAATCAAACTCTATGGTGCTGGGCACAGGGCCATCTTTAATATTGATTGGACCCTGGGCAAATATTTTCTTGCCCCCCCCCCCCCCCCTGCAATTTCACTCTCCACCTGCTCTGAGGCATACAATAAATAGCAGCTAAACTCAAAATCAGTTTACTGCAGCAGATCAGGCAGCAAATGCATTTGATTGCCGGAAGTTACAGCATATAATTACGGCTCACTGACTGGTTGCTAGAGGCTACAGCGCACATTACGGCTCACTGATTAGTTGCTAGAGGTTACAGCACAGGATTTCTGTTTGCTGATTGGCTGCTAGAGGTTACAACACTTAATTATGTCTCACTGATTGGTTGCTGAAGGTTACAGCACATCATATCCTCACTGCCTGCACACCATGGACTGAGAAGGTTAGGGGGGGCACCCACCAATAGAGAGAAAACTCCTAGGACTCCTGGGATCAATGGCAGTGGTGGGGGGGAGGGTGTGATCAGTGGCAGTGGTGGGGGGGATGGGATCAGTGGCAGTGGCGGGGAGGAAAGGATAAGTGGCAGTGCTGGGGGGATGGGATGAGTGACAATGCTGATGGAGGAATGGGATCAGTGGCAGTGTTTGGGGGGATGGGATCAATGGCAGTGTTTGGGGTGGATGGGATCAGTGGCAGTGCTGGATGGGAGGTGACATTTCTACACCAACCACCAATGTTAGGGGGAATTAAAACTGATGACCAATGTAAGGGGGATTTACACTGACCACCAGTATAAGGGCAGTTCTGCACTTACCACCCATGTAAAGGGAACAGTACACTGGCCACCAATGTGATGGGGAATTTGCACTGACCACCAATGTAATGAAGAATTTACACTGACAACTAATGTGATGGGGGAATTTACACCAACAACCAATATGTCTACACTGGCCACCAATGTAAGGGGAAATTTACACTGACCACCAGCAGAGGGTTTTGGTAGCTGGAACCTCGGAGGTGGGGGGGGGCATAATATACATATTAATGCCACCTTGCTGTCGCTATTTACATATGAATGCCACCGGTATTTACATGTGAATGCTGACATGATCTGCACACATGAGTCATCTGTACATGGCAATAGGACAGAGCTGGGCAGCATAAGTGACAGCACATCACACTGAGATATCAGGACACAACCCGGGACAATGACCAAGGAACAAGGGAACGTAAATCAGTACCATTAGCAAGTATGTGGCAGCTGCTTTGGATCCCACAACAATGATTGGTCTCAGGGCAACTGCCACTCTTGCCCCTCCTTAAAGATGGCACTGGCTGGGTAGTGAGCACAGGGCCCACTACAGGATGTCGGGCCCTGAGGCCACACTCATGAAGTCTGTTTCTGATTGTTTGGTCAGAGACATTCACACCAGTGGCCTGCTGGAGGTCATTTTGTAGGGCTCTGGCAGTGCTCATCCTGTTCCTCCTTGCACAAAGGAGCAGATACCACTCCTGTTGATGGGTTATGGAACTTCTATGGCCCTGTCCAGCTCTCCTAGAGTAACTGCCTGTCTCCTGGAATCTCCTCCATGCTCTTGAGACTGAGCTGGGAGACCCAGCAAACCTTCTGGCAATGGCATGTATTTATGTGCCATCCTGGAGGAGTTGGACTGCCTGTGCAACCTCTGTAGGGTCTAGATATCGCTTCATGCTATCAGTAGTGACACTGACCCTAGCCAAATGCAAAACTAGTAAAAAGCAGTCAGAAAAGATGAGTAGGGAAACAAATGTCAGTGGCCTCCACCTGTAAAACTATTCCTGTTTTGGGGGTCGTCTCATTGTTGCCCATCTAGTGCACCTGTTGTTAATCAGTTTCAGCTGCTTTGGTGTTAATGAAATTAACAACCCCTCTGTGACTTAACCAACCAGACCAATATCCCAGGAGTTGAATTGACTTGATGCTATACTGTGATTAAAAAGTGCTCCTTTAATTTTTTGAGCGGTGTATAAGCCTGTGTCAGATTCACAAGCATATAGTTTATTGGGCAGGTTCTGCAACCCATGTGAGAGTCAGGACCTGTGAGCTTTGAGGTATAATGCACATGGTAGAAACAAGTAGTATATGAATGGTGTAGAAGAACATAAAACCAGAAAAATAACTGAGCCCCCAGAATGGATTCTATTCTTCTGCTTCCACTTGTGTAATTTTGTGACAAAGGAAAAGACAACACTGAATAATGGTAGTACTCGTCATTGCTGTACCATAATTCTTTACAACAGGACCAGTCTGCATGCTGATGCATGTATAGGATTTGAATAGGGGTGCATAGAACTGGAGCTGATAACCACCACATACAACAGCAGTCCAATGCACACATGCATATGCAGTGCAAACCACTAGTAAAGATTTATGAAGTACAGTCACCTATAGAAGCCATTCATCATTTAATTTTACTGAAGTCACATCAGTGAACTATGAGTTCTTCTAAATTGTTACAGTATGTACATCATCCAACGCACAAGTCACAAAGTGTCATCCCTAGGTTACTTTGCCTCCTACAAACACTGCTGTAGTGGATTGTGATAGACAGTCCACGTTTTATTAGATGATCAGTAAAATGACAATTTTATAGTCTTACTACTTTCTGCTTCTTGCTCTTTAAATTCCTTACTCTCTTAAGTAAACAATCAGATATAGGTTGACAGAACAATGATGATAATTAAGATGGCGCCTTCATCCGGAGTCGCACCCTAGGTGACTCATTAGGAGAAAAGTATCTTTTAATGTAAACAACCAACCCTATAAAAGGGAATGAGTCTTTTTGGGGACAATGATTGGAAGACATCAACACGGATGGAAGAATACACAAAAAAAAACCTAGTGGACTTTTCACCCAATCAATGTATATGCTTTGCCTGCATCATAAGCCCTATAAATGATACGGTTAGTTCCTCAATAAAACAGAATTTTAGGAAGTTGGCAAACTGCATTTATGTGCCAGTGTCTTACTTTCACGTGCACATATTCTCACATTAATTAGGCTCACTGGTAGATCACAACAGCTGTGGTCGGTAAGTGACCACATCCAAAACACTGCCAGTGTTGCTGCTTCCCTACCTCGTAAACTGGTCCAATCAGAATTTCCTAAATGTACGGAATAATGACTCCCCCAGACTCAGTGAAAATATCATATTACCTTCTAAGTTAAGTAGAATGGGTTCTCAGACCCAATATTTTATCATAAAGTGACATGCTTAGACAGGCTTATTACTGGTGTAGATAGAAAGAAATTAAACAGTGGATAGTACTGAAACATAACATATCCCCCTTCCCTCTTACAAAAGTCCTATGGATGTCAGAAGCAGAACTTTCATTCTTTAAAAAACATCCTCTTCCTTAAAGATGGCCATCAAATACTTTCACATTCCTGCCACCCCCCTCTACCCATGCTCATTGTCACTAATTTTAGGTCACTCCAACATTTCCCTGGGTTACACAAATAAAATCCTTAAAAGGTGACTAGAAAAGGGAACATTTGGAGCAGAACATTTCATTTATTTAAAACTGAATAGACCTGGAAAGGCTTTCTACAGAATGTAATCTTATAAAATGTTACCAGAGGAAAATAAAACCATGCACTTTCTTACATACGTTATTGCAGAAATTTATTAGGCATCTACTAAAAATAAAATAGATCTGCAAAGGGAACAGTCCTCTTATGCTCTGGCACACATTGCATCACTCCCAATGTTTTAGTGCACCCAGGACGGACAGGTGCAGCCTCCAGTCCTGCTGAAAGAGCTTGTGAAAGAATGTTGCAGGCTGCAGCTGGATGGGGCTGAGCACTGCGATGCGTGGTACTAGTGTTTGGGACCTGTGTGTTCAGGGACAAAGGTCCAGATCGCAGGTGTTCTGTGTTTCAGACCTTCATCACTGAGTGCACAAAACCCCTAATGCAGGCCATACATTGTTAGAATTCTGAACGATTTTTCGTCCGAAAATCGAAAACGTCGTTCGCTCGGTAATCCGATGGTGCCATCAATGATTTTGAAAATCGACCGACCAAGTCATAAAGTTCACTCCATATAACAGACAAAACTTCTGTTCCTTCCAGGTCATGGAACATGCGAATATTCTTTTCGGAAAAACAATCACACGATTTGACCATCATTGAGTCGAAAATCAGTAGTTTTTCACAAATGCCCGATCACCGAAAAGGGGAGGAACCATGAAAATTGGCTGGTGCCACTGACCCACTAAGAGCGAAAATCGTCCGATCATTCTTAGGTCCAATTTTCAGACGAAAAATCGGTCGAATTTCGACCCATGTATAGCCGGCCTTACACTGGTACCACTCACTACAGCATTCAGCTCTATCCAGCCATAGCCCGCCAAAGATTTTAAACACATTGATCCTATATGGCTACGTGTGCGAGAGGTCTTAGTGATACTTTATCCTATGCCTACCAGCTCCTCCTCACAGACAGATCCCTACCAGTGTTCTCTTTTATCCAAAAGTAGAAAAATGCTCCATACATACCTTTCACAGTCCAATGAAAATAACACATTTTATATTTTAGCCATAAGGGGGTCAATTCACTAAAGGTTACCGCATGCGATATAAAGGTCACGTGACTAATTTTTCAGAAATATCGCATGAGATAATAGAAGAGTCAATTCATCAAAGTAAAATATCAAATGTGAGGTAAATACCGCACATTTGTTAAAAGAGTGAGATAAATACAGCAAAAAATTAGATAAATCATTAAAGTCAATTCATTAAAAAACACGCACATTAGTTATTTATCAACTTTTGCTGCCAGTAGTTTAGAAATGTACAAAATAACAATTAGAGGAACTCTGGACTGGCCAGAAAGTGAAAAGTATACAATGTATCCCTGTGAAAATGTTCTCCTCTGAGCTCAGGTATGAAAATAAAATTGTAACTTTTCATCAGAGGGAGATCATTTTGTGGATGAAAGCACATTAGAATGTTTTCATAGTTTCATATAATTGCTGTGTGCTTTCTGGTGCAGTGTTAGGCTTCATGTACACAGTGCGTTTGGAGAATTCTTCTGAACGCTGGAAATTGACAGCAGGAAAACGCAGGTTAAAAAATGTCAGTTTTGCTGCATTTGCATACCGCGTTTATACGAGTTTTAGCCACGTTTATGAGCGTTTGCAAGCGTTTTTAAAAGATAAGCACAGGAGAACCTCCCAAATGCCCAGAATGCACTGGAAAATGGTAAATTATTAACTATTTCAGACTATTTGAGAGAAATAGAGAGAGTAGAAGTAGAGAGAGCAGTATTTGTTGAGATTAGCTGTCTTTTTTTTTTGTGGTGTTTGGTCGTCTTCCAGCTCATTTCTGTGCAGAAATTATTGCAGCAGTGTCTAACATATTTTCTTTCAAACCTCAACGTATGGGTGTACCAGGTCCATTTGAGTACTGGGAAAACACTTTGCATGCATTTTTCATGATGGAAAAAGGCTCTAAAACAGCATCTGGAAATGGAAGAGTTAAAAAAAATTTCCAAATGCAAACGCTTATAAATGCGGTTAGCTGGGTTTACACACATTTACAAGCATTTGGCGTTTGAAACACTGATAAAATCTACTCCTGAACGCAAGTTTGGTGCGTTCAAAAAACGGCTGTAAATTCAACTGCCTGTAAACAACAGAGTCTACATGAACACATAGGAACTCATTAGGGAGAGTTCAGGGGCTGCTGAAAAAAAAAACGCAGAAAAGCTCCTGAACGTGAGTTTATCAGCTACTGTGTACATGCAGCCTTAGCCTGTAATAAAAAAAATTGTGAAAGAACACCAAAAATAATGCATAAATATGTAACGCATTTGGTAAATAATGCATGTTTTTTAGTGAATTGACTACTTTTGAAATAAATACCGCATTAGTGATTTTGACTAAAAAATTCATGTGGTATTTATCTCTTAGTGAATTGATCCCACTGCAACTAACAAATACTATGAAATAAATGTTAAGTTGGTGACACGTTGGTGCAAACCTACCTCAATCTTGCTAAAAATCTTTCCAGAAACAAGTGCAAACTACTGGAGATGTCATGAGGAAAGAGGCACGGTGCTACATATTATTTAGACATGCCCTGTTCTATCTTCCTGGTTAGCTGTCAATATCATAATCAAAAAAACCTATTGACATATCCCTACAAAATAAGCCATAGATAATTCCCCTCCTCTCCCTGACATGTCTAGATAGAGATACCAGAACTAACTTTTAAGACATTTGCTAAATCCAGCAAAAGCAAAGTATGTAGAAACAACCTTTCCCTCTAACAATTTTTCCAAGGCAACCCCTGAAGAAACCTCTAACAATAGTAAAGGCCATGGTAATTTAATCAACAATGAATGCTGGAACCTGTGGCTTTTTGTGTAACAAAAGGCCAATTTTTTCAGACATTTTTCAAGGCACCCCTGAAGAGTGGTTTACTAGAGTGAACAATAGAATACAAATGGCTGATTCGGCTGCCATAGGTCTTCATTGTGTGCCATTACAACCTCCTAGCTATCTGCGTCCTGACAACCAATGACACCATCAGTTGATAAGCAGGATGTCAGTTGATTGCACAGCATCCCTGTTTGACCCTCCCCTGCCCTTTTCCATCAGTGCTGGGGTCACATTAGCTCAGTGATGGAGAAGAACTGAGAGAAACATTGGAATACCAGTCAGTACCAGTGTGCAAAAGTATATTTGATTTGGAAGAATAAATCACCTCTAGCATTCAGTGTCCTATGTGTGTGGATGCTGCTGCGTTATATAAAACTATTAGAATAGTTTTTACATTTGAGAATGGGGTGCCTCAAGACTGTCCATAATTTTAGAGGGTGCCTCCCTCGGAACTGTCCATCATTTTAAAGGGTGCCTTAACTGAAAAAAGTTTGAGAAACACTGCCTTAAAGAGCTTCACACCAATACATATACAACTACTCTCTGGAAGAGTGAGTGCCTTCACCCCTATTTTTCTCTCCCTCTGCATTAACCAACCTCTTTTTTTTTTCTTTAATTCTTTCTTTCTCATCCTACATGGATTCAAATTCCACTCCCAAATGGTTCATATTCCCTTATAAACCAGAGAAGGTATCCTTAGGACCAACTGACAGTCATACTAGACAGTAGACACACAAATATACATAAACAGTATCTAATTAAATTTTCTTTTTACTTGTGCAATGACATGGTTCCTCAGTTGTACAATTTCTCTATTTATATAACCACTCTGTTAAAGATAACTACCACTCTTACTGTGCTGTACATATATATATATATATCTCTTATAAAATCAGAATAAACATAATGGAGCAGATTGTCGAGTGTAAAGTATTGAATAGCACCAATGTAAAAAACTGCAGCTAAAACCAAAGAAAAATAGGAACGCATTTTAAATGTTTATTTGAGGTGTTTTTCCCATCTATGAATTAATGTTATTTAGTTGCAATATGCCTTTGAACTTGCTAGCAAATCTGACTACTCCAGGAAGCATCAATTCCCTAACAAAATCCCCTGCCTGATTGCATGTCATAGCCCTCTCCTTTTATAGTAACATCTAATTACTGTCTGTTCTGTCCTAGCTTCTCCATCCTTCCCCCTCCTCTTCCTCCATAACCTTTACTGTAAGTGCCATGGAAGGGGAAAAGGGAAATACTATATGCGTCCCTTTGAGTGACAGCTATGAGTCTGCTGGGGTTTTTGTCATCACATACATGATGTTAGCTGTCTCAAATGTTTTTGAATGTCCACACAAGGAAGGCTTTTAAAAATAAACAACATCTATAAGGTACATTCAATGCTCATAAAATTTAATGGGAATGTTTTTTAAAATTAATAGTTTGGCAACAGGGTCTCCTTAAAGTGTTACTAAACCCATGACCCTGCATTCACTATATCTGGTCTCCCACAGTACACAGAACATGGAACTGCAATTATTTTAGTAAATATAAAACTACTAAATACCTTTTCTCATCAGCAATATATAGCAGTCTTGTGACTTCTATCAGTGTCCAGCAGAGCACTGGTTACAGCTTGTAGGAGGAGTTTTCATTCTCTTGTAGAAGGATGCAGGACCCCTGACCTCTGTCTGGACAGTGCTGATTGGCCCTGTGCTAATCACATGCACTCTCCAAAGACAAAAAAAATCTCTAGCAATACACACCAAACTGAGCATATGCAGCTTGCCCCCAAGCCTCTGTTCTATCAGGAGAAAGTTAGGAGACACTGGAAGAAAGGGAGGATCAGAGAAGACAGGATCGAAACATCCATTTAACACAAACATGGATGATTAACCCATTAGATTCCACAGTGAGTATATCAAATATGCTTTACTGCATATACAGACTGATTTTACTGTTGTGGGTTTAGTAACACTTTAAGTATGCCCTGGGCTCACATATGTAAAAGAAGTGTTCCAAGACGTTTTGCATACTCCACATTCTTAGCACTGCTAAAGAAACAAATCTCTATTTTTATTTAGATATCATATTTACTCACCTTTCCTGAGTATTTTTTGGCTAATAAATTACAAATGGTGGTTTTCCCTGAAGACTTTGGGCCCATGACAGCAACTTTGCAAGGAGGCAGAGGCATAGGAGGTAGGAGGAATGGACGAGGATTCTGCATGAACTTTTTAAGTGATTCCTCAGAGGACATTAGATACATTTTATCTAGAAAACTAAAATAAACAGATACAGTAGAAATGTTGATGCAATAAAAGAAAATAAAGCAACATTGTAAACTCTTTAAGTTTCAACTCACCTAACAGCAAATTCTGATAACCCGTTCTTTATGTATCCTTCTTTCAAAGCCACAGGACACAATGTGCCCCATCTGCTTCTACGCCACCTATATCTTGGAGCAATTATATGGTAACCTGAAATTGTCCGCAGAAGCTCATCCTGCAAATTAAAGCAATGGTTTTCAGTTTTTATACTGCGAAATGTCCACCCCATGACCTTGCAAGATGTCAGTTTTGAAGCCAGCTGAAAAGTACAATCCTTCTATCCTCATTTGGTGCTAGCCCAGTGTCTGCTTCCAATTTTATGTAATATGTCATAACAAATTAATTTGGCTACCCTTATTTGACAGGACAACAGCTCTATGCTAATATATCCTCAGATCAGTTCTAAGTTTATGTTTGATATCACAAAATCATTGTGATTACATATGCCCTACAAGGTTATCATACTGATCTTTATGATACTTAAGAAATGGCGTTGTATTTATAGTACCTCAAACTATAGCCCGTTGGTTGATGTAAACCAGAACCTGCAATCAGAAGGCCCTGAATGCAGGAATTGTCTATTGAAAGCTGGAGGGAATCTACTCAATGCAGAGTGTCACTGAGTCCTGGGCTCTGGAACACTGTTCATGGTGTCATCATGAGGGACACCACAGGGCATAGGGCCCACATAAAAATAAGTGTAATTGAGCACCAGTTCTAGGTGGGGAGGTGTACTTTCCTAATCCTACTCACACCAATGATGAAAAACTATTCCTCCCACTATTCCCATATTCCTCTCACCAACTATGGAGTACTATTTATTTATTACTCCCACTGACCCCTGATACAGGGGAATTTATGATTCACTCTGATCACTAATACAGAGCTAATTATTACTCCCACTGACCACCACCACAGGGGTATTTTTTACTTTCACTGATTTCCGATGCAGGAGACAGTGAACTGGCTCTTTGTGTAAAAAGTTAAAAGACCCTTGACTTACACCATCCAGTCCTTCTATTGACTCCTCTTCTTCAGGGTTGTAGAGTTTCATCACCACAGCTCCATGACGCAGACCCAAATTGTCAAGACGAGCCAACACTGACTGCAATGTAAATCATGAATGGAAATATCAAATAATGTGTAGGAAAGTCTTCACTGCTCTGAAGCTAATGAACTCCTGTAGTCTCCTGGGGATTGGGTAACAGGCCAATGGAGCCCTCTGTGCTCCAGATACAGTGAAGGAAATAAGTATTTGATCCCCTGCTGATTTTGAATGTTTGCCAACTCACAAAGAAATGATCAATCTACCAATCGAATGGTAAGTATATTGTAACACTGAGAGATAGAATAGCAACAAAAAATTCAAAAGAAATGCATGTCTAACAAATTATACACTGATTTGCATGTTCATGAGGGAAATACGTATTTGATCCCCTATCATTCAGCAGGATTTCTGGCTACCAGGGGTCTTTCATACAGGTAACACGCTGAGATTAGAAGCAGTCTCTTAAATGGAGTGCTGCTAATCTCATGTTGTTACCTGTATAAAAGACACCTGTCCACAGGAGCAATCAAACAATCAGATTCCAAACTCTCCACCATGGCAAAGACCAAAGAGTTGTCCAAGGATGTCAGGGACAAGATTGTAGACCTACACAAGGCTGAACTGGGCTACCAAACTATCGCCAAGGCAGATTGGTGAGCGGGTGACAACAGTTGCAATCATTAGCAAATGGAAGAAACACAAAACAACTGTCAGTCTCCCTAGGTCTGGTGCACCATGCAAGATCTCACCTCGTGGAGTGTCAATGACCATGAGAACAGTGAGGAATCATCCCAGAACTACACATGAGGATCTTGTCAATGATCTCCAGGCAGCTGGGACCACAGTCACCAAGAAAACAATTGGTAACACACTACGCCGACAAGGATTGAAATCCTGCAGTGCCCGCAAGGTCCCTCTGCTCAAGAAAGCACATGTCCAGGCCCATCTGAAGTCTGACTGAAAATCTGTGGAGGGAGCTGAAAGTTTGAGCTGCCAAACGTCAGCCACCAAACCTTAATGACTTGGAGAAGATCTGCCAAGAGGAGTGGGCCAAAATACCTCCTGAGATGTGTGCAAACCTGGTGGCCAACTACAGAAAATGTCTGACCTCTGTGCTTGCCAACAAGGGATTTGCCACCAAGTACTAAGTCATGTTTTGTGAAGGGGATCAAATACTTATTTCCCTCATGAACATGCAAATCAGTGCATAATTTGTTAGACATGCATTTCTTTTGAATTTTTTGTTGTTATTCTGTCTCTCAATGTTACAATACACATACCATTCGATTTTTAGACTGATCATTTCTTTGGAAGTGGGCAAACATTCAAAATCAGCAGGGGATCAAATACTTATTTCCTTCAGTTTACATTATGGGAAAGAAGTGCAGCAAACACCAATGACGTCACTATGTCAGCTTTATTCCACATTAAAAGACACAGCGATGGTTTCTACCTAGGAACTGCCCTTTCTAGTTGGGGACCATTACTGTGTCTCATGTGGAATAAAACTGTTTGACATAGTCATCAATGTTCGGCTTTTTCCATAGTATAATAAGGTGTATTCCCATTATTTATTTTTAAGTTTACTTAAAAATATTTATTTTGTTTTCTTAAAATATGGATGCTAAAAGTAAATTGCACTTGACTTTCAGTGTAATTACTCATTAAACAAGGCACTAATGAGTATTTTCCAAATCAGTCTTCAAGTACCCATAACAGAGCATGTTTTCCAGTTTTCTGCACGGAATCATGTGATATAAAGCGGTTGTTTTACTAAAGGCAAATAGACTCTGCACTTTGTAAGTGCAGTTACACTCTGCAAGTGCAGTTTTTCCAGAGCTTGGTAGTCGAGCTAAAGCTTCACTTTACAAAGAATACCCAATCACCTCCAAGGAAAATGAAAAAAAAAAAAACGTTTTTTTTGCTTTCACATGATTGGATGGTGGAAGTCAGCAGAGCTTCTCCTCATTTGCTAAGCTCAGAAGCAACTGTACTTGCAGAGTGCAACTGCACTTGCAAGGTGAACAGTCTATTTGCCTTTAGTAAACCAACCCCAATGTATTAATTTCTTTTAAAATGTTATCATTACAACAGATGTGCTCATGTCTTGAAGCTTAAAAAACATGGCTTGGTGACAGTATCTGGCAAAGTGCATGTACATAAGCAAAGGTCAAATTCATCTTAGTGTTTAGTTTTTGATGGATGCAGCCAACCACTAGCTTTTTTTTATATCTCTTGAAGATCCTGGTATCTGGAACCTTAGTTCCTGGCTCTTGCTACCTTTTGTGGTCATTATTAAGGGTGTTTTTACTGACTTTTACATCTACTTATGTGTTTTAGATAGAAAGATAATGAATCAGTAATAGTGAGACCCACTCATTTGACTTTAGAAAGGCTTGTTATGGGGGACGCAGAGCCAGAAATCCTAGTGGGAAGAGCTCTTCATGGGAACAAGCATGAAATACAAGAACCTAGTAGATGCTTTATCCCGTAGTCACCCATTAAAACTTTGAGAAGTCTTCCCATTTACAAAGCAACTAAACCTACTGTATAAATAAGGAAGGGTTATTGTATGATCTAAGGCACTGGTCTTCAAACTGTGGCCCTGGGGCCGAATGTACCCTTTTTCGGCCCTTACGTCATAAGCAGCAACAGTGAGGCATAGTTCCTGCCGCTGACAACAAGGCAGTATTTCTCCCAATGACACCAATGATGGGGCACTATTCCACCCACTTACACCAATGATGGGGCATTAATCCTCCCATCGACACCAATGATGGGGCACTGTTAACTCCCACTGACACCAAGACATGTTCTACTCCCGTATGCCACAGTCCGGCCCTCCTAATGTATGAAGGACAGTAAACTGGTCCTTCATTTAGAATGTTTGAAGACCCCTGATCTAAGGTAAAGATTATAGGGAAGGTTAGTGTGAAAGGAGCATTAGGATAAGGTATTACTCTTTGTGACCATCTGCTCCTAAAACTACGAACACCTGGCTTCAGTTTTTAAAAAAATATGTTATCAGCATTGCAAAAATCCATTAGTAAAACCACTGACAGCAAATAAGATGCTTGAAATAAAATTCACCCACTATAACACCTACGGTTATAATAAGCTGCTGGTGCCTCTGTAAATGTTATTATCAGATCTGATATATTACCCTTCCTGCAGAGTAGAAATACAAAAGATTATACATCGCTTATTTTAGAGAAATAGGCTGCACATCTGTGTAACACGGGTCTTATACTGAATGTTGGAGTACAGCAATATATCAAAAATTAGCTGTCATACTCAGAACTGTGGCAGAAAATATCCAAGTGTATACCAAGAAATGACAAGGAATTATATAACAAATGTTTCATACAAACCAGAATATGGACATCAGTACATTCTGTATCTGGTTTATTACCCATTTACTGAATAATATTGCAACACTTACCACAAATAATTCTTGAGATTTCTTATTTCCATTAAGTTCTATTAGATATTGAGGGTCATGATCAATCATTAGATCCTATAATGCAACAAAATATTAGTCCTCCCAAAATATGCAGTCATTTGAGATATTGCATAACTGTAATGTCTGCTTTCTTGTCAACGTACACAATAAAAATTCGAAAGAAAAGCATATACTTTTTTTTTACTATGCAACTATACTGATTCATGCTAATCTTCAGTGTGTTAAAGTAATAGTAAATAACATGTAAAAATAATCACAAGTACAAATCTAAATTTCATAATGTAAAAGTAAATAAAACATTTAAAGTTTAAGAGGACCCTGGAAGTAGGTCGAACATGTGTGCTAGCACCTAGAGTTGCCTGTTGTATACCCCTGTGAATATACAATAACAAAAAAATACAAGTAGAAACAAATACAATATTTAGAGTAGAACTATAAACAAAACGTTTTTCATTTTGGATAGAGTAAGAGAGGGTTATAACCCCTGTTAGATTTGTTTCTGCCATCTGCCCCATTGCGGAGATTTCCCTTCAATTCCTGTCCCAAAGCCAAACAGAGGAATTCTCCTGAAATTAGGGGAATTCTTTGTGGACCCCTCAGATCACCAGAACCAGTGTCCACATTGGAATATTTTCTTTCTATTACTTTTCTGGGGACAAAAATTTAGAATTTTCTTGTATTTTCATTTTCATTGATAATGGTAATCAGGACCCCCCTAAGGGGGGCATAGACAGCCTTAAAACGTACAAGTGTTCTAATCCATCTACACTCCAAAAACAAAAAAAGGTTTTGCCTTTAGTTATACTTTTAAATTTAAATCATCATAATGATTTTTTAACAGTGGAATTCTTTACCACTTGTATTTAACTGCTTAGGGACTGCCCACTGTACATTTACTGCTGCAGGGTGGCCCCTGAGTGCAGGATTACGTATATATACGTGATTCACGCTCCCGCGGGTGCCCCAATTTGATCCCCGAGGGATCAATCATCCGATTTAGGCCAGTGACCAAGTCGGATCCCTGTCCTATCCTGTCCTGTGCTGACAGTTACAAAGGTACAGGAAGCGATTGAATCTTCACTCTCTGGGCACATTCTGTCCCAGAGAGAGAAGAATCAACAGAACTGTGAGAAAAAGCACTACACAAATTCAGTTAGAACACTCTAGGACACATTTAACCCCTTGATTGCTGCCTGCCCCCCCCCCCCCCAGTTAAACCCTTCACTGCACTGTCACCAGTGTCATTAGTACAGTGCACAGATGTTTTGCTGATTACTGTATTAGTGTTGCTGGCGACTTCAAATAGCGCTAGCATCAGTTAGCGTCAGTTAGCGCCCCTCCCAGATAGCGTCAGATTGCCCATTAGTACACCAGTAATCACATTTAACCCCTTGATTGCCAGGAACAGGCCTACAGGATTCTGAGAATGTCAGGTGAGAGTGAAGGGGAAGACTCACTGACAGAATCCAGCTTAGAATGCAAACCTGTAGACAGCAGCGGCACCCTGACAGAAAGCTCAGACGATGGAGAAGAGGTCCCTGTTAAGATCAGGCATACCCGACCCCATTCCCAGGTTGCTGAGATGTTACAAATGCATGATGACTCTCATATGCAGCAGAGTGCCAGTACTAGTGCCACTCTACCTTTTGGTGAACTGGCGAGCACCAGCAGACTAGTATATCCTGGTCTTTTTTATACCAGCACTGCAGTATCACTTGGTGATGTGGCAAGTCCCATAAGTGCAGTACAAGCTGGTGTGGTGGCGAGCACAAGTAGTGTCCCGCAGCCACCAAGAATTTGCACACAGGCCCGTAGAGCCCTTAGTGTCCTTCCGGACATGCTTGCAAATCCCAATTGGCAGCCCACAAATCCTGCAGCACCCGTACTTCCCTCATTCACTGCCCAACCCGGAATTCAGGAGGGAACAGCAAATTTAAATACTCCCCTTGATTTTTAGGAGCTGTTTTTCACAGAAGATCTGTATGCATTGATTGTGGATCAAAACAATTTATATGCACAACAGTTTATCGCCGCCAACCCAGATTCAAACCTTGCCAGACCATTCGCATGGAAACCCATTACGGTTTCCGATTTTAAAGTTTTTTTTGGCCTAACCCTCAACATGGGCATTACTAAAAAAAAGTCAATAGCGGTTGTATTGGTCCACAGACCCAATTAATCATCTCAGCTGCTGCCATGGCCAGGCATATGAGAGTATAATGCATTTTATGCATTTCAACGACAACACATTCTGTCGTCCTTGGGGTGACCCTGAATTTGACCAGCTCCACAAAATTCAGCCCCTTGTAAATCACCTTAACCAAAAATTTGCAGGTGTCTATACTCCCCAGCAAAATATCTGTGTTGATGAGTCCCTCATTCATTTTCCTGGCCGCCTTGCAGTCAAACAATTTCTCCCCAGGAAGTGTGCCAGATATGGGGTCAAGATGTATAAGACCTGTGAGAGGGCAACAGGCTATACATATAAGTTTCGGATTTACGAGGGAAAAGATAGTCATGAGGAGCCCCCCGGATGCCCAGACTACATGGGGAGCAGTGGCAAGATAGTTTGGGACTTGGTGTCATCCACTTATACGTGGACAATTTTTATTCAAGCGTGCCACTATTTAGACATTTGTACAATCTTGGAATTGGTGCATGTGTCACCTAATCGCCGGGGCTTCCCCCAACAGCTTTTAAATACCAGTCTTAGAAAGGGGGAAAAAGCCTGCTTGAGAAATTAGGAATTGCTCGCAGTGAAGTGGAAGGACAAACGGGATATTTTCGTCCTGTCTTCCATTCACGCAGATACGACCATCCAAATTACCGCAGCAGCTGTTGTTGTTGAGTAGGCCCTCTGTGTCCATGATATAACCTTAACATGGGAGGGGTTGACTTCAATGACCAGATGATGAAGCCGTACATAGTTTCCCAAAAAGCCAGACGCTGGTACAAAAAAGTGTCTGTTTATTTCAATTGGCTCTATATTACGCTTTTGTGCTTTACAAAGCAACTGGATGAAGTGGATCCTTCCTAAAATTCCAGGAAGAGATCATCACGGCCCTTTTGTATCCAGAAGCTGCTATGCCCCAAACCCCCAACCCAGATGCAGTTAGCCGGCTGCATGAGAGGCATTTTCCTGATGCCATTCCTAGTACCCTAACCCAAAAGGCACCCCAAAAAAGATGTTGTGTCTGTAGCAACATAGAATTAGGTGTGACACCTGCTTTTTTTTGTTCCTCCTGTCCTGACCAACCTGGTTTCATCACTACCACGCACTAGTGGGAGTATTAGTATAGGGTACAGCACGGCCCAGTTCATGGTACATAATTACACAGGGTCTCGAAAGATGTTAGGTAGTCAGGAAACTGGCTATCGCATTTGGAGAGACCCTACAATCTGTTAAAGTTTAAAAAAAAATAAAAAAAATAAAAAGTACAAATCCCCCCCAAAATTAAAAATGTTAAAAACCAAAAATAGTTATAGTTTTTTTTTGTTGTCATTTTTGTTACTGTTCTACTGTTACACTTTTACTGTTTTATTGTCACTCTTTTATTGTTAACCATTGCTGTTTTCTTTGCAGGAATACTATTAGCTGCAGCACCAACTTGTTTATTCTGACAGCAACAGGAACTTGCTCTCAGAATAAACATAAGTCAGTGTGGGCAGCGCTGTTGGATGAGATTTTTCATCCTCAGTTAAAAAAGAGCATATATGCCGAGGCCTGGGGTGGCCAGTGGGTGGATGGACCCTATGCTTCAGCATATATATTTTATAATATTTGTTGACAAATTTCATGTGTGCCCACCATTAGAAGTGGGTGGATGCAGGGAGGTATATTCTAATGGTGGGCATACCACACACTTTCTGGCAGAGATATTTCAATAAAAAAGTTGTTTTATTGAGTTACTGTTTTATTGTTAACATTGCTGTTTTCTTTGCAGGAATGTCATTCAACTGCAGCACCGACTTGTTTATTCTGACAGCAACAGGGTATTGCTCTCAGAGTAACAAAAGTCAGTGTGTGCAGTGCTGTTGGATGAGATTTTTCATCCGCAGTTAAAAAAAAGAGCATATATGCCGAAGCATGGGGGCCTGGGGTGGCCAGTGGGTGGATGGCCCCTATGTTTCGGCATATATATTTTATAATATTTTTTGGCAATTTCATGTGTGCCCACCATTAGAAGTGGGTGGATGCAGGGAGGTATATTCTAATGGTGTGCATACCACACACTTTTTCTGGCAGAGATATTTCAATAAAAAAAGTTGTTTTATTGAGTTACTGTTTTTATTGTTAACCATTGCTGTTTTCTTTGCAGGAACGTCATTCAACTGCAGCATTGACTTGTTTATTCTGACAGAAACGGGGTCTTGCTCTCAAAATATACATAAATAGGTGTGTGTAGTGCTGTTGGATGAGATTTTTCACTTTTTCTGGCAGAGATTTCTTCTCTTTTTTTAATTCAGCCCACAGGCTGCATTAAAAAAAAAAGAAAATAGCATATACACCCAACAAGGACCAGTAACGTACTGGTACATCACTAGAATTTGAGTGGTTATACCAGGATGATGCCTGCAGATGCAGGCATCATCCTGGTATCGTTTATTTCAGCCAGCGATGGGCTTTCATGCAAAAGCAATCCTAGTGGCTAATTAGCTGCAATATTGCTTTTACAAGCAGCGGGAGAATATTCCCCCCTCCTCCTCTGCCTTCCAAGGCCTTCTTGGGCAGTCCCATGCCATCGGGAGGGAACCTGAGAATGCAGCCGGTGTTTCTACCAGCTGACCATAGAGCTGATTGGAGACCGGAATGGTGGCAATCATCTCTATAGTCTAAGAAATCAGAAGCATTTCATCACTTCAGTTTCGCAGGATATAAACAGCGCCATTTGTAAATTGGAAAAGCATCTGATCACACCGGTTGGAGATTGTCAGGGATCCCGTCGCCGTGCAGCGGTGCGACGGCGACGGATTCCCTCGAGTAGCGGTGGAGCAAGTGTGCAGGCATGGGAGCGTGCGGCCGCGCATGCGCAGGAAGCTCGAGCATTTGCAGTAAGCGCCCACGTCACGGCCGGCGGGCTATTTAAATCTGCTGCAATAAAGAGTCATTGCCTTCTGGTCTAAATACGTTCCTGTGCTCAAATTCCTGATTCTGATTCTGATCCTGATACCTGCTCTTCTATATAATTGCCTAAGAAAGAACTCCGCCTGCACCGACCCCGGCTATTCCTGACCATTCTCCTGCCTGCCCCTTTTGTACTTATCTGCCCGCTTGCTATCGACCCGGCCTGCCTGACCCTGCTGTATGGTTCTGCCTGCAACCGCACCTGACCTGTGTCTTGCATACCTACTGCTCCACCCACGTTCCTGCACTCGCACCTGGCTTGTGTCTGGATCTCCTGAGTTCCAGCTACCTGCTGACAGCTGCAAAAGCCGCACGGCAATCCGGCCACTCCTGGCTCTGTACCCTTGGTCCTACCCCAGGGCCTCCGAGCGGGAGTCGTAAGAGGACGCCTTCTGTCCATTTCAGGCTCCCCAATCCGGTACATAACAGTCACCCAGTATCCTGCTTCCACTAGCGGTATTCTCTGCCTCAGCTGGGTGTACCGGGGGCCGCGACCCGGTTCCAGCCTGCTCCAAGTCCATCCCCACCATCAGGGACTCTGGTGAACAAGCAGACTGGGACTTAGACCCCGCGCCCTGGGAAACCCTAGCTGCGGGTCTAGAGAGCTACCTGCCATAGTCGTGACAGAGATGCTCTGTTTAGCTAGTCCAACCCTCTTTTGTGTCTTTAGTTACTCTTCTGAGCACATGTAATTGCGGGATCAGACTGGGGAAGCAGAACAGGAATTTAGAATTTGGGACTTGGAATTCAGAATTTGGAAATTGGAATTCGGAACTCGGAATTTGGAATTCAGAATCAGGAATTCAGAATTTGGAATTCGGAACTTGGAATACAGAACTTGGAATTTGGACCTTATAATGTGGATTTCAGAATTTGGAATTCGGAACTCGGAATTTGGCATTCAGATCTGGAAATTGGAATTCGGAATTTAGAACTTGGACCTCAGAATTTGGAATTCAGAACTTGGAATTTATACCTTAGATTATAGAATTTGGAATTCAGAATTCAGATCTCAAAATTTGGAATTCAGAATGCCAAAATATGTGCCAACGATGACCATCAGAGTAATTTTGCCTTGTACGTGCCATGAGACATATTGTCACTACCAAACCAGTTAATTTAAATGCCTAAAGCGACTGCCTATATTTACTCATACAAAGCAGTTGATGGAATAGCCTTCTACCAAGATCAGTGGTGCTTTGACTAGAATGCAGAGAGTACCTCACAGACATGCCTGCATCATTAAACTTTTAGGCTTCAACCTCCATATTTGTATTTTAGTCTTGGGTGGAGGTATTTTGTAACACACATCTTTGTATTGCAAATATATATACTAAAGTACACAAAGCCATTACCTCCACAGGGCGTAAAATAGTGTCTTTATATAGTCGTATACGCTCATCAACATTTTCAGGGAAGTCCTCTGGTCTATACACAAGCCGATCGAAGATTTCTTTAAAGTTCTCAGTTTCTTCCTCCTATAAGAATAAATGCATAACAACAAATCTTTTAATTCACTAAGTCAAGCAGATTAGGAAGATTTTCAGATACACAGAAGTCTTCCCTTTTGACAGTTAATGAAATTACCCAAACTGTCTCACTCTTCTGGCAGCTATACAACTAAGTAAAATGCACCAGGGACAGGAGCTAGTTTTAAGCTGGATCATCTGTCACAATAAACTGTTGTGGGCAATGACTTTCTGGTGTCTGTCTGAAATTGTTCCTGTCCTACAACAACTTGGGCTTAATGAGCCATGTGGTTCTGATTTTGGTCAGGCTTGAGAGTAATACATTCTCTGAAAAAAATACAAAAAAAGGCTTATTAGTATGAATGAACTAACACAATTTGCAACACTTGGCAGCAACCAGAGCTGTGTTTGCATCACTGGATCTTGTAGGCAGAAAATCTTGTGTAGACAAGTATGACTTTATCAGTAAGCTTACATAACATGTCTGCATTTCTTATAAAAAAGGAAAAATAAAAGTTGGGTCATAATATACTAGAAAAGGAACATTTAAGTCTCAGAATTCTAGTGGAACTATGGCATTCCATTACAAAAGTTCTGCAGCACCTAATTGTAAGTAAATCTATTTTCCCTTAATACACCTACAAATTGTCATAATATTTAGTGCTCCTGCCAGCAAAGTCCTCCTTATGCAACTCTTGATGAGTTGACAATGCTGCTGCACTGCTCCTGCATTGCTGGTACCAGGGGCGGACTGACAACTCATGGGGACCCCGAGCAATAGGGGATCATGGGGCCCCTGTGTCCTTGCCCAAACTCAAAAAAGCCTATGAAAAAGGTACCAGGGGCATCTCATGGGGCCCCTACTGACCCCGGGCCCTCAGGCAGTGCCCGAGTTTCCAAATGGTCAGTCCGCCCCTGACTGGTACCCTTGTATAGGCTGTGCCTGCTACAATCAGATTAAAAATGTAACTGCTGATTTACAAAACTGTAACTTGTCAATCATCACCTGGACACACTTAGTCTTACCATTGCCTTCTGGATTGACAGTACTGCCTCAGTTGCTGAAACCCTCCCACTGTGAGCTGCAGTGTCTGGGATGGGGAGCATGTGAACATATAAATAAAGGGTCACTCAGAGGTGGTAATGGCAGCTTTTTTTTACTTTACTTTAAGAGGGTTTTGTATCACATAGTACATTACCTGGACCTATTTAGACTTCCACAAAGGAGCCTTTAGATGTATTTATGTACTTTATATTTTACAGATCTGACATCATTATAGGTGAAACACAAAACCATTGATTGAAAAAAAATTCTACTTCAGTTTTATAGCGTTACCTCTTCTTCAAGCTCTTCTTCCTCTTCTTCTTCTCCTTCCTCTTCTCCTTCCTGGTACTTTTTCTTTTTCTCTTTAAATGCAGGATCCCAGTCTTCCCGCTGATAAATTAAACCTGTATCTGGATCTTGCTTCTGTCCAGTCAGTCTTTTGCTCAAATCCTTGTCTGGACACTTCAGTTAAATAGACATTAAATGAGTGCACTGAATGGTATAGTCAATATGGGACAATTAAATGACATCTCAGGTTATACAAAAGAAGAATAAAGGCATAGAGATAAACAAGAAAAAAAAACAAGTTTCAGAGTCCTTAGGCTGTGCCAACAAGTCTACACTACATTTCTCATGTGATATAGACTTCAGTAGCTCAAGACTGTGGCAGATTTTTAAATTATGCTTTTAAAATGAATCGGCTAACATTTATAAGAAGTAAAAAAACAGTGATATGTTTTAATGAATCTTCAAAACTACTCTAAAATGTCTTAACTTGAAAGTTTCTCTTCCTATTTAAAATCAAATTGTTACAAACATCAGCATAAGTACAATTTGTTTGCTGGGAATCCTTTTTGAGGCCACAGTGGTTATTAACTTAATGACTAAAGCCCAATAGTTTTATAAAATGGGCTTTGTCATGGTATCAAAAAGTCCAATCCCAAGGATCTCTGGAGGGTTGACAGCATTTGTCCTGTGGCCTTCTTTTCTAGTCACAAATTGATTACAGAGGTTAGCTGATAGGATGCTCACATAATGTAAGGTGATCTACAGTATATGCAGATAATGGTATACCAATGGGTAGCAGAACATAACATCTATACTCAGTGAAGAATTATACAGGTAACCATAAGCAGTTCTTTGTATCTATATATTACCTTAATATTTATAATGACATCTGGCTTTAATTTAAAATTGTTTATTAGCCCAATCTGTTCTGTAATCTTCATATATTCTTCACACAGTGATGGAAGTCCACATAGTACATAACCTAAAGCATTAATTAAAAAGCTATTGTTAGCACTTCCATTAGTTTTGGACCGTTGCATCCAAATATGCTGAAAAGGAAACGTGACCTTTCCTTATCCACAGCAACAGTACAAATGGCATTCAAATTTCATAACATTTATCAGTGTACTCAGCTCAACCTGACCACGCATTACATTTGGATGGTACAATCTTCTTTAGATTAACAAATAGCTATTCAGCGTAAAGCTTTACCTGATTGGGATAGGTTAGATGGGCCTTTGAACTACACTGTTGTTTCCTTCAGTGCTTGCTCACATATATGTGGATTGGATGCGGTTTGAACCGAATCCAATCGACATGAAATGTGAAATAACATTGCTTCCTATGGTGCCTGTTCACATATGTCCAATGCACTGGCAGTGTGGATTCAGTGCAGATTAAAAAAGAATCCTGACCTGAACCTACCCTGAACATGATGTAAACTTGACCAAAACTGCTGAACAACTACTGTGTCAGTTAGCTGTGAAACCTGAGCTTCAATCCACATGTGTGAATCAGATCTCAGAGTTTACTGTTTAATTATATTTCACCAAATTAAAGTGATTCTAAAGGTTAAAATTTACAGACCTGTGGTACTTACCTGCTCTGTACAGTGGTTTCTAACAGAACAGCCCTGATCCTCTTCTTTTTAGGTCCCCCACCAGGAGTTCTGGCTCCTTCTCCCCGCGGAGTGTCCCCAATAGCAAGCCCCTACTATAGGGGCACTCAAGCAGGTTCACTCCAAAGCAGTGCTCCAGTGAATGGACATTGCCATTCACATATAGAGTGTGGCTTGGCCCGCCTCTCAATCCCTCCTCATTGTCTCGCTGGCTGTGATTGACAGGAGCAAGAGCCAATGGCTACCACTGCTGCTTGAGCCAATTGAGGAGAGAGAGTCCCAGGACTGCCGAGGCTCCCGTGCACTTTGCTGGATTGAGATGGAGCTCAGGTGAGTATTAGGGGGCTGTGGGGGGAGGTGCACCCAGAAGGATTTTTACCTTCATGCATACAATGCATGAGGGTAAAAAACCTTCTGCCTTTAAAACTACTTTAACTATAAAGGAGAGGAGATTTACTAAAACTGGAACACTCAGAATCTGGTGCTGCTGTGCATGACAGCCAATCAGCCAGCTTGCTCAATTAACCTTTGACAATAAAACCTGGAAGCTGATTGGTTTCTCTGCAGAGCTGCACCAGATTTTGCATACTCTTGGTTTAGTAAATTCCCCCCACTGTGTTCCACATATATGGATATCTTCATCACTGAAGAGTAGAAACTATTGACATAGCCAGACTATTGCAAATAGAATCCCCAGCTTGAGATTCTAGTCAAATAACAACTGGTTTTACCATCATTAATGAGAAATTAACCAGCATGTACACTTACACATAGTTCCCTTAGATGTGGTGTCATTGAATAGTGGTGGCCACCCGAAATTGGTAGAAGCCAAGATTTGCCCAGGCCAGGGAATATCTCACTTGTCTTTTCTATTCTTAATTTTTTACTCCTCTTACTTAAAACCCAACTCCAGCCAAAACATTTTTTTAATAGAGGAAGGAAAGGGTTAGAACACCTGTCTGATTTTTACAAAATCAGCCTTCTAGAAACTAGAGGGCTTATTTACTATAGGTAAATAGGTTGTTCACTGTGCAAGTGAAGTTGCGTTCTACGAAGGAATTTTACCCAGCATTTAGTGAACATAGTGAAATTTCACTTTGTAAAGAATACCCAATCCAATGCAAGGAAAATAAAAATAAACAACACCATATTTGCTTGCAAATGATTGGATGATTAAAGTCAGCAGAGTTTCATCTCATTTACTAAGCTCTGGGGAAAATTCTCTTGCAAAGTGAATAGTCTATTTACCTTCAGTAAATCAACCCCAAATAATTCAATAAAATTAAAAATGTTAACAGTTTATAGGCAGTGAATGTGTACGCAAGTAACTGTTCTCAAAACCAATGCACAGTAAAAAAGACATTTGTAGAATGCAGGAAGCCATTTGTTCCCTTGAGTGGATTTATTTAAGATTTTGGATGACTGGAATAAAGCAGAGGTCAAAAGTAGAGGTTTTCTATAACTGCAATCATTTTATCAAGCATGGTTTTTTTTTTTTTTTCTAAGGTCTACAGGAGAAAATACTTACATAACATGAGATGGGATGGTGAACTATGAAGGATGCACTAGGCTATAATACATATGTTTAGCACATAATTGCTGACAAGTTCTGTTTGTAACATTCAAGAGACCTACCCATCCTCTGAGACCAAGCAGTATCCTGAACATAATACACACAAACAATTTATAAATACAGTTTAGAAAAGGTACAGACACACAATAGAGAGCTCATCACTGTGACAAACTAGGAACACAGAGAAGAGACACAAGGAAGCAAATCACATGGAACTTGACATGCGGGCATTTATTGGGGAACTTGAGTGTACAGGAGGGGCAGCAGTAAGACACAACACAGAGAAATAGTCTGCAGTGCAACAATGTATTACAGCACGAATAAATAGTCCACACAATGGCAATATGGCGCAGCAAGGGGAGATGATCCTCAGGGCGGTAATATGGTATAGTGAAGGAGCCACAGTCCACAGGGCAACAAAAAGGCACAGCAC